CTGACAAATGCAAATCATTATCTGAAGTCGTTGTCGATCTCAAAGTCCAATGTTAAACTACGTGCCATGTGATGTGTCTGCGGCGGGGAATGAACGATCAAGCTTGCGTTTATTATTGCGTACTTTTGATATTGGGTAACTGCGTGTCCGTGACGACCCTGGACTTTAGACATGGTTACTAACAAATTGGTTGATAGCCAAAAAAGATCAATTGTACAAATGATGTCGGATATCAGTGGCATGTTCATCGACAGCGACGCGAGAATCGAGAAACAATGTAAATTGCGCGCAGCATCTCTAATTTAGAAACAGTCTAATTAATCTTCGGTCAGTGACAGTTAAATTAATTAGACCGTACATAATTTTAATTGATCGCTTAATACAACAACAAATGTAAACAAAATATAAAACAATTGTAATTTTTAATTAGTTCACCTAATAATATCCATAAAAGAGAATCAAAGGCAACAGAGCGGAATTCAAATCGGGATTCGATGAATAGACAGCCGACTCGTCGTAATCGATTCCGTATCGTGCTCATTAAGTTCATTAATATATGACTTCAATGATAATTTAATATAAACGTCGATTTTAGCTTGCGTTAGTGCAAAAATTCCTCGATTCGCTTCGTAATGATCGAATGCTCCGATGCTTCTTATGCAAAAAACGTTTTATCGAAATGACATTCTGAGAATGTTAAAGATTCCAAGATATTGCGCTGACACTAGCAGAATTAAATATAGTTAAATATTACGTTAATCATAGAGAAGAGTCCGCACGCCGTTCCTGCTGAGTCGAAATTTTGATGCTACTTTGACACACTTAAGGATAGTTTACACCTATTCTAGATGACTGATAGATGAATAAACACCTCTATTTCGACGCTTATTAACTTGATGCATCATTAGAATCAAAGTAGCAGTCAAGTAATGGTAAATTATATTATTAGAATTGAAATCGGACACACCAACCGATCTTGCTAACTTAGCTGCTACTTTGTTGTAGAGTTAAAGGTTTAACACAGAATCAATATTTCGACCCGAGCTGCCGATCTTTTTCCCCGCCGCGGAAATTGGATCCCGCTCCTTCCGAGGGAAGTGTTCGAGCCTCAAGAACGGGGCGCGAGTCGGCCGGTGTCTAATTTCTGTCTTCCCTACGAAGGGCTTCCGGTATCTGACATCTAAGGGCGAATGGAAGTAGAAGAAGCTCGGAGTCACTACCAGGCACTGAATGGCACCAATCGATATATGCCCAGCCCGGTATCCGCCAGGATATCACCGCCGAATATACTCGCGGCTTGACTTCCGCGTACAAAAACCTCTCTCTCTCTCTCTCTTTCTCCGTGGGATTCCAAGTCCTCACGATGACTAGACGTATTGCCATCGTGAATCGCGGCAACACGCCACCACCACCGCACTTTTCGCGCCGTCCGGAACGTCAACCACCCCCGGACTGAACTTTGCCCTACTGGCCGTTTAATAAAATTCGCGTGTTCACCCCGCGATTGCAGTTTTCGCCGCGGAACTCCGGACGATTATCAATATAGCCCCATTGTCGCGTTTCGTCGTGTCTCTCGCTTCTGTTACAAGCTGAATGCATGAAATGGCGCTGAGGGACTTTCAATTTACGTCGTGGAGGCCTCTTTTATGAGCTGGTGAATATGTGCAATATACATGCACAAAGGCAGCCGAATTGAAAGCCGTGAGGAAAGCCGTGATGCAGCGAAAGCTAGTTATATCGAGCTTGAGACTCTTTGCGATTTTCGCAGAGAGAACCAGGATTCAACGCAGTGAAAGTGATTTAACCCTCGAAGCAGATCCCGCCGGATCCTTTAACACGTGGTTGGCTGCCCCGTTTACGACCATTGGTTGTACGTGAGCTTAATTGCTCATTGAATTATTGAAGATAAAAAGTGAAATATATGCATCTTTCATCTTGTTTCATTGACCATTCCCTACTGGCGGTATAAACCATTCTTTAGACTCGGCTGTCACTCTGTTTTTCGAATGAAAGTTTACTACAAGAATGATGTCTCGGCCACCAGTCTCGAGCCACCACGGAACTCAACGTATATTAAACTCGCGGAGGCGTGAAGAAAGTTACTGCGACGATGATGATATAAGATCGAGCTGCGCGAGATTTACGACGAGTGGCGGATTTACGACACGATCACACCACGGTGACTGTTCATTCTCGCGACCGATTGCGTGCAGTTACCGCGAGTCGACTCATGAGAACCTCGCAGCTGAACTATAACAGTCGTCACGACGAGGCGAACCGCAGGTGCGGCTCGGCGATTTCGACGCTTCGCGAGAAGTCGATATCGTGCAACATTCGGGTGAATAATTAACGATGGCTGATGAAGTGATGATTATATCCGGCGAGACGATCGCCCATTACCATAACGTATTTGTCATCCGAAGAAGGAATGGCGTTTGGTCCACTTTGTCCGCGTTCTCGATCGCTCATACGTCGCGACGCAATGAAATCAATCTTATTCTCGACTGAAGAGCAGTACTGATTCTTAATTCGCCGATTTTCCATTCCGTTTTATACACGACGAAACGGTAAGTGAAACGATATGAACGCGCGTCACTTCCATTCCGACCGTCACGAACGGGCAGCGTGGCCGCAGAAACTCGGGCGTTCTTTCTCCGATCTCATTGCATTTATTTATCCACGTATTATCCCGCGAGATGTTTGCACCCCGAAACGACACGGTCGAGATAAAGAATTAATAATGGCGCAGCCGATTATGCATTATGTGTACATATGTTTACCGACGATCGCACGCGCGCCCCGGCACAGTCATAATTTAATTATATGATAACCCGGCTCATGTGTACATTTCTTTTCCATTCTTTTTCGAGAGAGAAAGCGCCGAAAGAAAAAGAGATGATGTGTTTTTCTTCCCTCGCGTGGAGCACCGCGACGATTGCACTTTATCGGCCTCCCGATAAACGACAGCCTGCCCGACACATGGCAATTATCTAACGGCAAAATCGGCACGTCTTGTAATTCGCGGCCCGCGCTTAAACCGCGCGCTGATAAGGCTCGGCAAGCGGCAGATACACCGGCAGCGGCGATGATAACGCTGTGGTAATGACCGAATGTTTCATCGCCCGGTGGTAATTATCGCACCGGCCCCGCGGCCGTGTTAATTCGCTCGTTCTCCAGCCGCGCGGACTGACTTACCACCGCGCTAATAAGTTCCCCCCTTCTCTCCCTCCCATCCTTCAGGAATGACCGATCACCGCCAACTCTCTTTCCCCCTTACGCGACTTCACGTCGATTTATTTCTCTTTTTTTTCGAGGTTTCGACCGGAATCGTTGAAACTCACTCACAGTTTTAATTACTAGCGAAAAACATCAGCAATGCGGATTTGGATAATCTCGGAAACAAATCCCTTCGTCGTAGATCCTCGGTGGCAGATTCGCGACGTGATTCACGCGTGATCCAGTGTCACGATTACGATCGTTAATTGATGTTTTCATATTATGTATTAGCGTCGAGACGAAACACAGAGAGGGAGAGAGAAGGGAGTATGTTTAGAATCCTATTACGTGAATTTGTTTCGTCTTCGCGCGGTAGCGACGATAGCGGCGTATATTTTGGCGTTACGACATAAATGTCAAGGAGTCCTCGCGTGATGATTAACAAACAAGCTGACCTATCGTAACTATTGGATATGTTGAAACGGGGTGCCACGAGTTCAGCTATTACGGCGATAAAAATCTACGAAAGAGAGAAAAAAAGGCCGAGCTCGACGCGGATGCAGATTGGTGTCGTGGTTGTTTTACAGTTTAATGGGTTTTAATCTGCGCTCGTAAATTATCCCCAACGAAAAACAGATTGTTAACCCTGTAAGTAATTGTGTTGATGAGCGCGATGACGACTCGTTGGAGAAATTGGGCAAGATATTTTATGTTATAACATCGCGTGATACCGCATAAAAATACGCCGAATCTCGAAATAATATTTTTTCAAAGTTGTAACGGCTGAAAGGAATCGTTCGATTAGGAAAATATTACATCGAACAGAAGCGATTTTATGTACGAGTGTCATGATTGACTGATATCTGATTTCTCCTTGCGCTAATTCCTTATATTATATTGTTGAACTTAAACGGAGTTTATGTGTGCGTTGCAGCCTGTTTCTAAGGGAACTTCGCAATTATCAGCACGAGGACAGATGGAAAGGCGGCGACCACCGTTTCTCAGAGCTTCCAGCAAAGCCAAAGAGGTAAGAAAGAACGTTATAACTGCGAGTACCGGCGAAAATTATACGGAATGATTATTTGACGGTACGGAGAAAATAAACGAAAACTTCCAAAATCTCAATTGCCTAATTATGTTTTAAATATATACCACACAATATTCGAATATAATATAATTTTAAATTAGTCAAAGAATTCGCAGGTGAAATTGAACTCTTCAGTATTCAGCATTGAAATCTTTAAATAGAACTGGCTTCAAGTCTTGAAAAATTATTGTTTGTTCTTCTGTAAGAGAAAATTTAAAACAAAAATGTAATGATTTAACACGAACAACTTTCATTTTTAACACAATACCTAATGTAAACTAACGTATTTTATTACTTGAATATTCGTAAAGTTGCGAATTAAATTAATTAAAAATTTAATTTCACCGCCTTTTTAGATATATCCGCAATTATTATCGAATATATAAATAAATAATCCGTAACTCGTTAATTGCCAACTCTTTTTATATGTGTTCTATTCACTATTTTTGCCAAGTTTGTTGTTTGTCACCAAGCTTATCGAGACAACTCAGTTAACCAAGTGGTTTCCGCACGTAACATTCAAAGATACGTCCCATGATACAATCAAGTCTGTTCTTCCTAGGTGTAATGTGCTGCACTTTTTGTACTTACGAAAAACAGACCTATGTTTGTGGAATAGTTCGTATATCGATAAATCTACGTCATCGATGTCATGGCAACATAAACAATAAACAGAATCCTAACCAAATTTAAGATATGCGGCTTCGCTTTTGTAGTCGATATATCTTCCTCCACATTTATCGTATACTTGTATTCTGTATCGATATGATATATTTACGCATATCACTGTGCATATTTTTAAATAATACCGTAATATGAATTGTGTATACATACAGGGGATGTGTGAAATCGTTACATCAACAATATAAAACATGACTAATGATTTAGAAGTGTACAATGAAAGTATATGATGAAGTAAAAATGATTTCTTGGTAAGAACTACGTGTCTATTTTACTTTTTACTTACAATTCTGTAAGTAGGAAATTGTCCTCCAGCATAGGAAAAATGGAACTTGATGATATCTCAGATGTAAGGTATCAAGTTTCATTTTTTTAATATTTGTTCAGGGAATACGGTAGAATATTTGTTCAAATGGAGGATTGTATAACAATGAAATGCACAGTTACGATGTAAAAGTGATTAATTATTCTAAGAAAACTAAGCATTTTTGCAGACAGAACGAGGCAGTGGAACCAAGATGGATTCTGCACGTAGTGGAGGCGTCATAGAAGAACAAGGCAGCGATGAAGATCTGTCGCCAGATGCATTGGTCAGACAAAATTACGAACTCCGTCATCGGTTGGAAGAAGAGGCTGCAAGCTACAAAAGACGTTTGGACACATATCGGCAGGCTCAGCAACATCAGGCAGCTCTTGTCTCACGTTTACAAGCTAAAGTAAGCATTATGGATATTTCCGCTCATATGCAGAGATATAAGCTACAGATACGTTTACAATGAACAAGTAGTGATCGAATGATGTTTTAGGTTTTACAATATAAACAAAGATGTTCAGAACTGGAAAATCAAATGGCAGAAACAATTCCGTGTGACACTACCAGCAAACCAGCAGCTGCCGCTGTATCCTCTACTTCAGTATTAGATGCTGCCCATCAGACACTTCGGGACTTGCGTGAAGAGCAAATTCATGACTTGGACACTGCCTTAAAAAAGCTTGGGGAGGAGCGACGAAAGTATGTAGTTAATAAATACTAAAAATTGTGCCACATTATAAAGATATATTTTTTCCGTTGCAGATGTGAGAAGCTTCTACAGTTGAACTCATCGCTGAAAGACCAGCTGGAAGAATCTCACCAAACGAACGAGACGCTGACCAATGATCTGCAGAAACTAAGCAACGACTGGGATATATTGCGCGAGGAACTAGCGATTAAGGAGGATGAATGGAAGGAGGAAGAGCAGGCGTTCAATGAATATTATACCTCCGAACACAACAGATTACTGAATCTTTGGCGCGATGTTGTGTCCGTCAAACGATTGTTCGCTGAAATGAAATCCGCCACTGAAAGGGATCTGTCCAATCTGCGGAATAAGATCACCTCGTCGTCCAATGAGATCACCTCGGCGTGCAATAGTACAAGTTTTACCATGAGACTGCAAGCAAGCGCGGCGCAATCTATGGTAAAATTGTTATATAATCGCCTCAATAACTGAACTCTCAGTTTGCTTCTAGCGATGTTTTGCATCGTGCTTGCTCTCTTTTTATCTTCAGCCGTCTAAGAAAATGCAGGAAGAAGAAGAAGGACAAACCATGTCCGACTTGAGGACAGAAATTGCCGCGCTTAGGCACCAACACGATGCTGCTCAACATGAGATTCGTACGAAGGAAGACCGAATAAATCAACTCATCCGGGAAATTCACAATTTGGTGAGTATCGCTTCTATTCCATGTTTTGATTGTGACTGAAACTGCACGATGATATATGCGTTTTGGCACACGTAGGAAGAGAGATGCGGCGTCTCGGAAGCAGCAGTGACTCAAACCGCGCGAATGCAGGAGGACATCGAGGTTCTGCAAACAGCGTTAAGGGACATAGCGCATGCCGTGATTCAGGACGCCGAGTCTCGAGATATCGACGCCAAACAGGCGCCTCCGCACATTCATCTATCACCCAGCGGCCCTATCCCGCAAAGATCGCCGAAGAGAGGCGCGAGAAGTAACACCATACCGGCATTCGCTGAAAGTACCATAAGCGCGGTACAAGCGGCTCTGCATAAGTATCAATTGACTATACACGAGTTACAGGTACACACACATTCGCTATACATCCATCATGAAAAAAATGTACATCGGTTTACTCATCGGAGCCTCTCGCGTTAGGTAAAACTACAAATGAACAAGGAACAGCTCTTAGCAATGCGCAAACAGTGCGATACCGCGGAGGAGAACGCTAGATCTCTAAATGTAAAAGTTACAGAGTTGATTTCTCAGTTGGACACGTGTCGTTCGCAATGCACTCAGTTGAATCAAGAGAAGGAAATGCTGCAGAAGGGTCTCGACACGATGAGATTGGAGAAGAACGCGTTGGATAAGAATAGAGTGGAACTTAATAGTATGGTAAGGCTCTTCTAACCTAATTGTTTTGATTAGAATATGATATAATATATAATTATATTACAGGTGGAAGCTCTTAATAACGATTATGATAAGCTTCAAAAGACAAACAACAAGTTACAGAAAATGTGCGACAGTTTGGAAGATGAAAAATTGTATCTGCAAAATGAACTCAGTAGAGTATCGAAGGACGCTGACTTGAGGTAAACAAACTAACGATTATCTATTCTCTTTTTCATCTGTTATGCAATAAGTATATAAGTATTATATAAGTATTATTTATAAAATGATATCTCCAGAGAGTTGAGTTTACGGTCAGAAGAAGATAGATGCAGTAAAATGAGAGAAGAGCTGTTGACATTGCGAGAAGATTTAAGCAAAGCTTATCTCGCCAAGGATATGTTGGAACAGCAAAAATTGGAAACCGACGGACTAATTTCTCAGATAGAAAAAAACAAAGGTATCGCAATTTATCGATCATAAATAAGTAGCCAATTAATGTCACATGAATAATTTAGGTGATCTTGAATTGGAATTGGAACGAATATTATTGGAAAAGTCAGACGTGCAGGAGATTTTGTTGAAGATAGAAGCGATGTGCTCTAATCACGAGCAGGATAAGCAGAGATTGCAAGAGGAATTGAAGAGGGTAACGTTTTGTATTATCAACCTATTCGATAACGAAGATTTCATTTTAATTAGAATTGTTGTAGACGACGGACGAGAAAAATAAGCTCGCGAGTCAATGCGTCGACCAACAAGGCGATTTAAATTCTTTGAGGAAAGAGTTGTTACAAGCGGAGCAAACCCGACTCGATATAGAATCCGAGAAAGTTACGTTGAACGAAAAGATCAAATTTCTCGAGATAGAGAAGGAGAAGGTCGAGATAGAACTGGGTCAAGTGTCTCGCGAACGCGGCGATTTGAGCAATCAATTGTCTGTTTTGGCGCGAAAGAAGGAAACATTGAACGAGGAGCTTATGAGAATTAGGCAAAGGCTGGAACAGTCCAACGAGATGAATGCGCGAATAAATAGGAATTTGGAGGATCTCGTGAAGGATAACGAGGAGAAACAGGCAAGAATGATAACACATCGTGTATCCGACATATCACTGCCATTGAGGACGATAAAATAACGACCGTCTGTTTCATCTCTGCAGGTGCTTCTGGAAACAAATGAGAAGGAATTTCAAAGACTGCAGGAGCAACTTGCGTCAATGCGCACCGAGAAGGAAACGTTGGAAGGAGTATTGTTCGACACGCAAACTAATTTGGAAGCTACACACGTGAAGAAGACGCAATTGGAGAAAGAGCAGAAAGAATTATTGATAAAACAGGAAAGTTTGAAGGGGCAGATAACGCGAGTGACGAAAGAACTGGAAAACAGCGAGAAACGCGCGCAGGATATCAAACAATCGCTCACCCAACAAAGCGGCGATCAGGTTGCGGAATTTCAACAAATTATATCCAATATGAAGAAGCAATCTGAGGACAATATAAAGAAGGCGAATGATGAAAAGGTACTCATTCAATTATTTACAGAAACAACCTTTCTACGATTACCTCTTTGAATTCATTGCCATTTTCAACCTGCTTCTCTTATCTTTATTAGGAACAAGTAAGGATGAGCTTAGAAAAACGTTTGCAACAGTCTGTGTTGCAACTCGAGGGAGAAAAGAACGACGAGATCAATCAACTGCAACAGCGAATCGAGGAGTTGCAGCAGCACATAGAGAATTTATGCAAGCAGCACGAGGAGGTGCTCCTTAGAGCCGAGAATGACAAGCAACAGGCGCTCCATATAGGTATGCGATTGAACATTAATTTTACAAGGTCAATATTAGATAATAGACATAAAGATTGTGTTTCGACTCGTTACAGCTCATCATGATCAGCAGGCTTTGCTGGAGAAGCTCGAAACCATCATACGCGAATTAGAGGAAGAGAAGAGTAACCTGGATCGCGTGAAAAGGGATGCGGCGGTGCGCGCCGAGCAAGAGCGCAACAATACGAATCAGCTGCGCGACGAGTTGAGCCGTCTCAGGACGAAGCTGGACGAGACGAAGTTGAGGGCCGACGAGGAGAAGATGAAACTTGATCTGAAGATAGAGGAGCTTTGGAAGGAACGCGAGTCCTCGCAAAGAGAAGCCGAAGAACTGCAGGTTCAGCTGCATATGGCGGAGGACAAAGTAGACGGGCTGCAGAATCAATTGCACGACACCATCAGGAAACTGAAGGACACCGATAACGTTAACGAAACGCTGCGCAAGGAGCTGGTGGATGTGAGGAGGCAATTGGCGGACATCACGTACGAAAAGGAGAAGTACAACAACAGTAACAAGGAGTTGCGGGAGCACGTGAAGCGGATCGAGAGCGAGAGAAGGGAGCAGGGAAGGACGTTGGAGGAGCTGTACCAGAAGATATCAGGGTTGGAGGACGCAAAGACGACCATGGACGTCGAGAGGACGCGTCTGCAGACGCAGGTGCGCGACATGGAGCGTGACGCGCTGCAGCTGCAGCAGCAGCTCCGCTTCACGCAGGACGAGTTGCAGAAGTGTCACGAGAACAACGCACAGGCGCAGAACGAGGAGAAGGAGCTGCAGTCGAGGCTGGCCAACGAGACCGAGGAGAGGGAGCGAATACAGCTGCAGTTGCATCAGGTGAAGAAGCAGGTAGTCGACTTGGACAACAGTCTGGAGGTGACGCGGCAGGAGCTGGGACGACTGCGCACGCGAGCGGACGAGGAGGACGAGAGGTGGCGCGCCCGAGAGCAAGAGCTGCTGGTGCGCCTCGAGGACAGCCGTTGCCGCGAGAGGAAGCTGGAGGATCAGAAGCACAATCTGGAGGTCTGTCTGGCCGACGCGACCCAGCAACTACAGGAGCTGAAGGCGCGCCTCGGCGGGTCCGAGGGTAGAGTGAGAGCCCTCGACGCTCAGTTGTCGCAGTTGGAGAGCTCGAAGAAGGAGGTGGAGCAGAAGCTGAGCAGCGTGGGCTCCACGTTACGCCGCATCGCCGGCATCCAGCTGGACGGAAGCGTGAACATGCCGTTCAAGTTGATGAGCCCTTCGCGACGATGGAGTCCGGCGCGCGCTCAAGATCACGGCGAAGGTAGGGACGTGATACTGGACGTCGATCCGGAGGCCGTCAGGAAAGGCGTACGGTCGCTCATGCAGCAAGTCGCCCAGATCGAGCGCGAGAGGGACGACTATAAGACGGAGCTGTGCAGCATGAAGAAACAACTGACGGAGTCGCAGGAGAACCAAAGCGACACGGACGTCAAGGTGAACAGTCTCCTGGCTAACATCCGGACGCTTCAGGAGGAGAAGAACTCCTTGGAGGCGAAGCTGACTCAGAAGCAAAGCGGTTATCAAGCGCAGCACGACGCGCTCCGGCATAAGACAGAGGAGTGTGAGCAGTTGTACGAGAAACTTACGATTCTCGAATTGAAGATCAGCACGGAGGCGGAAGAGAAGTCTCAGTACGAGGACAAGCTGGAGAAGATGAAGCAAACGTTAAGCAGATCGGAGGCGGAGAAGCGCGCTCTCCAGGAAGAGGTCGGCCGTAGCGAGTCCCGCGCGACCAAGCTGGAGTTACAGAGAATGTCCATGGACGGGGATCTCCAGAGGTTGCAGATGATGCTGCAGGAGAAAGACGCGCATGTTCAGAAGTTGCAGGATCGCACGGACGCACAGAGCCGTACTATGGCGAGTTTGGAGGAACGCTGCGCGTCCCTCAAGTCCACCATAGAGCAACTGAATCTGGCGTTGGAGAAGGCGTCGGCGACGGAGAGCGAGCTCAAGGCTGAGATGAACCTACTGCAACGTAACATCATGGAAATTACCACCGCCTCGCAGAACAACAACGAGAGGCTGAAACAGCTGCAGAAACAGCTCTCGAACACGGAGAACGATCGCAGATTGTTGTCCGAACGTCTGGAGACCGCTCAGCAGACCCTGAGCGATTTGAGACACGCGAACCAGTCGCTGACCGATCAGAACGCACGGCTGCAGAACGAGTTGGCGAACAACGAGGTGCAGCGCTCGGCTTTGGAGTCGCAGCTGAGACTGTCCAGCTGGCCGCAGGAGGGCAGCGCGAGTAAGGACGAAGAGCTGCTGCGCCAATTGCAAGCCGCTCAGAGAGAGAGAAGCGAGATGAGAGGGAAGGTGGACGCTCTCAACGACAAGGTGAAGCTGCTGGAGGCTGACAAGCGCAACCTGGAGCGTCAGGTAGCCTCGGCCAAGACCAACGTTATTCGTAGCAAAAGCTACGAGCGTCCCGAGAAAGCGCACGTGGAACTTCTGGGCACGAGCTACAGCCTCGACAACTTGGAACACGAGAACAGAGAGCTGAGGCTGAAGATACGCAGACTGGAGACCCAACTGGCGGAGAAGGAGGCCGAGCTGATACGAGTGAAGTCAACGCACGTGCACTCGCATTCGCTTCTGGACAGTAGTCGAGACAGAAGCGGAGAGCTGGAGCGAATCCGGGCCGCACAGCTGCAAGCGGAGAAGCTGCTGGAAGCGAGAGAGCAGAGCCACCGTCAGCAGGTGTTGCGTTTGGAGAATCAGGTGTGCATTTTACTCACATCGTCCTTTTAATGGGACACGTTGGATTGATGCAAAAGTTTGCCCCGTTCTTTAATCAAAATATACATGTATCGATCCAATATAATATACCGTGTAGTGTACTGATCGTATCACTCCAGACCCGGGAAGAGGAGTTGAATTAGATCGTGAAAAAGCAACGTATAATATAAATATTTGCAGATACAACTGCTACGAGAACAACTGAATCAGGAGATAAAGCGCAGGCAGCTGTACGTTTTGCGGAGCTCACGAGCCGGCAGAGAGATGCAGCAGCTGCGACAGGCGTTGGGCGACTCGTTGAGGACAGTGGCGCAGGATCCGTCGTTGGACGCGGTTCTGTTGGAGCACGAGGCGCGGAAATTGGACTCCACCTTGACCAGCACCGCCAGCTTACCGCCGTCATTGGCGCTACCAGCTCCACCGTCGTCTTACGACAGAGCCAGCACTCCGTCGCAGCTCAAATAACGCGGGAGAGTAAACCGTCGACTGAACTTTCCGCGATAACTGCCAATGTATATCGAATGGTACTTATGTATTCACGGAAGTATATGAGTACTCGTAAGTTATACTTTTTGAGAATACACAGTACAATAATACGACCCGCAGGGGCGTACTCGGGGGATATCATTCGGTGTACGCCCCGGGGGTTGGCATATCGAGGTCGTTATTAGAAAGAGCATATAGTAGAGTCATTAATTGTATCACGATGAATTACGAATTAATAGTGCTTCTTGATATTTTACGATTAAGAAACAAGATCCGCAGATTTTTCGACGACGGTATTCCGTTTGATACACGATCTTTACACATTGGATTTGTACCGAATTTTTTTATACGAATTTTTATGCTTCCAATGATCAAGAGACGAGAGAGATCCGAAAGTATATTTCCTGTAGTTCGTTAACACGCACGAGACACGTGGTAGCCTTTCGTGACATGTGTGGTTTTTACAAGAACACACAGAAGTCTTTGAAATTTTCTTTCATCGCGCGAACTCTCATCCGTTGATCGTGGAAAAGTCGTTGTGCAGAAGCAAATTTCATCAGTTGATGATTAATGTGCATGAAAATCATCTCATCTCATGGATGCGATTCATAATATTCATTTATCCAAGCGATATATCGATATACATTGATACACTGATAAATTCTTGTTTAACGTTTGAACAACGAAATTGCTAGCTCCAATTGAACTTACTAGTCGACAAATCCGTCCATTAACGTTGTTACTAGTCAATTTAAACTTATGAATTTATTTATTTTAAGAGGAGAGAGAGAGAGAGAGAGAGAGAGAGAGAGAGAGAAGTATGTTTAGCAATATCGCATCTCATTTTGTCTGAAAGACAATTAAGAGAGAAGAAAGGATATACCGAAGGAGTAAGACTTTGTATGCTTGTGATTTGTGTAACGAGAAGTATGCTTATAACGTAGGCGGCAACAGAAAATGAAAAAAAATGCTATGTTTAGTCTCGTCCCGAGACCAAAGAAAATCAGCAAACAAGAGCATTGTAGAGATATGCTTCCGATTAACCGGTAGATACAGAGCCATCGTTGAGCCATTTTACGTAAAATGTAGAGAAGAACGGTATGCTGCTAACAGGACATTTAAAAACTGCTAGTGAGCATCAAAAGTACAGACATAGATGACAGATGGGTGGACTGTGTCTGTTCTTTATTATTAAGAATATAGACATCCAGTCCTGCGCACTAATATGTAGCCTGCCTCGGTTGAGCTGTCCGGCTTGTGATACAGGATGGGCAAAAGTAACAAAAGAAATATCGTTTATGCTTCGTACATCTACAGCACGAGGTTCGTCGGCCGAGAAATCTGATTGTTGGAAACGAATTGCCGAGAACTTTTTTCAGTTGGCCCGTTTACATCTTTGTAATTGAAAGAATGTCTCGTTAGGTTCTCTTGAAAAAAATCTGTATTTTCAATCAGACATCTATCGCATATAGCTCGTGAATCGAGCGTCGTTTCACTGATACATTGACTTTATATGTGTATTTTAATGACGTTTGAAAATTAAATCATTGAAAATCTATAAAGTGAAATGGAGCTTTTAGGTCGGAAATTATATAGGAAAATTACGTTGTATATTGTAATATCATATCGTTAAATCGTACGTTTTATTCATGTTCACACTTGAAGAAGCACCATTGTTACAAAAGTACCATTTCTGCGTTATCAAGTTATACGTTTGAAATTATATATATCACTCACCACTACATTTCCACATGCTCGTATTGTGTCTCTTCTGCGGAATGACTTTGTTTAGTTACCATTCTTCCTATCACATGCAGCCTGTCCTCGATCGAACCATCCGACGACGGTCTGCAGTTCATTGACATTAACATGAAATGAACAAGAAACAATGGCGCGATACATTTGCGGCATACTTCACTTCGAATAATAATCAAGGATGATTCGCGAAAAGTCACAATGAAGTCGAAATGAAAAATTCCGTATTTACCTCACTTTCAGCCGGAAATTTTCCCTACGGAGAAATCCGAGGCGTTCGTACTTTAACGGAGTCGCGCTCTTTCGGCGTTGAACCATTCAGTCCGCTCTCTCAATGCGATTTGAAGATAGATGTGCGGTCGACGGCGGTGTCTAGACGCATGCGCAGCGACACGTGATTTGAATTTGAACGCGCAACGAGCGTCAGTAAGTAGCAACGTCTGTTGCAGACATGTTGGCTTGCGCGTCGTTCGACTACGAAGTTGAAGTCTGTTTTTACTTTGATTAACTTGAGTAAACTGTGGAGTCACAAGGCGTTCGTTCGCAATGTCGGACAATATTAAAGTGGCTATCAAAATCAGGCCGCTCATCAAGCGTGAGAAGGACGATAATTTGCCGATACAATGGGTCGGTCAAGGAAACGCCATCGTGGCCGTCGACGCGGAGATAAAGAAGCGAGGCGATGGAAGATTTCAGTTCGGTATGATGCTAATGCGAATTTCGATGTTACGTGTGACCAACACCCGCGATTTCATGCCGAAGCGTCTTCCTCGAGAACGACTGTGGTCCCGGCGAACCTAGACTTATTTTTCTCAGCTGCACATTTTATTTATTTATTTATCTTTTTTTGTATCTGGCCCGCCAATTCTTTAGTGCATATTACTGCATGCTTCTTATTTGACAATGTAATGCAGCGGAATCATCTGTTAGCGTACGTTTGCTCGATTGGTGTTGCATACGATATTGGGGGTTATAATTTGCACGAAGGAACATTCGTCTTACACTGTCTTCTATCGTTGTACGCGAGGTGGTGTCATGTAAAACTTGATCAGCATTGATATTCTCGTTTCATTTTTGTAGATCATATTTTCAATATGGACGCCAGCAACAATGATGTGTTCTGCAGCATCGTGAGCCCTATCATTGATGCTGCTGTAAATGGATTCAACGGTACAGTGTTTGCATACGGACAGACAAGTTCTGGTAAAACATACACTATGATGGGTACCAAGGAAGAGGATGGAATAATACCGTTGGCTATTAAACGATTGTTTGAAGCTATAGCTGATACTCCAGGACGCGAGTTTCTATTAAGGTTGGTGTATATTTTGTACTATAAAGTAACCTTCTAAAATTTCATTGTATCTGATAAGAATTTCTATCTGTATATAATGATGATAAAAGTTCTCTATCAGTCTCTATCTCTCTCTCTCTCTCTCTCTCTCTCTCTCTCTCTCTCTCTCTGATGATTTATTGATTTTGCAGGGTGTCTTACTTAGAAATTTATAATGAAAAAGTTAATGACCTTTTAACTAATAACAAAGATGATCTAAAAATACACGAAGGCAATGGTCAAGTATTGGTGGAGTGTAAGGAAGTGGTTATAAATAGTCCAGAGAATATACTTTCTTTAATGAGTAAAGGTAACAAGAACAGAAAAATAGGGGAAACGAATATGAATGAGCGAAGTAGCAGGAGCCACACGATATTTAGAATTGTAAGAATGCCAATTTTTTTTTAACCTTATGTATGAAATGTTTGGATATTATCAAATAAGACTGTTTACACATGTTGCTTAAAAATTATGGTGAAATTGCCTGTTGTAGACGATTGAAAGTCGAGAAGCTGGTTCGGACGGTGCAATACAATTATCACAACTGAACATGGTGGATCTCGCTGGCTCGGAGAGAGCACGGCTAACAGGTGCTACTGGGGAACGTTTTAAGGAAGGACGTCATATTAATTTATCCCTGTCCACATTGGCACTAGTGATTAAGCAATTGAGCGAGTCGCAAGAATTGCAGAAATACATTAATTTCCGAGATAGCAAATTGACAAGGTTGCTTCAAACGTCTTTAGGCGGCAATGCGATGACAGCAATAATATGCGCGGTGACGCCTGCCGCAATAGAAGAGACCCAATGCACATTATCGTTAGTATTTTTATCTAAAGAGCAACTTGTGTATTTCATATATCGTGTAATATTTACTGTATGTATAAAACCGTATTGTTTAAACAAACAGGTTTGCATCCAGAGCCAGAGATATAAAGAATAAGCCTCAATTGAACGAAGTTATGTCCGATAGTGTTCTCTTGAAACGTTATGCAAAACAAATCAATAAATTACAGACGGAATTGGAGGTAAGTGTTATCTGTTGTAAATATGCGGAAATCTCTTTTTAATGGGAAAATCATAGAGGTTAATGTGAATTCGCTGATCTTTTTTTTTTCTCGGCTGGAAACAAATTGCTTCTTCTGTCATAATACGAGATAAGATCCGTTACAATCTGATGTATGTGATAAATTTACTTTCTCAGAGAGTGAAACAACAAAACTGGTGCGTTGAAGTGCAAGAAATGGAGCACAAAATGCAAGAGAAAGACCGGGTGAATGAAGAACTAGAGGAGCGCATCAGGCTATTGCAGACACGAATAGTCGCCGGTGATAATCGTAATAACGTTCAAGAATCGTTCAAGTCTAAAGCGTTACGAAGACGGACCTGGTGCGGCACTGGTGCTGCATCACACAAACTGAATACATCTGTCTTTCATATGGCCGCGAACTTATCGCCGATCAAAGAAATGTCACCTTTGCGTAGTAGGAATAGCTCATCTAATTTGGATACATGTAGGTTTAATCAGCTGTTATTTGAAACAATCGGAATATTTGGACCAATCAAACTTGAAACTTTGAAACCTTTACACGTGATCGTTACAGCATTCCAAATTGCTTATACGGACTTCGAGCTGGAACTTCTGAACAACGAGGTGGATCGTGAGGAGGAGATGAGTGACGATGACACGTATATAACATATCGCAAGAACACTCGTGTGAAGTTTGACGACGACCTAATCGTGCGCAAGTTGTCCTCCAGCTGCGGCAATTTCACCGTGAGTCCGGAGACAGCTGACGGATGCACTCAGACTGCATTGTAAGTAACCGAAAAACTTGATATACTCGTCTTTATCAATATCCATTTTACGATTAACTTGATCACCGGTCGTTATTTACGAGCAGTAACGGATCACCCGGCACACCAAGAGAGACACTGCGGGAAAGGATGCACAACTTGAAGATGGAATACTCGGAGCTGCAAGAATTCACGACTTTGGAGAAACAGCTGTACTTCGAGGACCATCGTGGCAAATTAGAAGAGAAGCTCGCGATGTTGACCACGTTGGAGAAGCGGATAGAAAACTTAACGTCCGACCGGGATGCTTTCGAGCATATAGCATCCGACCTTCGTAAAAAGTTAACCGCAGTCGAGCTACGCTGCGCATCCGCGGAGGATCAAGTGTCGGCGCAAGAAACGGAGCTGCAGAGAATACCGGAATTGGAGAGGAAGCTCGCGCAATTGTCCGCGCTGGAGGTGCAGGCTAAGAGCATTCCCGAACTGCAGGAACGGATAACGGTTCTTACGGCCGAGAAGGACGGATACGAACACGTCGCGGCTACACTGCACAAGAAGCTCAACGAGACCGAGCAATGCGTCGTTCTGTTGGAGGACAAATTAACAACGCGGACCGCGGAAGAAGAGCCGCTTATACGATTTTCGATTGGGGCCGAGAGTACAGAACAGGCGGGATTCGAGACTCTCGTGTCTGAAAAAGAGGAATTGCAACGTGAGGTGTCCGATCTTCAAAGCAAGCTGGAGGAGGCGAACTTGTGCAACGACTCGTTGAGGGAGAAACTGAACGAGCAGCGATTGATGCACGAACAGTCTCTCCAGAATCTTGTTGAGCAAACCAACGAACTTCGATCGGAGAAGAACGAGATTGAGAGTGTCATGTGTGTGGAAGATTATTCCGAATCGGAGAAGTGGCAAGACCAAGAGAAGCGAATCCAGCAACTCGCATCCGAGAAGCACGAGCTGGAGCTCATCATCGGTGAGCTGCAGGAGAAATTGATCGAGGCGGAGATAACGACCACTTCGATGAAAGGCGAGATAAACGAGCACCAGCGGTGCGTGCAGAAATTCCTGCAGATGGAGAAACAGATTCAGGACATTATAACGGAGAAAATGGATTACGAGCGGATCAACGATGAGCTGAAGATCAAATCGAAAGAAATGGAACTGGCAAACGGCTCCTTGAAGGGCAAACTGAACGAACAGCAACAGAAGACCTACGTTTTGGAGAAGCAGATCGAGGATCTGATGGCCGAGAAAAAAGAATTCGACGCGTTCGTCGAGTTGCAGAAAAGGATGACAGAGATGGAGCAAGCGTATAGCCTGTTGCAACGCAAGCTGAACGAAGGTGAGCCGAACATCCTTAAATTCGACGATCCGCCGGACACGTCTTCAACTGAGACTATCACGTTCGATAACAGCAAATTTGAGCACGCTGTTCCGAAGTCGCTGGAGCAATTGAAGGAAAAGGAGGAGCCTTACGACAGTTTAATCGAAGAGAAGCAGGATGCGGAAGCGCCGATCAGTATCGACAGTATCGAGGAACCGAAGGAAGCCGAATCGTGCAATAACTCGACGGAAGACAATGCGGATAACGTGCTGGAATCCACGGTACACGAGTCACGAGTCGAAACCGAACACCACAGTTCCGCTCAGGACGAGTTGAACGGGGAACAGTTGCATTTACAAAGAATTCGAGAACTAGAGGCGCAAGTCGCGAGACTGACCGCCGAGAGAGGCGAGCACGAGCGGATCTCCGCGGAGCTGCGTGAACAATCGACGAAGAACTCATCGGGGGAGGAAACGACGGGTGATCACGACGACGAGGTTGTTCGTCTGAAGAGTCACGTGAACGATCTGCAAAATATCATCCAGGATATTCAGAGCGAGAACGCGCGTCTGAAGGAGCTCGCGCCGACGAGGTCGGCGATGTTAGAACACGAAAGCGACTTGTACAACAGCGACTTCTTGTGCAGCTCATCGAAAATCGACTTGTCGAGCACGAGGATGTCTCTGGACGAGGACAGCGCCAAATTGTCCGCGGATCTTGTCACGAAGACGCAGGAATTGGACGAGATCAAGCACGACGTGCAAAGCTTGAAGGAGGACATCGAGAAGCTGCAGAAAACCATATTGCTGTTGACAACCGAGAACACCGAGTTGGCGAGCAAACTGTCAGCGGAGAAGGCCTGCGCCGACCAGTCCGCCGCGCATCTTCAGAAAACGATCGACGAGCTGTACGCGCGCAACTCGAGTGTCACGAACGAGAAGATCGAGCTGGAGAATAACATGGCGATGCTGAACGAGCAGTTGGAGGCGCTCCGCTCGAAGATACCGGAGGTCAATTTGAACGAAGAGCAGATGATGCTCAAGTACGAAGAGCGGATCAACGGATTGACCACTAAGAACGCAGAATTGCTCAGCACGATCGCGGACAACATGAGAGAACTCGAGATGTTGAAGGAGAGTAAGTCTCTTCTGTACGAACACGATTGCAAGTACAAGGACAAGTGGATGGATCTCGTGCAGCAACACGAATACCAGACGAGCGAGAACAACGAGCTCTCCACTGATCTGATGGACAAAATCGAGGAGAACGACAGTCTCAGGCAGGAATGCGAGATCTTGAAGAGCAAGCTGGAACTGTCTCTGAAGAATAAGGAGGACGTGGGCAACAACGACACGGAGCAATTGAGAACGGAGAATACATTGCTGAAGACCGAGCTGATGGAGCTGAAGGCCAACGTGAGAACTTTGACGGAGGTGAATACGAAGATGTCGAATCAGCTGGAGGAGACCATGGAAGACCTGGATAACGCGCGGAAGATGAATTCGTGCAACAACACTCTGCATCTGTCGACGATACTCAACAGCAGTTCAACGGCGAACGACACGATGAACAAGACTCTGGGGGTCGGTGAAGATCCCGAGGTGAGGATCTTGAATCTGCGAGAAGAAGTCAACCAACTCACGCATCTCAACAGGAAACTCAGTGACCTCAAGTTAAGCACGTGTACTCAGTGCTCTCACTTGAAGGAGCTGATCGATAATCGAAGGATGCTGAAGCTCGAAGTTAAGTCTCTCAATCACAGATTGGCGGACTTGCAGAAGAAGTTCGATCGCAAATCTGCGAGGTCCGACGCGCTCATCATGAGGGCGCAGGAGAACATCAATAGCAGCCTGTGCAATTCGTCCATCAACACCAGTTTCTCGGAGAACATAAACGTCACCTACTTCGAGGAGCAACTCGAGTGCATAAGCAACGACATACAATCTCTGAAGGAGGACGACAATAAATTGTCGGATCTCTGTAAGGAGAAGTGTGACGAGGTCGAGGAGTTTCAGATCAACAGCGTCTCGGACTGTGCTTTCGCCGACGACGAGAGTTTCAGCGTCAAGAAGCCACCGAGCAAAACTTCCTCGAGAATTAACAATATCGAGAAAGTTATGGGCAGTTTGCAGGACGAGCTGCAGGACTTGAAGAGGAACCACCTGAGCGTAAAGACGGATCTCGACAAATTCACCGGCGAGAAGGAATCCCTGCTGGAAGAGATCAATTCACTGAGGACTGTCAACGAAGGTCTGCTGCGGAAGCTATCGGAGAACGAACTCTCGCTCACCACCGCGTCGGAGAAGGTGGACATCCTTGAGAACGAGGTGACTGACATGACCAATCGACTGCAGGAGCTTACTGCGAAGTGCATCGAAATCGAGAATGCGAAGTTGGTTCTCGAAGTTGAAGCGGAAATGCTGCGAGAAGACAAAACGATGAAAGAGGGGACGATTGACGGGTTACGCCAGAGTCTTACCTGCCTGCAACACGAACTGGATTTGATAAAGAAACAGAAAGAGGAGATGGCCAGTAGCAGCAACTCCTTGGAGCAAGAGTACGAGAAGAAGCTGACATCACTGATGGCGATGAACGAGGAGCTGACTAATTCCAAGGCGACTGTCTCGCGGGAATACGACAATTATTCCAAAGAATCGGAAAACAGACACTTGGAATTGATGGAGAAGATGAGCAAATGCACTTCCGAGAACGAATATCTGAAGCAGGAATTGATCAGGCTGCGTGACGTCGAAGAGAAACTCGAAAAGATGAAGAACGAGTACGAATTTAAGACTCAACAAGATAACACACTGGCCGAGGACAACAAGAAGCTCAAAGATGTGCTGAACACCACCTCCGTGAATATCATCAAAGAGATTCAGTCGCTGAAACCAAAGGTCGACACGTACGAGTTCGTGGATAAGTCGGTGGACGAGCTGTTCCGGGTGTTCCTGCAGACGATCCTGGCGAAGGAGAAAGAAATCGCGAAGACCATGCAGCGGCACTTTGAGAAGGAGAGGCAGAAGCTCGAGGACGAGAAACGGCAGCACGTGGACGCGGAGAAGCGCGCTATGTTGTGGGCGAAGGAACTAGAGGGCGAGATAGAGAAGCTCCAGGGCGATCTGTCCAAGCGGGAGACCATATCCGACGAGTTGCAGAAGGAGGTTGCGCGATTGCAACATGTGCTGGAGGAGAACAATCAGGAGAAGGACGCGTTGAGGGAGAGGAACGACCTGCTTGAGACGGATCTCAGTAATCTGCAGGTAGAGTTCGACAGGTACTCGAAGAACGGCACCGTAAACGAGGAGGCCATCATTATCGCGCAGAAGCGGGAGAAACAGGCGCAGGAGACGATCAAGAACAAGGAAGCCGAGTTCCAGATGAAGCTGAAGTCGGAGAAGGAGGCGCACAACAGACGCTTGGAAGACCTCGCCTGCACGATCGAATCGTTCAAGACGAAGAACATGGAGCTGACGAACAACATCGAGGGTCTCACAGCCAACCAGAAGCAACTGACGAACATCATCGACCTGAAAAGCAACGAGCTGATGAAGTGCAATCAGATCATCCAGAAAATGCAGTCCGAGTCGGAACAGCTGACGGACGCCTACAACGAGCTGAACCAGGAGCTGGAGGCGAAGAAGTCGCGTGTCGCGGAGATCACGGAACTCCTGAAGGCCAAGTGCGACGAACTGACGGAGTACAAGACCAAACTCGAGACACTCATGCACGAGAACAATTTCCTCAAGCAGCAGATCAGCGAACGGAAAGCCAATGTGGATCAATACAAGATGGAGATGGAAGCTCTGAAGATGACGAACGAAAAGGCCATAGATGCGATCAAAGACAAATTGAACTTGACGGAGCTGAAGAGTGCCGAGTTGAACAAACAGATAACCGAATTGAACAACAAGAACATCTCCTTGACGGAGGAGTCGAAGAAATTGAGCAGCGATAACGAGACCCTGCGGTCCAAGTGCATCATGTTGGAGAAGAGGGTCCGTAACAGCACGAGCAAGATCCAAGCGGAAGAGCAGATGGAGGAGTTGAAGGACTTGAACAGATCGCTGCGAAACAACCTGGACGGCGCCAGCAATCGGATAACGGAGCTGCAGGCGGCCAAGGCCGACTTGATGAAGCAACTGGTCACTTTGAACAGCCAATACGAGTCCACGTGTAGAGAGAACGGGGAGTTGAAGGAAACGTTGTCGTCGTACAAGTCCAAGTACAACGACGCGTACGCGAACGCATCCAGTGAGAAGTACGACGCTCTGTTGCGGGAGAAGAACCAGATCGCTTTGGAACTGGAGGCGGTGAAGGTGCAGTTGAACCAACAGAGCCGAGACCTCGAGAATCACGCGAGCAAGGTGAAGGAGCTGACGGAGAAGAACGTGGAGCTCGACCAGGAGTCGGAGGAACTGGCGGAGGTGATACGGCAGAACAACGAGGAGAACGCCAGGCTGCAGGATCGATACTACTCGTGTTGTGTCGAGACCGACGCGCTCAAGGAGAAGGTCGAGGCGCTCGAGAAGAGGAACCAGAGCCTTCTGTTGCAAGCCGCGCAGAGGATCAACTCCACGTCGGCCGAAAAAACCGAGAAGCCGACCCACGACGATGCGTGCAGTTGCGCGATGTTGAAGGACAAGATACGCGAGCTGCAGTCCGACGTGGTGTGGAAGAACGGCAAGATCGCGACGTTGGAGCTGCAGATACGCAGCGGCAGCTTCCCGTATCAGGCCAAGTGCAAGGATTTACAGGAACACCTCGCGACGTACAGCAACAAGGTGGGTTCTCTGGCCTCCTCGGTTTATTTCCCAGGAAAACGCACGATTTCGGACACCACGAGCTCGAACGTGTTCTATTTTTACAGAACAGCGAGCTGAAGGCGGAGGTCAAGCGGCTCCAGTTGGCGATGCTGCGCACCAGCGCGAAGGAATGCGACGCGTGTAAGGAGAGACTTGTAAATAGGAGGAACCAGACGTGCCAGACGATAGCGGACAACGTAGTGCGATTTTGCAGCACGAGTAGCGGCATCATCGACGTAAGTGTAGACGACGATCTGAAGCAACCAATGACTGTGTGTGTGCCCTGAAATTTAAGTAAAAAAAGCGTATATAGGGACGGGCGGAAGCTCAAACATGCGGCGTATCCTCGGTTTCATTGGTTGTCCCAGTATTTGTACGCTTCTATATTTTACAATCTCCGTTATATAATTCGAAATGTCTTACATATATACGAACTGTGCGCAGGAGGAGCTCAGAATAGTGAAATTGGAGAAGGAGAAGAAAATCATGAAAGACCTGTGTCGTTCTCGCTCGAAGACGATAAAGGAGCTCGAGAAACGAATAGAGGAGTACGAGACGTTGTTGCAATCCAGATAAACCGCGGAGAGCATATCCTCGCGTCAATCATCACCACCGACTAAATTTTATATCCACGAACGTGAATGTTAGTATTACAAAATTGACCGATATGCTGCTTTTATTGCGGGGGATATGATAATAATTCGATTTAGCATTTATAGCGTCGCTCTCTGTATAATGCTAATGTAAATAATCGCGAAGTTATCTGAGAGATAAGAACGGCATAGTTTTATATTTTTGTAATACGATTGTATGAATTCAATGAATTATTTTATATACGTCGATTTCATATATGGTAGCAATATAATATATATATTTGTTGCCAGTTTTACACTTTCGAAGACAGTAGAAGACCTGTGATATAGAGTGATTAGACTTTAACTCTTGTCTTGAATATAGGATTGTACATATGAAAAGTATATTGCGACTGACTTCCCAACAAATCAGTAAGTACGAACACCAACGACTTAGCCACTTTGTTCCCTTGTATAATCTACTGTGACGTGCCTATTCGCGCACATCTGATATGGAGAAAATCTTTCTGTACTATTTTTCATAACTCGAACGATTTGAAGAATTGTATTATCATCTACTGGCTGAACTGCAGAACCGCACATTTATCCACGTAGTGAGTTAAGTGAGTTTGTACGCACACACAATGAAGAATACACGAGATCGAATCCTTTGGACTGTAAGGCAAGTTTGTAAAGAAAATCATGATGGAATCGCTATGTATTATTGTTACACAGGTTTCATAGACAGTAGGATGATACGTGACTAAAAAAAAAATTTCCACACAAAAACACATAATATGTATAGGGAGTTTCATTTCTTGCGTATATAATAACCCCACACACACACACACACACACACACACACACACACACACACACACACACACACAAAATACACGGAACATATATGAATACAATTTTATTTTCAAAAGATCACGGATAAAATTATTTTTTTTACATACTGAGATGTGTAATCGAAAAAGAGAGAAATACATTGTAATTGACGTAACGTAAGAATTTTATACAAATATAATCATTTCTTGTACAAGTTATACAAGTGAAAGCATTATAATTGAGTGATAGTCACTGTGACTTTCCGACTGAGAAAAACGATTTTTGATCGTATATATATTTTTTTTAAGAAGATACTTGAACGGCGAGCTGATTGAAAAATTATTAATGCTCTCGCTTATATACTTGAAACACTTTGCTAAAGTGTATGTATATGATTACGTTTATTGACAGTTTCGCATAGACTCGAATGTAACGCGCGTTTTATTTCAGAAATATTATATTATTTTTTACAATTTTATTCTACGATTTGTCGAATTTCAATTTCTTCGATTTGTATCTCATCGTGTGCTTGTGCGTCCTCTTCGTGCCGGTTTTTGCTTTGAACAGATCTGAAACGGAAAAAGTCCGTCCTGTTACATCTGGATCGAGTTAAACGAATCGAAATATGAACGCGTAAAAAGGAATAACGATTGTGAACATGCGTTTAAAATCGACGGATGTTCATGTTTTTTTTTCTTTCTCACCTTCATCAGGTTCCTCGCCCACTTCGTCGCGATAATATTGTGCGTCGTCGTCCTCCTCCAATTCGTTATTTTCGGCAGATTCTTTTGCAATTTTCTGTAGCAGTATCTCGCTTTCCTTCTTCTTCTTCTGAATTCCTTTGAGCGATTTTTCCTTGTGTTCCTGCTTCTGTAATTCTTTCTTCTTCTTGTTCTCTTCTTGAGTCCTCTTGCGTTTTTCCTTCAGTTTCCTCTTCTCATCTCTCCTTTTCTTTATCGCCAGTTTCTCTTCCTCCGTTTTGTATACAAGTTCGTGGAAGAGTATCTCCCCGTCGAGAAGGCCATTTTCTACTTTAATTAACTGAAATAAACGTTGATGTTTAACACACACACATCAGGAATAGATATATATCTGTGTAAATTCATCAACTTCAGTTGATTCACCTGCAACGTTAATCTTGGCCCCAGTTCGGATAATCTGATCGCACTCGTAGAGTTAGCATGATTCCCCCTTGAAGATAATTTTTGTGACAGTTTTACGTGGTTGGCTTCATCGTCTTCCGCCTCACTCTCGGACATGGTCGGTTTCGTCAAGAAATCCGAGATGTCTTGACACCTTGACAAATCCGGTACTTTCGCTTGCACTAGTTTTTTAACACCCTTCGATAAGCCCACGGGCACAACCTTAATGGCATAATGCCTGAAGTCGATGGTTTTCGAGGCTGCGTTATAATTCAAGCACACGCAACGGCGAATCGTGCTTAGATTAATCTGCAGTGCCATTAATTTATCTATTAAATATTTACCTGTTAAATATTCTTAAATTAGTTGTTACTTGCGGAACTTACAGTGGTCAGATTTATAGTTGGGAACATATTCTGAAACATGGAAGCAATAAGCTTCAACTGCATGCCTTCTCCGCTAAAATGATTTAAAACTATCAGAGGAGAATTTTTGAACGCCTCCTCGTACACCATTTGCTTCTTCAATATGGATATTACGTCTCTTGCCAAGGAGAAATTATGTACTTTGAAAGTGAGAGTAGGTCCTCTGGGCAGTCTGTTGTAATATTTAAGTCGTTATTTCGCAAATAAATACAGATAAAGTATTATTTATACATTTTCTCAAAAAGTATTACAGTACCTGCAAAGCTTAAGATACATTCCCAATTCTGTTTTTGTAAATATACACATGTGACTAACATGAAGTGCACTTGCGACAGAAACAAAGTCTTTTATGGTGTTCTTTTTGCGAGCCTTTAAGGATGAGGCTGTGAAAGGTTCCATAACTTTACGAAAATCCTTGGTAAGCTCTACAATGTGTTCTCCTGGCAAGCCACGATGAAATATAAAGGAATGAGGTGCCTGTACCAACTCTTCCTTTTCTTCCAGATTTATTTGTTTATTTCGCTTGACACATCGACCCTAAAAAAAGAAGGAAAGATCGTACTTGCATATTCTTTCGTATAGAATTTTTAAAAACCTTTGACAAATTAACAATTTATTTATAAATACATTAGTACTACTGTGTATGTGCGAATGTATGAACTATTCAGATAAGTGTTCAATAGTTGTTTCGTTAACATTTAACAAATATTCTTAAAATTTTTATTATTTATATTTGTTCCATTTGAAGTACACAAATAACAAAATACCTTTTTATGACGACCCATTCTTTTCTCGTTAAATTAGGCTTTCCACCACGTGTTCACAATCCAACAACTGCGGTGCGGTTGGGAGGTTAGAATAAAAAATTAAGATTGAAGAATTATTAGTGAAATAGAACTAATAAATAGAATGAACTAATTATATACATAATCTTTAGCAAAATAAAAAATTGAATTTTGTTCAACCGTCCTTCTAGACAGTTCTTGGCTACAGGTTATAAACAAAATAATCAAATCACGATACATGAAAATGTAGATACGTTGCGTGCGATTGAAAAATCCTAATAAGTATAACCTAAGTCGGTATTCACTGTCGGATTTTACACATAAGATCGTCTTAAGTTCTTCTTCAAATATTGTACGGCTCATTTCATTGGCTATAAAATATCTAAAGATGAACGATAAAGATCCGATTATAAATACCTAGTAATGTCAAATTTTATTGGCGGTTGAAATGTGGCAACACTTTACAATTCGATCAGCTTCAAAATGTGCAAAATTATCCAAAGGTTTGCATTTATTCCGAAATACATCGGAAATGAATATGTTGTGAATTTTCTACCGCCTACCAGTTGCTTCCAGAACTGTTCGAGCACTTTTCTTTCGATGTATTTCAGAATACTTGAACTCAGTCGTCGTCCAATGGGAGGATTTGTTTCTGAGTCGTTTTTCAAAGGATCTCTTTCATTGGATGTTAGCTGCGTTCCGAAATGTCAATAGAAATATGTTTCACATCGTCGAATCACGGATGAATGAAATACATCGCGCGCCAATCAGCAACGCTGGAGCCAGCCATTTCCGCCGATGGAGTCACTTCCGCTTACGGCATCGTAAGGAATTAGCACCATTGAGTTTCAATTCAGTGTTGAGTAAAAGTTACTTGGGAACGGACGAGGCGTTTGTACGAATCGATCCTCCTACGTGAAACTTTCCTCGGGGATCACTGTCGTTTGCTTTGCGAGTTAAAAAGCACACCCAATCGATTGTTATAGCGGAGAGAGTTTGCCAAACGAATCGGTGATAGCGGTTGCGACAAAATGTACACGAGAAACCGGCCGAATCCAAACTACGGCAATGGTAAGTTCTACGGAGACGCGAAGACCCCGGCTCGTCGTGTCTCTACGTTATGTATATGTGTTGCCGAGTATATGTATCGCGAGTACAAGCAACTCTCCCATTAAGTATGCCTGCGAGTAAAAACAAAAGTAACGGTCGTACACTTGTGTCTGGTTATAAATAATTTCTGCCTCACGTATGAGTCGCGGACGTTAATGATTACGAGTGGCATGGCGTAGCCAGCGCGTCCATTTTTTATAAATTGCGAATACGATGAGAAGCTCCCCCTAGTAATTACCGAGTGCATAGCGCGATCGATATCGTCGTAATGGAAAATAAATATTTTATTTTTTACTTCTCAGTTGGCGGAACAAGTTTCTTCGCCTTATCGCTTAATATATTATTGTGTCCTCATGTAGAACCGATAAATGATTTCTTCATTTTTTCTTGCAGCGCGGAACTCGAACACCGGCCCGCCACCTAATGTAAGTTCGTTATTTATTTTTTTTATTTTTTTTGGAATTTATTATATCTGCTTCTATGGATTATTATATCGATACAATGAAATATATAATAAGTAAAAGAATTGCGTTACTAAAAAAATAAGTAAGATTGAAATCTTAATTGTGGGTTTCGCAAAGTAAACATAGCGGTTGTGGGCCTAATATGTGATTAAAAAAGACTTTTTTCAACTTTTCCGTGAAAAAATGGAAAAAAAAACAGGTTCTTCCGAGCCTATAAAACTATAACCTAATATTTTATGTTGCAAATATATTAATACCCACATAACATACATGTCTAAAAGACGCCTCAGAGATGTTCTATTATCTCTGAGACGTTTTTATGATGTTAATGTTTAATGTTCACTACATATGTAGTGTAAATAGATTCTTTCAATTGATTCGCACATAATCCTCACTGCCCAAGTACTTATTTGCAATAAAAAGGTATAGAAATTGTTCAGATTAATAATAACCAGAATTTTAGTTCAAAATAATTTAAATTAATAAATTCATGAGAATTTATTTAGCAGTAGAATATAAGGTGCGTTTATTAAATGTATCAGCTGGTATCTCTTCGCTGCAACAAAATATGAAACATATTAACCATCAATCATGGTCCTTAATGCATTTAAGACTGCCATATTAAAGTAAGTTATATTATGAGTAATTTATACGAGTAATTTGCACAGTGAATAGAATTATGGTTGTGACAATTTTTTGACAAACTATATGAAAATAAATATCTTGTTTTTGAGGGAAGTAAATAAATATATGTATATATACATGTAGACATATGCATATGTGGGCATCTTTAAAATAATTTTGCCGTATGTTCTGACAAAACTGACCTATGAGGTAGAATGCAGGAAAGAAAATCAAAGGAATTTGAGTATTATTACATGCAGTTAATTGCCCTTAAGTATAGATATATTTGTACATAACATTGACATGTAGTTTACCTCTTTCATAGATTATACTAATTTTTCTCACTCACATTTGATCAAATATTCTTACAGAATATTACCATGAAATTTTTTACGCAATTATTATACACCATATATTATATACCGATGTTACAATTTGCTCCCAACAATCACATCATACATTATCATTGTTAAAAACAACCATTTCTCATAAGATTTCAATTTAAATAGACTTTTATTCTTTATATTTATTGCATATATATATATATATATTCTATTGCTAAAAACAAGATAATATATATATATATATATATATTCTATTACTAAAAACAAGATAATACTGCATTCAACCTAGGTTAAAAATCGTTATGATATTTTTACTCAATGAAACATACAGGGTGGCCCATTTTAAAATAACCACTCAAATAACTCACTGGGAATGACCCAAATCAAAAAAAGTTTCGGGACAAAAGTTTCCTATTTTTTGGGGGGAAATTGAATGGTGACCTTGAATTTGACCTTGAAGTCGATTTTCAAGGTTATTTCAAGGTCAACTTCATTTTTTTTTAATAGGAACCCCTATTTTTGACCCCAGATTCTGATAGTGCTTGAAATTCTGCGTTCAACCATATGAATTTTAATAGGGGTCAAATGTCATTTCAAGGTCAAAACGTCAAAATAACAGCATTTTTAAGGTTTTTTAAGGTAAAGTATGTTTTTCAGCCATATGCGTCATGCTAAGGGTCAAAGGTTATTTCACGGTCAAATAGTCGATGGGTTGCTTGTTTAGCGTGAGTCCCCTTGCCACTCACGATGGTGTGCTTGTTTAGCGTGAGTCCCCTTGCCACTCACTTTTTGTTACCTTTATAACTGTTAACCACAAAGTAAGTGTTCAAAATTACCACCATTAGCTTCAAGGCACAAATTCAATCGTCTATGAAAATTTGGCACAGTTCTTAATAAAGTTTCTCTTGGAATCGCTTCACAAGCTTGACGAATACGGTTTTCCATGTCTGCTCTAGTTGTGGGCTGTTGTGAAAATACTGCATTTTTAATGTAACCCCATAAATAAAAATCAGGAGAAGTTAAATCTGGTGAGCGAGGTGGCCAGTTAACTGGATCTCCTCGTCCGATCCATCTTGCATTAAAATGGTTATTTAAAAACTGACGAACAATTAGTGCAAAGTGAGGTCCTGCACCATCTTGTTGCCACCACATTATTATTCTGGTTGCTAAATTAACATTTTCTAACAGCCCTGGCAATCGATCTCGAAGCAATTCTAAATAACTGTTTCTATTAACATTACCCTCGAAAAAATAAGGTCCAACTAAGTAGCCATTTATTATGCCACACCACACCATAAGGCTCCATCTATTCTGATGATCTACAGCTCTGTACCAGTGCGGATTTTCATCTGACCATTAGTGGCAATTATGCCTATTAAGTTGTCCATCACTGTAAAATTTAGCCTCATCAGAAAAAAGCACATACCTGAAAAAGTCAGGATCTTGTATCCTTGCTAAAGCCCAATGGCAAAATTCAATTCGCATTTGAATATGGTTTGGCCTTAATTCTTGAACCAAAGTTATGTGATATGCATGGTATCTTAAATTTCTAAGAATTCTTAAAGCAGTACTTCGTGGAATACCGATTTCCCTTTCAATTGTGCGACTGCTGATTTGACGATCAAGATGTACAGCTGCTGAGACTGTCAAAACGCGAGCATTATTTTCATCGTATTCGTGACGTCTGCGCTGACGGTTAAGGTGTCCACCATGAGCTCTAATAGTTAACGCACGTATCGTCACATGACTGGGATGACGCCTTAAAGGAAATCGTTCAGCGTACCACCGTGCTGCTGCCCGGTAATTGTTCTAGCATTCGCCTAAAACCATCACCATATCAATAATGTGATTAGCAGAATAATCAGCCGTAATGATAATACAGTATTAGTCCTAGAGAGCACTATTTTACTTCGCTTTTTTTCTGTACTTTAATAAAACTGATATTAAAAAATTTTAACTTAGATTTAAATTTTCTGAAATAATGTTAGTTACAGTAAATTAAATGCAGAGGGCGCAAATTTTAACTTAAATTAAAAATTTCTGAAATAATGTTAGTTGCAGTAAATTAAATGCTGAAATCGCTGATTTCAATAGAGGACTCACGATAAACAAGCACCCTGATGGAAACAAAGTTCTGCCACGTTAAAGTCGTTATTCCTGGGGAACGCTGACAGGAGAAAAATGATTCAAAAACTACCAACACCACGCTTCGTAATCCTTATGATGATTTTTGAAAAAAAAAAACCTTAAAAATTTCATTATTTTGACCTTTGACTTTGAAGTAACTTCGACTTTTGGCTCCAGAGTGAAGTTTAAGGTCACGACTAATTTTTTTTCAAACTAAGATTGATAAATCTTAAATGTCACACAACCTGAAGCTAAAATTAAATAAAAACCTTAAAAAATGGAGTTTTTCGACTATTTGACCATGAAATTTTTGACCCTTAGCATGACGCATATGTCTGAAAAATATATTTTACCTTAAAAAACCTTAAAAATGCTGTTATTTTGACGTTTTGACCTTGAAATGACATTTGACCCCTATTAAAATTCATATGGTTGAACGCAGAATTTCAAGCACTATCAGAATCTGGGGTCAAAAATAGGGGTTCCTATTAAAAAAAAATGAAGTTTACCTTGAAATAACCTTGAAAATCGACTTCAAGGTCAAATTCAAGATCACCATTCAATTTCCCCCCAAAAAATAGGAAACTTTTGTCCCGAAACTTTTTTTGATTTGGGTCATTCCCAGTGAGTTATTTAAGTGGTTAAATTAAAATGGGTCACTCTGTATATCTTCACGGGTAAATCTGTACTTAAGGGTTATTTACCCAATATACTTTATACACACACACATATTTGATATTAATCATATTATTATACTCATTATATTTGACACAATGCTTACAAATATATATAAGAAGCTTATAAATATTACAATTTTATGTTGTACGATCTTATATGCTTTCAGAAAGATTTCTATTTCAGGACAAAAACTATCTAGTTACAAGTCTAGATATGTATATATATTCATGTCCATAGAAATTTATAACAATCTGATAAAATTTAAATAAACTATAGCATATTTTTAACCATTTAATTTAAGAAGATTAAATTTTTCAATTCAAATGCAAGCATTTCTTTAGTAACAAGTAATTGATAACAAGCATTGATCGTACAAAATAACAACGTAAGAAGGATTGAGAAGGAAGATAATATCGATTGGTAGCGATATTACTAGTTACTTTGTAATCCGAATATGGATTCCATTTCCTGCCAAAATACTATTCCACTTGCATGTACTAATTAGTGGTTCCTACTTTCCCCTCCCCTGCAACGCAGGTTCTAGTAGCTATACAACAATACCGAGGAGGTGCATTCGACCAGGGACTAGGTCGTCAGTTGCCCACATAGCATACCCTACCGTAGGCCGTTTTCTTGGTAGTTCGTACTGAACTCGTGCCTAAGCAAGTTCTTGTGATGCAAAAAATGATCTAAGCGTCCCGTTTGCGGCATCAGCCGCATGATGCCTTTTTCGGACTCTTGGATACCTTATCCAAATTGAAAGATCAATTTCTATTAGTATCCAGGTCCTACAACAACGATGATCGGCGCGTTTACTAGTATTGATGCCTTTTAGCCTTGAGTCTTTCAATTTGTGCACAAAGAGAAGAAAGCATATGGTACAAATAATCGACAATTTGCAATCGTTGACAGATAGATAAGCGATTGTGATCCTAAGGCGCGAGCTGACTATCCCCTTACGATCACCTAAACATTTTTATTGTTTATGTTACATCTTACAAAATAGTCCAAACATTCAAGGTCCCACAACCAGAGAGATACAGTCTCATTGTTATCACTTTTCCAAATATTTGTTTACATCAGACACACGCACCGTTTGTCGGTAATATACATTATTATTAATTTCAAACAAACTCGGCTCAGTCATGAGTAAAGAGACGTTGGCCACAGTAAAGTTGACCTGGTTGGTATGAGCTATGGGGGTAGCGTTTAATTGCTTTAAAGTGCACATATACGATGCTAGACCTTGGTGGGGTAGCACAACCGTAGAGGTTCCTTGTGTAGCGGCGACCCACCCTATGTTTTGCAGTATAATACAAAGGGAAGTTACCAAACATCGCAGCCCCACCAGCACAGCAACTACAAACAAGGGAACGTACAGCAAAATGTACCCAGCATCAAATCGCAACAGCAACAACCAGCGCAAATAATTCCGACCGCTCCACCGACACGGCCGATGCCGCAAGTAAAACAGCAAGTAACGTCTCAGCAACACTTGCAGCAACAGGGACAGCAGATGCAACAACCGCCGCCGCAACAACAGCAACAACAACAACACCAACAGCAGCAACAGCAGCAGCAGGTGCAGCAACCGCCGCAACAGCAGCAGCAGCAACCGCCAACACCGGCTCCATTGCCTCAACGATTGAAACCGATCTTGAAGCAAAGTGGGATACCGCCGTCTGCGCCCGCTGGACCACAATCTATCCCTTCTCAGCCTACGCCTGCACCTCCTCCGATAGCTGCGTCAACATCTAGTAATAACAAACCCGATGATGTTATGGACGACGAAGGTGACATGTCTGAGAGCATGAATATCGACATGCAGGAGCAACCGAGGTGGCGAAGAAAGACTCCTGGATGTAAGTGCTTGCAAAACCCAGCTTACGGCCATGTGTGTAATCCATTGCATACTTTTGTGTTAACTTATATCCGAGGTTTCTAGGAGCCAATTCTAAGTACATTTCGCACATGTAAAAGAATAGCACTGTCGTCTACATTTTTTGCTTTCACTTGATGTATGTATGAATTATCTATCTTGGCTTCAGAATGCATCCGATAGGGAAATTTAGTTTTGGAGAATTCTTAAGAACCAATTTTCTCCTTGAATACGTGGTCGTTATGAAACTCGTTAGGAAAAAAATGTTTCTCGACCTTTTTGCCGTTGTCTGAACAGTTGAAATAATTACGTTGTCCACTAATATTAAAGCGGTCCATTGATGATGACAATTCACTGCGCAAATTTGAAGATCCAGGAGTTGCGTCGAACGCTCCGGTGTCACACCGTTGAGTTTTGACCCTCCGGCAGTCGGTGTGAACTTTTGTTTGCTGATACTCACGATAAATCGCAATTAGTTCGCGCTGTTGTACATATATATCTAATCCGATTATCTGTATAGTTAAAGTGAACAAAAAGTTGAAGCGTCTTCGTATGAATCAACGTTTGAGGAAGACTCTGCAGCCGAAGAACGCGATCATGGTATTGAACGAGATGAAGGCCGGATGTCAATTTACATTCCCCGAGACACAGGGCCACGTGTCAAACTCGCTCTATCTCGTTCATGCTGAGGTAACGTTACGGAATAATCTTTGCATAATACGCTATCATTCGGACATTAATTAAAAGTCCTGTTCTGCTGTGACGGCATAATAATTTTTAATCCGAACTCTTTTTTATCGATAAAAATGCCGCTAAAAGTAGCTTAGGAACTACTTGAGGAGCCCCATTTAAGGCATTTTTGTCGATAAAAGAGAGTTCAGAACACGGACTTTATATTTCGTCAACGATAATACATGATGATTACAGCTCGATGGTAAGACATATGTTGGACAAGGCTTGTCGAAGCCGCTTGCTCGTCAAGCCGCAGCAGAGAACGCGTTGAAAGCGTTGTTATTGGAGAAAATGACAGCCGCATCTATGAAAGCGCGTCTGGACGCCGAGTCAGATGGACAGGCCAATTCGTCCTCGGAAACTACGAAGGAAGAAAATAACGAAGATGTACCGATGGATTCCGCAGAGGACGAGATCCCGTGGAGCTCAGTGGCCAGTTTCGCGCTCTATAAGCTTTTCCTCGAATGGCATAATCAAGGTACGTCGGTCCCGGTCACGCGTCCTGGCTTGCCACCTGTGAAAGGAATCAAGAAAGAGAACAGTGGCTCGCCCAAAGCTCCTACACAGAAGGAACTGCCGCCGAATCCTACGAACATCCATCCGGTTATGTTATTGAACCAGATGAGACCTGGGCTAACCTACGTTGAAGTTGATCGTCTTGGTAATCCACCAAACACGATGTTCACTCTGTCCGTTGAAGTTAACGGGGTCAACTATTCAGGAACAGGTATGTGCCGAACTTTGCGGAACGACTGTATCGTGAAAAGCTCAAACTATTGACATGCGATTACAAGTGAACATTTTTGTTTCAGCTAAAAACAAGAAGGATGCCAAGAAAGCAGCAGCTAAAGCAGCTCTGTTAGCTTTGTATGGCTTATCTTATCCTGAGGATGCTCCTAAAGAATCTATGGCAGTAGATTAAAGCAAACGAAACGAGAAACATTCGGTATTTAAAATTCCTGTGTACTGTCCCTTTTTTATTTTATTTTTTTTTTTTTTACTTTCCCTTAACAAAACCATGAATTAATATCACGAATAATTGTTAGTCTACTGCACATGAATCGTCATATTATTTTCATAAAAAATTTAGAAATTCTGAGACTAATTCTCACATCTAATCGTATACTATAAATGTATATTTCCATCAAATAGTATGGAAGACGCGATATGCGATTATACTATATCTTTTCATGATGTAACGTAATCATTGAAGATTATAAGCGATACACGATAGCGTAGCCGCGAGACGCTAAGTGCATAAATAAAAATTACAATTTTACTGACATAGAATTAATCTTCAACTTATTAAAAATTGTACATGTATGTAAGGATGGGGCCAATTTTATAGAAGTATAACTTACATGAACATATGAACTGTAAATTTAAATTCTTACAAATAGAACAGTTTTTAAAAGTGCGTTACAATTGGGAATAGCTATATGTATTAAAATGTAAAATGTATATTTTGTGGTTTGTTTACTTAATATCAATAAAATTTAATATAAACTTGATTATAATACATTTTTTTCAATTTTGATAGAATCACGATTTTTCCAAAGTACTTTTTGATTTGCACTATTGTACAAGTAAAATTTGTAAGTATAATATTGGTCTCATCCATATATGTAATATCAATATCACCACATTATATTTGCAAAAATGATGTTTAATATATCTTCATTAGTAGTAATATATCTTCATATAGTTACGAACATTCTAAATAAATTGTAGCATATTTTATCTCATGATATTTACCTATTGTTAAAGACCTTTTCCCATCATTACAACAAAAAATGTACTTCACGATATAACAATACATCTACACGCAGCAAGTAGCTTGTATCTTCTATCATAATTACTGACGTAACGGGCATATTATTATTGTAATGAATTTATATCGGTGACATGTGTTTATTGCTGTAATAATCTTATTTTGACAGCAAGAATAATTGATTGTATTATTATTAAGGTTAGAGAGACCGACACCACAATACATGTATAAGAATATCAGTGTAATGAATAAAATCATGACTTCACATATCGCGTGGTTACTTTTACGTTTATTTACAAAATCAACTGGATGTATTTCGTAATAAAACAAATTAATCTGCGACAAATCAGAGATACGTTGTCTCTGACTTTTGGTGGAAAACTAATTCGGATGAATTTTACAATTTTATACACAATGTGAGAAATTGAATTTTATGTATATATACATACAGATATATATATACAATATGATTTGTAAGATTGATTTGACATTAAGCTCTATTCTAGCGGGTCATATATATAAGTTCACTTCCCTGACAAAATCGATTATACCACGTGTACAGGTGACAATCACTATAGCAACAATTGCCAAACACCAATATACACTATATTGTGTATGCTCGCGTCATGTATAATGGTACACATGCGACAATCATTGTCAAATAATGCATACGTTAAAATTAGTAATGATAGGGCCGACTGGGGTAAGACGATTTACCGTTTCTCTCTCCGTGCGCGAATGTCTCGAACGCACATTTCCGAGCGAAATGTTTTATTATTAAAGCAAAGTGAAAGCGGAAACAATGATCGTGCTTGTGTATTTATCTAGAGCGGAAAGACAACGATAGCGAATTTTCTGGCGGACGCCACGGAAATCTCATACGATTATCACCCCACCCAGGGGGTTCGAATACTCGAGTTCGAAGTGGACGACGTCGAGGTGAACAACGAGCGTATCTTGAGAGACATCGAGCTGTGGGATTGCAGCGGAGATCACAAGTAGGGAGCAATATATTCACTTGCCAGATGGGACCTCTCAGCATGAACGGCAAAACGGAATACGTTGGCGGACGTTTTGCAGATTCAAGAATTGCTGGTCTGCTATGCGCAAAGGTGTACACGGTGTGATACTCGTGTACAGCGCGCAGATGCCGGATTCTTCGAAAGAATTGAAAGAATTTTACGATTACTTTGTTAACGGCTCGAAGCTGGGTCCGAATAGCTGCGTAATACTTCATTTCGATCCCGATAACGCTGCATCGAATGCGTCGAAGATCATTTGTAAGTATTCGCAAGTATCGATGATGCACGTATCGTAGAATCGGATTTCAAGAGTTAACGTTTAAGTTTTCGTATAAAGTATAAAACAGATGAAAATATATATATACCCGATTAATTTTGAAACTATCTGATAAAGCGTCTAGCTTCTCAAGTGTCTCTCATGTCAAGTGTAACGTCGATGAAGGTGGTGATAAATTGAAAACCGACTTTCGCTTATTCCTAAGTGCCTTGATGACGAATTTGCAAGAGGACAAGGAAGAGAAACTGATATTGAGCGATAATATATTATTCGCTAAATAATATATATTCATAGATCAAGAATATGTATATATATCCACACGTGTCTAAAAGATGTCTCAGAGACGTCTTTCGGACGTCTTATTTTCTCAAAGCATCTTTACAGCATCGTAGTGTTTTCTAGATATGTATATATAGGCAGTATATATATGAAGATATTATTTTATACATTTCAATATCTTTATATCTTTATTAACATATATCTATTATTATCCTTTTTTACACTCCTTGTGACAAGTGCACTTAAATAATAATACACTATCGATATTTCGTACGTACAAAATTGTATCACAAAGTAAATGGTTATATTATTATGGGAATATTATTTCCGCACAGAGCTAAATTTTTTGTACAATTATCATCAGACGTGAGGAAATAATATTTTAAAAGTAATTCGTTACTGTCATTGGTTTTCAATCACATAAGAAAGTAATTCTTTATTCCACATGCATAAAGGATTCTATCATTCGTTTACATATGTATATATATATGTCTGTTAAAAAATAGATGAATCTTCTATCCGTATGTAGAATTCATTTATCCCGCGATTCTTCGAATAACGTAGCTGTCAATTCCTTCCATGCTGTTTCCACTTGCGTCTGTGTAATGCTGTGATTCCACAAAGTACATATGACAACATTCGCTTCTTTAACCTGCTCTGTATTACTCGGTTGTATTTGAATTCGCGATTTTGCCGCTTCTTCAGATAGTCCATTTCTATCCATTACTCGTTTTATAGCCTGTATGTAAATATATTTAATAAAAATAAAATAAAAAGAATTTATTATAAATTACGTGAATATATCAAACTTTTAAATATGGCATATATTTTGATTATTTATTTATCGATTATTGTCATTTGATTATTATTATTATTATATTCATATTCAATATTTTATGTAATTGATGGAAAAACATATTGTACAATTGTAAGACATAAACAAATGTTTATAGTTAATAGATACACAAATATAATTATTCAGTAACTCACCTCGTTTTGCGGAATTATGCAAGTCCAAATCTCGTGACAGACGTTCTGCCACTTAGCTTGAATTAAAACCGCTGCTTCCATCACAATAACATCGTGACCTTCGGAATATAGAGTAGCTACCTTTTTCTTAGCTTCTTCTAGAATCCAAGGCCAAATCAGTTTATTTAGCTCATCCAACTGTTTCTGTCAGATGCAAAAAAACATCCATGTATGATCTGTTAAATTATAGATAATAATAGACTGTAAGAAATTATGTATGAATGCATACCTTATCGTTAAACACTATATTGCCAAGTGCCCTTCTATCTATAAATCCATCGGAATTGAGAATGGAAGGACCAAAATACTCGACTGTTTTACGGAAGCAGACTTTTCCAGGTAAATATAAATCGTGAGCTAACTTATCGCAGTTCACAAGACCAGCGCCAAGATTTTGTAATTTTTCAGCGATTGAAGATTTTCCACTCGCAATACCGCCTGTCAAACCGATGATGTATGGCTTCAAGGGCTTGTCCTTTAACCTCTAAGCAAAAGAGTTGTTAAAAATAGATGTTAATCCTGTAATACTTAAACGCGACATAAAAAAATCTCATATATCAGAAAATATTGATTGCATTTTGTATTGTGTTGTAAGTGCAGAACACTTACAGGAGGTTGAAGCCTCATGCCCAGCAATCGTATCCTGTGATTGCTCGAGCTGATCTTGGCTTCTTCATGTTCATTATAATGTTCGTTATTTGCCAATTCTACTACGTGAATATCCAGTTTACCCAAATTCTTCTGCAACCGCAGTTCATTGACTTTGTCACCGCCACGCTTTGTTTCCTGACTCACAACTAGCATTTCAAACGTTGGATCATCTTTGGTAGGTCCGTACATATCATTGATAGGAACAACATCATATGTTATCGAAGAGTCTACATCCTCCAGAAATTCTTTAACCTCCTTTATTCTTTTTGTACACGGTTCTATAAGCTCCCATAATATTTTACCTGAAAATATTTCATATTATATCATATTAAAGTACTGTACGATATAATGTATTATCGCATAATTTTCTTTCTGCGAATTCACTAGAATTATTGCTGTTATACACTTAAATCGATCGGGACTGAATAATATAAACAATGAAATCGTACTAGAAATCATATTCGTATCAGTTACACCAACAGTAAGCTTCTCTGTGCAACGTAGAACAGCTTCGCTCAACATTATCTTGTGACCATTGTGCAATCGATCGAATGTGCCACCCAGCACTACATTCCTATAAGTGTTTACCCTTTGAACAGAGGGACATTCTGGGTCTTTATGATCGATTTGATCCTGATCGTCGTTGCAAGTGACAAAGCTATAGTCCACTGACATATTGGCTAAGCAGTCTTGTATGAATGAGTCAGCTTCTTTCTTACTGCACATCCGATCGAAGATAACTATTTCTACGGGTTTTTTGGTGTTTATAACAGATCTGTTGGGATACTTTGTATTAGTGAGCAAGACACGGACATCGAGCCTGGGGGAGATCGTAGACGTGTTCACATAAATGTCCACAATGTTCTGAGAGCATTGCAGGCCTCTCCGTTGCAACGACACCGTATTACTATTATCGTATTTCCCTGACGCAAAGATGCTCTTTTCCGGGAGGTATTGTATGTACAGCGTCTTCAAAACGTGCTTCTTAATTACAGGCAGTAGCATTTTCACCCTTGCAGGATTCGTCAAAACTAATAAACCAGTGTTTGCCATGTCGCCTGAGATTTGTAAAAATTCGTCTGGCTTCTGTACACTTTTCTGATAATTTTCTCTGTAAATCGTTGAAAAAGTTCACTATTTATTATCAAGATCGTTGAACATTATAGATTAGGAATAATGCAAGTCATAACTTCAGACGAAAATTTCCTTTCTCACGTTTCCTCCATTTCTTTACGAAAGTACCCGGGATTTAAGCAGAAATTTATTTATTTATTATTAAATTTATTTCAATTAGCAAAGCAGAAAACAATTTGTCCTGTAATTAATAAGTAACACAAAACTATACTGTAAATCGTCCATAACAAATAATGTACGTGGCAGGTACAACCAGAAATTATCCGAAATCGGTAGATTCGCGCGACTTCACACGCTAAACGTCTACAAATAAAACTGTAAAGAGTATTCTGTAATACAACGCCGCCAATCGCGAAAGGTGGCAACTGCTAGTTAGTTACAAGATGCATTTCCGCTGTAATAAACAGTCGTAGTTACTAAAGTTGCTCAATTTTTAACTCCTTGATGACAGCAACTGATAATAACGTCTCATTGCAATCCAAAATAGCACTTTGTAACTGATAATTGCTATTTTTCGCGATTAACGACGGGGCATTTGCGATGCATTGTAGAATGTCCTTAAATATCCGAGAAATGCACCAATCAGAATGCAATACGATGACTCCGAGTCGGGTCAGTAAGATCGAAAACACCATTAGCGAGTACTAATGCATTCGATCAAATTCGCTAGAAACTAATGTGGAATGTTTTTTATTGCTGCATTATTGCTGTATTAGTTCTCATTTCCTCTCTTTCCCTCACTGAATCTCAAGAAAAAGAGGAATAGAGCCACTACAGCAGAGAAACAGACCCAAGATATATAGCCGCGAGAGGGCGGATGAGTTGAATGGCTTCTGCCAATCAACGTACTGTTTACCACCATAAGAGCTGTAAGTTTATTGGCTACCGCATCGTTTCTCACCGCGTAACAACGATTGCATGTTCTTCATGCCGAAATCGGACCACGTGCTACAAATTCACAGCATTCCTCTTTCTCCTCCGTTCGTCCTCGCAGTTGCCGCGCACCAAGCGTGATCTCGACCGTAATCTTTCTCGAGTTTGTGAAGTCTGTAAACAAAGGGGATGCTCGGACGCCCGATAGCCGTACAAACGAAGAAGAAGAAGAATAAGTTCTCCTTCGAGTCTGTCAGAGTGTTTCGATCGCGATTGCCGAGTTAAAGCGGCATAACCTGTGCCAGCAGGTTCGGACGTTCGTCTCGAAGCGGACGAAGAGAAACGCGCAGCATGGTGCAGAGCAAGATATTCGCACGGAACCGTGCGCTCGGTTACGTTAGCAATCACATACCGTTGGTGACACGGTACATCCTCAGGAGAAAGGAGCACTTCATCGTCACCTGCATCGGCAGGGCGTTCCACACGTACGACTGCAAGCATTTCACGCTGTTGAGCGTGTCGGGCCAACATCCGGACGATATCACCGCCCTGGCTACCGACACGTTCCACGTGTACACAGCGAGCGCGACCAACATATACGCATGGCGCCGAGGGATGGAGCTGAAACATACCTACAAGGATCACGAGTGCCCGGTGCACCTCCTGCTGCCGTTCGGTGCTCATTTGCTGTCGGTCGACGAAAGCAGCGCCCTGAGGATATGGGACATCAAGGAGGAGACACTGTTGTCGGAGCTGAACTTCAGCAACACCAACTTCAAGATCACCACGATGATGCATCCCAACACCTACATGAACAAGATCCTATTCGGCAGCGAGCAGGGCCAGCTGCAGCTGTGGAACATCAAGAATCTGAAGATGATTCATTTGTTCAAGGGATGGGACAGCAAAGTCACCGCGTTGGAGCAAGCTCCGGCGTTAGATGTAGTAGCTGTGGGTCTGAGCAACGGCAAGATCATCCTGCACAATCTCAAGTACGACGAGAGCCTCTTCGACCTGGTGCAGGACTGGGGCTCGGTGGTATCCATCAGCTTCCGCACGGACGGCCAGCCGATCATGGCAACGAGCAGTCCGTCCGGTCACATCGTGTTGTGGAACCTGGAGCATCGCAGGATGGAGAACCAGATTTGCCAAGCGCACGGCGCAGCCGTCACCGGTATGAAGTACATACCGAACGAACCGATGTTGGCCACATCCTCGGTTGACAATTCCCTGAAGCTATGGATATTCGACTCGACCGCCGGCGCAGGCAGACTCCTGCGGATACGAGAGGGTCACGGCGAGCCGCCCACGCTGGTGCGCTTCTACGGGAACGACGGTAACTACCTGCTGACCGCGGGCAGCGACTCCTCGCTCCGGCTGTTCTCCACTGTCACGGAGATACTGAACAGAAGCCTCGGCAGAGCATCGTTCAATCGGAAGTCCTCGAAGAGGAGGTCTCGCTTGGTCGAGGACCCGCTGCTGATGCCGCCGATCGTCGACTTCTCCGCCGGGACAACGAGAGAGAAAGAATGGTGTAACGTAGCGGCGATACATTACGATATATCCGTGGTCTCGACGTGGTCGACTTATCTGCAGAAGATGGGCGAGCTGAAGCTCAGGCCTCACGGGTTCAAAGACATTAGCAAAGTCAAGGCAACCTGCCTGTACGTGACCAAGTGCGGCAACTTCGTTGTGATCGGCTACAGTACTGGGCACGTGGACAGGTTCAACATCCAATCGGGTGTGCACAGAGCGTCTTATGGGGTCGTAACCAATGGTTTCAACGAGGGCGCTCACCAGGGCGCCATAGTCAAGGGTGTCATGGTCGATGATCTGATGCAAACTGTCATGACCGCCGGCACTGACGCGTATATCAAATTCTGGGACTTCAAGCCCTTCAAGAAAGGTACGTGTATCTTGCGTGTAAAATACAGTAATGTGAAATTTTCTGTTCTTAATACCCGGGTATTCTAGATACTTGATTAATGTATAAATTATCTATAGTATTATGTAATTTATTTCCCGGGTGAGAATCTGATATTTCCTCCTCCTGGTACCACTGAACACGAAGTTTCAATAGGAAACCCTGTTTTTCGTCAGGTGTAAATGCAGCGAGGACGATATTGAAGCTGCAGAACTCGATCGAGTGGATACGATACCACAATGAGTGCTCTCTCGTAGCTGTATGCTTGCAAAGTTGCATCATTGTGCTATTGGACATGGATACTAGGAGGATAGTTCGACGTTTCGAAGGACACACCAGCCAGATAACAGACGCGTGCTTCAACCCCAACTCCAGGTGGTTGACCACAGCGTCTACGGACGGCACGATTCGTACTTGGGATATACCGTCTTCGCACATGATAGACATCTTTGAGGTAAACTCGACGTTAACAAACATCGACCGATACTTCACGTTATTCATAGCGAGTTCGATCACCCGCATAATACCGAATTATCGCACATCGGAGGCTGTTATATTTTAGACCCACCATATCATTTTGATCGATTAAACACATAATAACGATGTTGTTGCGTATATTCAGCAGAATATACATTATTTCGTCATGAAAGTGCTTATGTTGTGCCATTGTACTTGGATATTTGATGTGTAGCGGCCTTTAGTGTGTAATCCGGCGTAGGGTGATCGAATTCGCTTTCAGATTGACGAGAAATGACTGTTGAGAAAATACTCGAGCTGGACACAACGAATATACTTGCAGGTTCCTGAACCTTGCACGTCCCTGAACTTCTCCCCAACCGGCGAGTTTCTGGCGACCACGCATGCCGGCAACCTGGGGGTCTTCCTGTGGTCGAATCGCATGCTCTTCTCGCACATCTCGCTGAGAGCCATCGGCAAGGAGTACATGATACCCGAGATGGAGCTCCCCGGCACGTCCGTGGAGAGCGAGAAGCCCGACGACGATGACGTCGCCGTGGAGCCGGACTACGTGTCGCCCGATCAGCTCGACGACGATCTCATCACGATGTCCGCCGTGGCGCAAACGAGGTGGCAGAATTTGCTCGACATAGACATCATCAAGCAGCGAAACAAGCCGAAGCAGGCGCCCAAGGTGCCGGAGACCGCACCGTTCTTCCTGCCCACGGTGCCGTCGTTGAATCTGCGCTTCGACTTCTCGGACCTGAAGATCGGCGAGACGGACGAAAAGCGGAGCGTACACTCCACCTTGCGAAATCTCACGTCGTTCGGCAGAAGTCTGCGGTCTACCGAGGAGACCGACGACTTCCGCGACGTGGTGGAGATACTGAAGGCGATGAACGTCAGTGCCATCGACTTCGAAATCCAGTCATTGTCGGCGGACGAGCACTCGGCCCACACGTTACTGGTACAGTTCATGAAGATGATCCGCTACATGATGGTACGACAGACGGACTTCGAGCTGTCGCAGGCTTACCTGGCGGTGTTTCTCAAGTGGCACGGCCCGACGTTAACGGGAAAGCCCGCGCTACGGGAGTACCTGCAGGTAATCCAAGAGGCGCAAACGAAGAACTGGCATATGTTGCGGGATAAGTTACTTTACAATATCAGCGTTGTACAAAATCTAAGAAAAATGTAACGTGTAAGTAAATAAGATGTGGGAACTGTGTTGCGACACGTTACGTATCGTAATATATCGTGTGTACGCTGTTTTTTAAGTTTGTAAAAATAAATATTTAAGTACTTCTTTACCGATGCGTTTTAATCTTTGCTAAACGTACTCGTATTACGATTATTTGTTCTCGTATTTGTGGTCCTCGTAGAAGACTGAGATTATTTAGTGGATCCGTCCGTTCGATACGATTCCATAATTATTGTTTGAGCAATATACATTATAAGAATATGTGGATATTGGACTCCAGATGGTGCGCACTAATGTATCTTGGAAAAATATCTTTATTTTATCAATTACATTTTATTTGTATTTGTGGTTCTCGTAGTTTGCCCGCAAAATGATTTAGTAGAACACCGTCCACTCGATACGATTTTATAATTACTTCTTGAGCGGTGTATGATAAAAACGCAGGTGGACAATGAATACCGAATGGTACAGACTAATGCGTCTTGAAAAAATATCCGTGTTATTTTTTTCAATTACATCTTATATATTTGTGTATCTTGTAGTCTGCGCGATATTACATTATTCAGTGTAAAACCGTACACCTAACATGATTCCACGATTATTTTTTTTGGCGGAACCAATATACGTTTTGAAAAAATATCCATGTTATTTTTACAATTGCATTTCATATTCTCGCGATTTTGTAGATTGCGCGAAGTTATTTAGTAGAACCGTCCATTCGGTGCGATTCCACAATTATTTCTTGAGCAACGTACACGATAAGAACGCGCGAACGAATTGTAGACTCCGAATGATGCGCACTGTAAACGCATCTTGAAAGAAATATCCGTTTATCTTACCAGCTATATTTTAAATTACAAATATCGAATAATGTACCTACATTGAGATATTTGTCCGTCCCAGTGTGCGTGTGTTACATTGCATACACAACTGCTGTAATAGGTTTCGTCAACATACATATTTCAATGCAGATACTCTCGACTGTACAATTACTAACGAGACTATTACGTCGTCTCCCACGCGGGTAAAAGATAAAAATTAAAATGTTAACTCGAGTCCATAGGGTGCGAGCGAACACGATAAGCCTGAAACGCAGCATTTTGTCGACAGTTCGAAGCGAAGAAGAAATACAATATACGTCGCACGATAAATTCAAGATGCAGCGTTTCCCTCGGCTTACGGTTTCGCCCGGTGAGTCATAAGTACACTTCGTGGTGAAGATGAATATTTACAAAATCACTCCTTGTAACTGAGAAAATTCTGCAGCTGTTCTATTCTCACTGGCTCAAGGTAAAGATCGTTGATGTACGGCTCGAAGTTGGTGATGATTCTGTAGAGGCTGCGCTTAATCGTGCTGCGCAACGACGTGAAGATCTCCCTGGTCGACTTGTCCTCCGTCTGGGGTCTCCTGACCGACATACCCGATTTGTGCAGCTTGTCGAGAGCCTGCTTCACCGCCAGCAGGACGTAGATGATGGTCGGCACGTCCTTCTGCACGATACCGTAGGAATCCTCGGTTAACGAGGACACTGTAAGCGACGAGATCGCCTCGACGGCCCAGATCACTAACTGGCCGTTGGAAAATACGTAGCGCATCTTGTTTTCCTCCTGCTCGCCGAAGACGTAGTTGATGAGCGGCTTGGAGAGCAGGTAAATCACCAAGGCGTCTCGTTTCTGCTTAATGAACTTCTGAACGAACCAGCCATTGCACATGGGATCAACTTTTGCGTCGATCTCGGTCGTCGTCGGCATCGTCGTTGGCATCGTCGTTGGCATCGTCGTCGATATCATCATCGGTATAGCCGACGGCAACGGTATTTCCTGCGTCGGCGGCGGTATTTCCTGCACCAGTTTCCGCATGCGATACAGGTAGTTGTTCTGCGTTGCGACCATCGTCGTCAGAGGTGCAGCGGTATAAAACGTTTTATCCGGCAATTTCAAGCATATGGTGTTGAGATTGATCGTGAAGTTCTTCAGGAGATCCATGCACTTTTGCACCACGCAGTTCCAGTTGTACGGATGACCACCTGGCTGGCTGAGAGTGAACAGTAAAACCCTCCTGCGTTGCTCCTTCTGAGCTATGGTGACCAGGTCCAGGTAGCCCAAATGTTGTATTATCGGCACCTTGTCCATGGAGATTGCGTCGATGAGCGTCAGCTCGGAGTCGTCCGAGCTCAATGTGCCGCTCGTGCCGATCTTGAACCACACCCACTCGGTCATGTAGATCTCGAACAACAGGTGTGTGCTGCTGATTGTAAGTGCAAAGAGGAACTGATGCAGCCACAGCCGCGATATCAGCGTAAAGTTCAGCAGCTTGGATACAGTGTCCAAGACATCGGACTGCTCTATCTGCATTGACAACGCAGACAGTGTGCTGCGATAGTAGGATCCCAGGAAGTAGTAAGTCATGGTATAATATAGAGTTGACCAAGCTGAGGAGATCGTCAACATGGGCAGCACAGCGCAGATGCTGCGTCTCAGCCGGCAGAACTTGGACTGTGCTATGATGGGGAAGCGGAAATACCTGCGGGTGACATTGTCGCTTTTGAGGGAATAGTAGAATCCATTCCAGAAGCCACTGAGTAACAGGAAATAGTATTCCTCCGCCAGACAATTGTCCTGCAAGGTGCTGCACTTAACGACCGGTGAACTGTACCTGCCACCCATCAGTGACAAGTACAGCCAGACGAGGGTACCGCCGATAATGATATACAAGGCGCACAACAGCAGATTTTGCGTCGTGAGGGTCGAGCATAGCTTGGTGAATCTGCTCTTGTAATAAGATGGACTGCGCAAGTAGATTTTGCTGCAGAGGAAACCCTGTACAAAGGTCACCGTGATGAGAATCAGCAGGTAGATCCACATACGTGGTGACATGAAGGCCGACCAGGTCGCGTACAGCCAGTGAGCATAGTCCGTGCTCAGGTTCGTGAAGAGCACGAGGCAGCACAGGAGGAAGAATTGCAGCGTCACGCTGGATATGCTGGCGAGCAGCATCCGCTGTATCAGCAGCTCCTTGCAGCTCTTCTTCTCGGTCTCGATGATCATCTCGCTATCGCTGGATGCCGGTTAACCTCTACGCGCACGGCGTGCGAGCAAGTTACGCCGCGAATATCAGTTCGTCCAGTCTCGAGTGTGCGTCACTCGACAAAGTTCTTCGGAATTACGTCTTCAGCTCAGTGCTTCATAACGTCCTCCGTGAAAGGTCCTCAAACGATTTTCTTTTTCTCACGATAGTAGACGAACGGTTACACGCGATATGGTGCCCACATGAAATTTCAAAATGCCGCAAACTAGCGCAACCTAGGGGCCGGGAATTGACTTCCCTCCGGAATCAACCAGTGAAATGCGAGCACGACTCTTGCATTTACCACAGTCTTTTCGACTGCACTCAAAGTGAAAGAAATGCAATCGAGGCATCGGAAGGCGGTAAAAAGAGGAGGATAAAAGTTTTTTCCGGCTTTTTGGTAAAAAAAAAACACGTAATTTTCAAGGGAAATTAATTTTTTTTTATTCAAAATATTGGCCATCGATTTCTACACATTTCGCCCATTTTTCAGGTAATTTATGAATACCATGCCAGAAAAACTGCTTGTCTTTTGCGGCAAACCATTCGTCGAGCCATTTTCCAACTTCCTCGAAATTGCTGAAGTGCTGCTCTGCGAGCGCGTGCCCCATTGATGCGAAGAGGTGATAGTCAGATGGCGCCAGGTCTGGGGAGTACGGCGGGTGCGGAAGGATGTCCCATCCAAGCGATTTCAAGGTGTCTTTCACTGGTTTTGCTGTGTGAGACGGCGCATTGTCGTGTAACAAAATCACTTTGCCATGTCTTCTGGCCCATTCCGGTCGTCTTTCGATTAATGCGTAGTTCAAATTAATCATTTGTTGGCGATAGCGATGTGTATTAATGATTTCGCCGGGCTTCAAGAGTTCATAATACACAATACCGCTCTGGTCCCACCAGACACAGAGCATGGTCTTCTTGCCGAAGCGATTTGGCCTTGGTGTTGGTGGACCGGCTTCGTCAGGTGAAAACCACGATTTTTTCCGCTTCGGGTTTTCAAAATAAATCCATTTTTCGTCACCCGTCACAATTCGATACAAAAATGATTTCCTTTCGTGGCGTTGAAGCAGCATTTCACAAGTGACTTTGCGATTTTCCATTTGACGTTCATTCAAATTGTGTGGGACCCATTTACCGAGTTTATTGATCTTTCCCATTGCTCGTAAACGTCTGCTGATTGTTTCTTGTGATACATGTAATGCTTCTGCTAATTGCCGTTGAGTTTGAGTTGAGTCATCATCCAATAACTCCTGCAATTGCTCGTCTTCGCATTTTTGTGGTCTACCAGAGCGCTCACTGTCTTTCACATTGAAATCACCATTTTTAAATTGTCGAAACCATGTCTCACATGTTCTAATCGATGGAGCGTGTTCACCATATGTTTCTACCAGCAAACGATGACTTTCAACAGCCTTTTTCTTTTGATTAAATAAGAAAAGCAATGCGTGCCGCAAATGTTTTTTTTCAGGCACAAAACTCGACATGATCACTGAACGATAAAACAAAGACGCTAGTTTTTGGCGGACTCAACTTGTGTGTGTTTGTATTTTAAATGTCAGACGAACAAAATGACGTATGTGTCAAATTAATACGCTGCGTACTTTTCGCTGGCGCCATCTCTTAGTTAAACCGGAAAAAACTTATGCATACACCTGGTAATCGATGAAATGTGCAGCTGAAGACAGAGTGTATTCGTTGTCCTAGGAACTGCAGTTAGCAACGTCGTCTCCGCAAAACCGATTCTCCCATTGGCTGTCGAGTAGCCAATACGCAACGTGCAATTTGAAATTCAATTTGAAAATTTTCCCCGATTACCGCTAAATTATCGGGGTTTGTTTAAAACCTTTTTTTTTTTTGCTACTTTTGCAGCTAATCCAAAATTTTGCATTAAATTCTAAATCAATCTGAGATACGCAGGATCAACGATAGCCCATCATATTCCGGAGTTTCGTTTTTCGGGAAGTTCTTCGAATGTATTTTCTGCACCCTTTTCTCACCTTTTCTCTCCCCCATTTCCCATTTTTGTTTCGACATTTTTTAAATGCAGGATCGAAATCTTTCATTTCAGAAAAATATGAAGGTGAGCGAGAATCCGAATAAATTCAAGAAACGTGGGAGACCACCACCGAGTGTGAAATGATGACGAAAAAAATGTCCGGAGGTTCGAATGGTTGCGTGTTTCAGTTTATTCGCGCAGGAATGCGGTAGAGATAAACGGCAGGCCTACTGTTTATAAATAACAACAACCAATGATGCTGAGGAAAAGAAGATGAGCGCTACGGTACGTTACTGTGTGTATGTATTTTTTCTACAATAATACTTAGGACATTAAAACAATTTTGACAAGCGGGCATTTACAGGACGAGCTTTCGGCTTCTTGGCGGATCAGAAACGGGAAATATCTGAACGAGACGCGGTCATCCTGCGCGACGCGAGAGGAGATACATTATTACATCGTCCGCAGCCTAATTAATGTCAGCGGACGATGCTTACGGCGACGGTACAACGGTGAGATAGCGCGGCAGCGCTGATACGAGCGCAAACGTGGGGAAGCGAGTAGACGGCAAAAGTCGACCCCTGAGGTCAGTCGTCCGTCATCTTCTGTTTATCATTTCTCGCCGTCGATACGGCCAAGTGTTGCGCGAGTCGCACGGGGCGCGATAAAATGCGACGAGTGGATCGAACGTCGGCAAACATGAACTCACGGAGGTCCAGGAGAGACTCGGATCTCGTTCTATCGAACTTCGGTCAGAAGGAGCATCTCTTCAAGTTCCTCGTCATCGGGGACTATGGTGTCGGTGAGTGACGGTGAATCCGTTTATGCGCTTTTTAATAACGCGTCACTCAGCGAACGAATGATTTTTAAGCGCGCCGATATTAACGTATCGTTGACGCTTATAGAAATTGTTACATTTTCTTCGGTGTGCGATAAGATAGGCGGACTTAATCTGCGATAATCATTCCACTTTTGCCGATTGTATAAACGTGTCTGCTCGATGAGTCACACGTATTTATTACAGGGAGAAATAATAAGAGATCAGACTTTCGTTCACACGAAACATTTCTTACAAATTTTTCCGCAAGATCTCGGAATCACCTTAAGAACTGCGAAAAAAACAAAGTTCTCGTGAAAATTCTCCGTATCAAGTATTCGAAGTCTGCGAAAAGTTTGACAAAATTTGGGAAGTATTCGTAGAACTTTGCGAGATGTTATTGAAATCTTGGGCCACTTTTAAAGAATCTTAACATGTATATTATTTTCTTCAACTTTCAACAGAGATGATTTTCTACACTTATATTTCAGGCAAAACCGCGCTGGTCAGAAGATACACGGAAGGTAACTGCGATTTCTCTCGCTCTCTCAGTTTGTTATCGATTCGAGAGTCGTTTCGCGAGAACCACCCGTTGACCGGTCAACGTCGTGCGTCCGCGTGAAACGTCTCGAGAAACGTCGTAGTCGCGCTCGCGAGAGATCATTGGGCGCGTATAAGTTCGGGGAAGAAGAAATAAGATACGTAAGCCGGCTGATCCGCTCTAAGAGAACACGTGGCCGCCGCAGCTGCGTGACCGCCGCTAATCCACACGCCGGCGCCACACCGAAAAACTATCTTTTGCAGGGAAGTTCTCCTCGAATTACAAGATTACCATAGGCGCCGATTTTGCGATAAAATCACTCGATTGGGATCCACACACTAAAATAAACTTGCAGCTATGGTACTGTCGATACGTTCGCCTCTATCTTATCTATTTTTATCGCGCCTCTGTTTATTCTGTTTCTTTCGCCTTTTCGAATCTTCTTCTTTCCCTTATTTTAATTCTGTATCGCGCATAAACGGGGAAACCAGGAGAGAAGGATAATTCGATTCTGAATTTCAGGGATATCGCCGGCCACGAGAGATTTGGATACATGACGAGGGTCTATTACAAATACGCGTAAATACAGCTTTAATTATGTTCCTTAAGGCCAATCGCGTGTGAGACGCAGATCCTATTCTAACTATCCAAGTAGAAGAGTTACAGCGCTTTTCGAAGTCTCGAAGATTGCTTATATAGACACTTCGTTCTAGTATTATATTACAGTATTATATTTATCGGTGTGAAAGCTTGCATAATTTGTAATCCGGGTCATATTGAAGATTTCGATCGTTCGTTAGCTCGTTCGTTTTTTCTCTCACTTTGACTGGTGACTGATCGATCGACTCCTCGCTCGTTGATCTGACCTGTGTGTAGAGTGGCCGCGGCTCTCGTATTCGACATCTCACGCATGGCGACCTTTCAGTCGATGAAGAAGTGGCTGTGCGATCTCAGGGAGAAGGTTACACTGTCGGACGGGTCGAGCATACCGATCGTACTGCTGGCGAACAAGTGCGACATATCGGTCGCCGTGACCAACGAGCAGATCGCTAAGTTTTGCAGGGAGAACGGTATAGACGCCTGGTACGCGACCTCCGCGAAAAACAACACCAATGTCGGTAGGTAGTCGCAGAGCGAATTCACGAATTCAATATTGGAGGTTGACGATTGTTGATTAGCTTATTCGGATTCGATCAGTTTTACCGACGGGCGACTTGCGGGGGAAACTGATCGCGCGATTTACCGAATTTGCAGATTCAGCGATGCGCTATTTGGTGGAGAAAGTGCTGAGCGCGAAGATCGACGGCGGCGTGCGCGACTCGATACGACTGCGCGAGGCCTCGTTGAATCGCGAGAGATCCAGCTGCTGCAAATAGAGGACGACGTGCTGCAACCGGCTTGTGAAATGTCGATTGTCGTCGTCTAGAAGTGATTGCATCGCAGCATGTATGAACGACGATGCGGGACCACCGAGCACGAAGATCGCGCGATAAAACACGGCAGAACTGACGCTATATAAGTTATCCCCCTTCCCCGTGAGGTTCATATATTACAACAGTGTATACATTGTTTTACATTATAATCTTAACCGTTACTGCTGACTACGCTAAAATATTGTCCGCTAAACAGTTACCTACAAGTTTACCTACAAGTTAAACAGTTTACATGATAAAATACATAACAAAACCACGTCACGACAGCCCATCTAGTCGCCGGCTGGAGTCTTCGGCGAGAGAAAACTCTCCCGTCGGGTGCTGAAATGTGCACGGCGAGGGGCAACGCGAGTTGCTCACTATGGAAGATTCTCTACAACTCGTACACCCGTCCGTCAGTCGTACGAAAGGTGTTTCGTATAAAAGAAAAAGGAGCAAAACAAGGTCGAGTTCTATTCCCGTCCAAGCACGAAAGTTGCTGAAACGTCGGTGACTTCCGACGGTGCAGCGCAACGCGCGTTTTCCGATTAAAAGTAAAAAAAATAAAAAATAAACTTAAAAAAGAGCGAGAGGTAGTGTGTAGAAAAAAAAAATTCCAAGATCCCTCGCTCAGTTCGTTCGTATTTCAGGACGTCGTCGTACGGAGAGTCCACGAGAGTATACAGCAAAGTATGGAAGCGGGGCGGATGACGAGCCATTCGCACGCTAGAGTCCTCCGGCTTCAGGCGGGTATTCAGGGTCTTTTAGGGTGACTCCCACCAAATTCTGATGGATCTGATCGACGATTGAAAATTGCCGTATCAGTCAAGTATTACCTGCACCCTTATTCGGTAACTCGTAACGACAATTTCGTTGTTGTTAACGTATCGCTGCGCAGTTATTTCGTAATACATTTTGTTCGCGCGAAAATCTGTATAACGCGCGGTTAAAAGTTTCAAGATAAGGACGCTGTTTCATCTTGCTCTAACGCAGACAGATACTAACTTGTCGTATTCATATTGTTGAATGACAAGTTACAAAACTGGAGTCGTCGGCAATTCTTATTATCATTCATCGATCAGTTCGACCTCAGTCTGGCGAAAGTCACCTTAAAGGTCACTTTCAGTGTCGCGTACGTTCAGGTCGTTTGAGGTAAATCCTCTTCTATTTTCCTCTCTATGAAGAACTAGACCTTGTTATCCATATTCAACCGCCTCAACACCACCTTGGCGCCTTCCGTCATGTCCTGAATGAACTTGAACATCTCAATGCGCATTTTGCCGTTCTTAACGTCCTCCGGACTGTTCATGGATCTGCGCCGTTGCCGGAGGCACCGTTGCTGAATCGCGTTGCTCTTGTACGTGTGCAAATCATGGTAGAAGTCCTCCGTGATGTCCTGAAGCATCCTCGGCGAGTCGTATCGCGCCTCGGACAGGGTGGTTTGCGAGGTACGCCGAGTCTCGTTCCTGTTCTTCCCTACCGTGTGTCTCACATCGTCGTTGCTGGCCTCCGCGTCGTTCTCGAGATCGATCATCATGCGCGACTCGTCCTCGGCTTCGTTCCTCGTTTTCTCAAGATCATCCACGACCTCGATGACAGACTCGCTCGCGGTATCGAGACGCACGTCGCGATTTCCCATCGATGAGGCGCTTTGCTGCATGCATTCTTCATCTCGCTCACCATCATTATTTTCCCACTCCATTGATTGCTCCCTATTCTCTATCGCGTCTTCGTTCGTCGAGTAGCTGTTGCTGGTCGCGATATCCGAATGAGCTTGCTGCTGCTGCCAACGGATATCACGTGGAATCGGCGTGGAATCCGACCAAGAGCTCGTCTCGGAAATCACATCCTCCGCAGATGTCGCGCTCTGCGTCTTCCTCTGGTTGTTGGGCGCAGGTGGAGTCCTGCTGGCGGCAGTCGCCGGCGGGAACCTGCGTGTGTGTCGCAGCATCTTCTGTAGCGCCAGTGGCATTTGGTCGACGGTGATCGTCTTGTTCGAGATCACCCTCGGGACATTCACCTCTCGCTTATCCGAGCTGGATCTCTTCTCAGAGGTCGTCGAGATTTCGCTTATAGGCACCTTGTTGGACGAAGAAAGGCGAAACGGTGGCGCTGAACCTTCGTCCTGGTCTTTCATGGATGTGTCCCATTTGTCGACCTCTTCGACATCCATTTCGTCCGTCGAAAACCCTGGACTTGGCGGGCCTGCGTCGGCCTTCTCGGGTGAATGTGTCGTCAAAGGAAATACCTCGGGAACGATAATCTCTTCGCCCTCCAATATCACTTCGTCGATTTCTTCTCTCTTTTCCTCGTTGATTATTTCGACGTAACTTTGTTGCGCGCATTCCTCATTCCGTTCACCGTCATCCTCCCATTCCATCGATCGTTCTTTCTTCCCCATCGCGTCTCTGTCCGTCGGGCAGCTGTCGTCGTTCGTCGCGACGTTCGAACAAGCTCGTTGTTGCTGCCCACAGAATCCACGTTCCGGGCTCAATCGGTCCGCGATGTTGCACTGCTCGTAATCAGAAACGCTCGATTTGTTCGTCGTTTCATCGACATAGTCAATATCGTCGAGACGACACGCGGTGTCGTTGACATTGAGCGGCGACGAATACGCGCTGTTGCCGATCATCTTTTGCATCTGCTCGTCTTTGTCGCGCGGCGGGTCGATCATGGTCACCAGGTTCTCCAGTCCCAGCAGGCTCGAGTTCAGCAGACACTTCTCCCCGGCCTCGGTCTCGGCCTTCTCGGAATTCTCCAGCACCTCGTCCACCTCCAGCTTGGTCTTCTGCTCGATCACCGCCACGCTGTCTTGACCCTGCCGGATGGTGAACATGAGACCCTCCATCACCAGATCCGTGATGTTGGAGGAGCGCAACAGCTTGTCGTCCGCCACGGTTTTCCTCTCGAAGCACTCCCGGCTGCTCCTTTGCTTGCGCGTTCTGTGCGATTTGCTGTAAGTGGTCGCCTGCGCGCGATCATCGACCGCGCGAGTCGAGGCCAGCCGCTTGTCTGCCGACTTGTTGGCTGTCCCGTCACGTTCTTCTTCCCGCGTGGATTCTTTTTTGACCTTCTCACCTTCCGTCTGCAACACGACGTTCTCGCTCACGTCTGACGTGTCCTGCTGAGAATCCCGCACCGACTTGTCGGGAATCGACGAAGACGTGGCGGTGGATCTCGCCCGATCTTGCTTCGCGTTATCCCCGTCTTTCTTGATGAAATGCGGTCGATGCGGTGTTTTGCTGGTGTCAGCGACAATCTCATCGGCTTCGTTGTTGACGCGTTCTTTCCACCCTGAGTCTTCGTCGCTTTTATTCGATAGTTTTTCGACGTCGACGTCGTCCGACATTGTCCCTGTGAAAGAAAGCTTAGGTGAAGAAAATATTTGATTTTGCGTTTCCCGATGTCGCATTCTTACCGACGTCCGTCTGCTCAACTTGAATCTCATCCTTCTTCTTCGCCGCCCTCGACCGATCCTGCCTCTGAGCAACGAAACTTTCCTCCGTGTCCTTTCCTCTAGGTCTTCTGCTGTCGCAATCCGTAGACTTAATCGCACCATCGCCAAGTTCCGCGCTATGTTCATCGACGAGCAGCACTTCGGTTGCGCTACACGTTGTCGCATTTTTCACTCTTCCGTTCGACTTCTCGCGACCGTCGGTGGATTTTTCTACAATGTCATTCCGCAGTGTGGAATTTACCGGCGCTGATGTTTCGTTCGATATCTTGTCCTTGCTATGCTTCAAAATCTGATTGATTCTCTTGCTCAGATGCACCCTGCTTTTCCTGGAAGGCTCTTTGTCGGCAGCTTGTATCACAGTTTTCGTGGCCTTCTCGTCAATAACCGCGACATCATCCGAATCGTTGAAAGCAGCAAGCGCGTTGGCTTCTCTGACGATCGGATATCTCAAGTCGAATATCGATCGCTCCTCCTCCGTGCAGATCTTTATGGTCAACACGAACGCGTGTGAATATGCCGCGGCGTTGCTTCGTTGCTGGAACTTCAGTATCGCGAACATCTTGTCCTGGCGTGTCCACGACGTACAACCTGCGTTTTCCCAATTGCAGCAGAGTGAAGGAACTGATTTGCGATTATCGAGATTCTCTGCGGTCTTATTTTATAAAAGATCGGCCTTACAAGAAAACAAAGATAACAAGTAATCAGAAAAGGATACTGTAAGTGACGAGGAGGTGCTGCGTGCGAAATTGCTGACCCTGCGTCGGATGGCATTTGATAATCCTTCGAATGATCTTAAATAATTCTCTTCCGTACGAAAATTGCGCGGTGTTTCTGAAAATATTAACGCAATTAATAATCTCGAATAAGAGAGGACGACGAGATAATGGCATCGCGATGTCTTACTTCGCTGTACGGTGATATTTAAAGATAAATTTGTATATATTTTTCTTGTAATACAGCCAGTAAGAGCCGGGCACGGTTAAGAGGGACTCCTTCTCTTGGTTGACCCAATTAAGTTGGCTAAGCGTGTGTATATGTATTCCAGGCATTTTCTTTGAGGCAGCAGATCTTGGAACAGCGGAACCAACCTCCTGGAGTCCTGTCTGCCGACCGACTCTCTCACAATAATTGTAAGACAGTAAAGCACCCTTTGCTGAAATGTTTAGCTTGACTTTTAACTGAGTAACTGGTTATTCCCCAAGCCTATTTATTTGTAAGACTACTTTGTCCCTCTTTTGATGGAAATGCGAATGCCATAAACTTACCCCTTTTATGACCTCACCGATAAATATGTCCTCCACCGTGTCCCATGGTAAGAATTCGGTAGACGTAAAAATGCCAAATATCCGTTTACTCTCAATATGTACACCTATAGATTCTACAACCAGCAATGTATCTGCGAGCATAATAATTAGTTAATGATGCAATTCCCTTACTGCTTATAAAGCATTTTCTGTCCAAGATTTGGTCTGAGAATCATAATTTACCTTGCTTGATAGATGTAAGAAATAATTTATATTGTAATGTTAAAATACATGTTGATATGACAAATAGGACTGAAGTTCCTGATATAATCCATAAAATCAGAGTTGCACAGAAAAATGCTAGGCACAAGCTGATACTGAAACGTTTCTTGCTTTGCAGAACAAAATTTATGATGTTGTCAGCATTTGAGCTTCCTTTCTCTTCCAGGGTTAACTTTTCCCCATCAGCATTTCTGAAGTGCAATTTAGTAGGAGCTTGTATAAGAAAATTTGACGACATCAATATTGCTTCTATGTACAAACATTTGCGCAAGTTGTCAGATTTGTAGAATAACTTTATGTAGACAATCAAAGTACAGCTGCATCTGAAGATAAATATTGCATATTTATTGCGTTCTTGTCATTTCTTGGAATGCATTGAAGTAATTCAATTACTTACCACTTCCTTACTCAACTTTATATATAAAACAATAAGATATCAGACACTTCACAAGGTCCAAAAATCTGGTTCCATAAAATATATCAAATTTGATTAACAGTCGAATAGAGACACATATGATGCAACTTTGTCTGGTTAATTAAATATCAACCGTAGCAATTAAACTTTCGCGTATATGTGTGGGTATAAAAAGGATATGTATAAATATGATGACTTATATAAATGGAATTAATCCGGAGCGACGTCACAGTTAGAAAAAAGCAAAGAGTGGGACAGACGTGTGATTATCGTAATTGCTAAACTATATTTTGTTCTATATCTCTTAACCAAGCGTACACTTGTATGTATATCTAATGTAAATATTCTCAAGAATATGCAAAAAGAAATCATTGCCTGCCGTTTCTACAATCACGTCTCAAGGCTGCTTTCCATGAGTGGCTGTATTTCATTTGCGTTCTACCATCACATCACGATGTCACGAGTAATGAATTATTAAAAAAAAACTTCATCGAGTTCTCTTCTTCGTATTTACATTCGGCACACGAGTTTACAAATGTATCCAGTGAAAATATCGCTTCGAAAATCGAGACCTCGTTATTGATGAGAACCGTCTTTAATACGTGTTAACGTGTCGAACGAAAGGCGTTTCTTCATCCTCTCTGAAAATATCCTGAATGTATGGGCATACATCGAATCGAAGCAGTGAAATTTCCAGGCCGCCCGGCCGAGAAGGAAACGTCAGTGCCGAAGGAGACGACGGGAAGCGGCGGGTGAGCAGAAAGTCGCGCGTGAACGCGCCTGAATCGACTGGAGTCACGGCGGCCGGCGGTGGGGGAGTGAAACAGCACCTGCTGCCATTCTGGCATTACGTCAATGGTGGACGTCTCATTCGCTGGTTTGGGAGGAGTTGCCGTGACCGCCATTGTTACAGCTCCGTCGTCGTATTACACAGAGCCGTGAATCCGCGCTTTCCCCGTGGGCGCGCATCGTGGAATTGCGAACTACCGAGGAGCGGTCACAGCCCTGGGCCCGATATTCTCCGCGCGTGCCGTTAATCCAACGACGAGCCGTCAGCCGAACGCGTTCTCACGGCGTAGCATGTCCACGATGAATCCCGAATAGTGAGTAAACTACCTTCTCGCGCAGACATAAGCGGATCCCCGACCGACCGACCAACAGACAGACAGACGCATCGTCGCGCGCGCGTCCCTATCGACGTGGACGTTCGCGCGCGCGGCACAACGAGACGCTTTTTCCGCACGGGGGATGGACTCCTCCGAGGAGCCGTGAAAAAAGCATCCCTCGCTCTCCGCCGTCTGACAGATTCACCTTCCCCTCCCGCTCTTCCCTCCGCCCTCTTTCGCTACTTGCACGGCACTCGGCTCTCCTGTGTGTGAGTATCGCCTTGGTGTATTTTGTGTCGCTCCCGTGCGATCCTCGTCTCTCGATCTCGATATCGATCGTGCCCCCCTACCCCCTCTCCCACCGATCGGAGACGGAATCGGCGAACTTTGGAATGCGCGAGAAACCGATTCGCGGAACACTCGTCGGAGCAGCTTGCGCGTCTTTGCTTTCCGATCCGGAGATCCAAGTTTTCACTCGGAAACAAAGAATCCTTTCCCCTCCCTCGCACCCTGCTCGCGATAAAGCGATTCTCTCTCCGCGAACACTGGACGCGCCTGTACACAGCTGGCTGTTTCCCTCTTTCAGCGATTACCTGTTTAAATTACTACTAATCGGGGACTCCGGCGTCGGCAAATCGTGTTTGCTGCTGCGCTTCGCCGATGACACATACACGGAGAGTTATATCAGCACCATCGGCGTAGACTTTAAGATCCGCACCATCGATCTAGATGGGAAGACGATAAAGCTGCAGATCTGGGATACGGCGGGTCAGGAACGGTTCAGGACAATCACGAGTTCGTATTACCGCGGTGCCCACGGTATCATCGTTGTTTACGACTGCACGGATCAGGAGACTTTCAACAATGTAAAACAGTGGTTGGAGGAGATTGACCGTTACGCATGTGACAACGTCAATAAGCTCCTAGTCGGCAACAAATGTGATTTACACACGAAAAAAGTGGTCGACTACACAACGGCCAAGGTAAAGCAACGAGGTGCCATGCCTCTCTCTCTGTGTGTGCGCGCGTGTCTCTCGCTAGCTGATCTCGTATCGTTCAATTCTAGTTTCATCTCTGTTAACACCGTGCCATTTTGTTGTTACGAACAGGAATATGCGGATCAGCTCGGTATACCGTTCTTGGAAACCTCGGCGAAGAATGCGATGAACGTAGAGCAAGCTTTTATGACAATGGCCGCGGAAATCAAACTCAGAGTGGGCCCACCATCGAGCGGAGCGAGCGATCCGGCCAACAAGGTGAAAATAGAGCACGGACGTCCAATCGAATCCTCGAAGTCGAGCTGCTGCTGAGAACTGTATTTTGCGTCCCTCTAACCAAAGTAAGCGATATTCAACAAGAGAGCGAAAGAGAGAGAAAATAGAGAGAGGGAGATAGTGAGGTTGACGTGAGGAACCGACCTGGAGCGGGCACGAGTCGTCGGGAGGGGATCGATCGAGTGAAAGAGACAATCGCAATCTTTTGTTTTGCAGAAACATCTAACGGTTTGCGGTCCGGGTACTGCGGAAAATAAACTTATTACCGGAGAGCATAAGAGCGCGTACATGGAAGTTTCAGTTTATACCAACAGACAGAGGAAGGAAGAAAAATGCAAAAAGAAAAAAAATCCTACATACAAAACACACATTATACACACACACACACATACACTCACGCACACACACACTCTCTCTCTCTCATGGACCATCGTCAACTCCTGTCGCGCGGAGTTGCACAAAGTCTCTTCGCCTGACCTTTTCTCTTTCCTCTTCTACTTCTTTTTTGTTGTAGTTAATCTTACCGAGGGAGAAAGGACGCGACGATTGCTCGACGCTATTCGTAATAGCATAAAGAAAAAAAAAACTTCGACTTTAGATAAATTCGTCGAATTAGCATCGATCTTAAACGTCTTTATCGAGTGCGTGCGTGTCTGCCTGCGTGCGTGCGTGCGTGCGTGCGTGCGCACGTACGTACTCAAGTGCGCAACAAGGGACGACCCGAGAATCTTGAGAAGATTAAGTCGAATACCATTGTGTACGGTGGTTATAAAGTGTAAGCACTTTGATTTCTGTTTCTTTTGTTTTCTCTCTTCTTTTTTTTTTTAGCCTAATTGTAATGTGTACAATTGAAGTATATGTATGCGTTTCGGCCATGCTACGACACGGCGTGTCCGCGTTTCTATTCCTCTAATAACTCCACAATCTCAGAATGTCGCTCACCCACACGTCTCTTTCGTTCCGTTCTCCGTTCTTGAAGTGCGCGCGTGAAAACTTAGATCGAGTCCCCTTTTTCTTTTCCTTTTCTAGCGAGATTCCGCGCGGGCAACGATCACTGTGCCGCCCTACCCCCTCCCCCCTCCCCACCTACCCCAACAAACTTCTTTCTCACCGCTCATTAGTGTAATTTAATAACATATTAATAAATATTTCAACATTAACTCTCGGAACGCATATATAGCGCACCTGTATGGTAATAATGCACATATATGCATATGCATATATATACGTGTGCAAGATTGTATCGCATGTAATTACACGTGCGCCTACGAGCAAGGAGAGAGACATCGTGAAATTTTCGTTCGCGTTTTTCTGTTGTCGGTAGTGTTTGTCGATCTTTTTTACAATTTAAATTGCGATCCGAGCGTCGCATTAGAGGGTTTTAACTTTGGGGTTTCGACTTGTGGATCGTGTAGAAAGAACGAAAGAGAGAGAAAGGGAGAGAAAACCGGGGGATATTTTATACGAGCTAAGATATTACAGTTACATTTAATCTCCCAAAGTCGTATCTTTGTATCGTGAGAATGCTACTGTGACGGGTATACGATAACGGCACTCGAAGAAAAAAAAAAAAGAAAAAAAAAGTTTACAGATATAGTAACTGTAATTATATAAAATACGAAAGAATAAACAGCCATCTAAACGGAAAACCCGCCCTTTGACCTTGCACTTTTGACGTTGCCGTTTTACTTCTCCGTATAATCATTTTCTTAGCATAGAGATATCGCATGCACGCTCGTTAGGAATAGTCATTACAGTAGTGGTGGCAGATGAAGAGGATTATCGTAGTGGTACGGTCGTTTGCCACGTGTTTCGTAAACTGGCACAACCTAGAAAATCAATCGGAGACGATCCCGTTTAATATCGTGCTCGGCTACGCGGAACGCAGTGTGGCGCCATCTCTCGATATCACGGAGGAACCATTCATCTGTTTGGTTTGAATCCTCGCTAAGTAGGTTTGAGTCTGGGCCGAGCGATCTGTCAATCTCGTTAATTCCAAAATCTTCGCTACGCGCCGCCACCGTTTGTATAGAAAAAACGTGGTCGTAGTACGACTCAATGATAAGTCAGACGGATCTTTATTCTCAAGTGATACTGTTTTAAAACGAATCGAACGACTGTTTTCAAATACGATCCAACGGTGGCTCGAACAAACCTTTTGTTTTTGTTTCGCAGAAATACAATTGGAGAGTGGATGGTCAAAGGATCTTTAATTCGCAAGTAGTATAGCTCAGCGACGAGGCAAACAGACGTTTCAACTTTCTGTAGCACGACCGAACAGCGGTTCGGATAAACTTGTCTCTACTTTCCAACGAAAAATAAAAGTCCTTCCGGCCTGACAATGAATTACTTATACAATAAATAAATAAATAAATAAATAACGTCGATAGCGATGTTCATCCTGATTTTGTAACTCTTGTGCGCTCTTCTGGATCGAGTGTGACCTAACCTTATTTTTATATGCTGCTTGGCGAACTTAAATCGCTTCAAAATGATGCAACAATACATGAAGGAGTTGGAACAGGTCTCGATATCTTTCTTTTTCCATGAAATAACCGCTTATTTTATTATATGATTGTCGCTTGAATGTGTTGGTTATGCGGGTACACCGGACATCGGTGACCTGTCAAATGTAACGGTATCAAACTATAAATCTGAGCTCGACTCGAGTTTACAAGAAATAGTGGTTTTAATCGATTTAATTTTACGTTGCAAAATTTACAAATCACTCACGTCAGTAAGGAAATTTGATTTTTGCAGGATCCGTTTGATCCCGAAGAATTCGTCGAGCGACTGGCCTGGAGAACCGTCAACGATAACACGAAAGACGGAGGAAAGACCTTCTTCGACCCGGTCATCGTTCACGAAACATTCCTGCAGGCAATCAAGGATTTGCAAATATTACAGGAACGTCAGCAAAAGAAGTGTGACAAGCTAGAAGCTGCGCTGAAGGAAGAGGAGGTTCGACACGCGTTTGAGATATTGGAACTGCAGGAGAGAAATAGACATTCCATCGATCTGTTTCATCAATTGGACGAGAGGATCAATTTCGTGGCTACCAAAGTTTTGCACTTGGGTGACCAGTTAGAGAGCGTCAATACACCGAGAGCAAGAGCAGTGGAGGCTCAAAAACTGATGAGACACTTCTCGGAATTCCTGAGTCCTGGTCCGTTGACGGATCCGATCTTCACGGACAAATCCTCGGTGAGTATCAGCGCGAACTCCCCAATCGACAATAAATAACAGTAAATTAGCGACAGAGTGGAGCAAAGATAGTATAAAAATAGATAACATGTCACTTTCTTTTAATAATTTCCGATGTTTTTAGTTAAACGACGCGGCGGACGTGATACAAAAGCTCCACCTTATAGTGCAGGAACTGCCCTCTGAGAAATTCGAGCACGCCAAGAAGAAGATCAGCGTCAAGTACGACGAGATTGAGCGGAACTTGATCGAGGAGTTCGTAAGGGCGCACAACCGGGAGGACGCGGCGCGCATGAGGGAATTGGCGGGTACGTTGGCCCACTTCAAGGGTTACTCGCAGTGCATCGACGCGTTCATCGAGCAGAGCCAGATGGGCTCTTTCGGCGGGAAGGACGTCTTTCAGGACGTAATACCGATGTGCACCAAGTACCACAAGCTCATGCAGCAGGTCTTCACCAATCCCGAGCAAGTGATGGCCAAGTTCGTGCTGAACATTTATCACTTGCGTCTGCAGAAGTACGCGGTGGCCAAGCTGGCCGACAAAACCGACTCCGACAAATACCTCAGGAACTTGTACGACCTGTACACGCGAACGGTCAAGCTGTCCAACGATCTGAAGATCTTCAACATGGGCACCGACGACACCTACCTCGGCAAACTCACCAGGAACATCTTTCAGAAGTACCTGGACACTTACATCACGTAAGCTCCTCGCGGCGAAGCGGACGGAAAAATCAATAGAAACATGTAAGGAGCAAAATCCGAGTGGTGAGCGAATCGGCCAATCTCACGCTCGAGAATCGTAACGTCGAGAAACGGATCAAATTATCGTGTTGAAATTCCCAATCGTAGTCAATTGATTCGCTTGACGCTCGAGTCTTGCCACTTGCGTTCTTATCGTGTGCTGTGGATCTTGCGGATGACGCGGCTGGCCGATCATAATTTCGCACGTCACCGAGCCTGTTTTCAGTATCGAGACGAAGGCGTACCGGGAGAAGTCGGCGGCGCTGCTCATCGAGTACTACGAGTCCAAGAATCATCAGAAGAAACAGTTGCAGACGGGCGGCTTTCAAGAGCTGCGCAGGGACCTGCAGGCCGTGCTGGGCGCGAGAACGAACATCAACATCGCTCAAATCGAGGACTACGGCGGCGAGACGTTCCTCTCGGAGGAGCTGGCGATCGCGATACTACAGAGGAGCAAACTCGCTTTCCAGAGGTGCCAGTTGCTCTCGCAACCGGTTGACATGCCCGTGAACGCGCTCCAGATCCTGGAGATATTGCTGCAATACTTGATAAGCGAGCACGTGGACTACGCGTTGGAATTGGGCCTGCAGAGCGTGCCGATCCCGGAAAGCAGGACTCAGCCGGAGATACACTTCTTCAACGTGGTGCACCAGTGCAACGGGATCGTTCGGCTCTTGGAGGAGCAGTTCAACGACAGCGTGTTGCCTCTCGTTCTGTACGTGCCTCCCTTATTCGCATATCACGGTCTTTACGGTAGGATTGGGAAAGTTATTTTTTCAGAACAATTGGTCGATATAACGGTATTACCAAATCGTAAAAAAAGAGGGTGTAACAGTAACGGGTAATTACAAGTAACGTATTTATTTCCGAATTTCGCCTCCCAGCAGCCCCGGAAATCTCGTCGAGAGACACTTCTCCGTAACCGTCGTTCTTCCTCTCTCCCACAGATCGACGCCCAAACACGCTGACTGTTTGTTAAAGAAAAAAGCGATACTGGAGCAGATCGACATGAAGCTGGACACCGGCTTGGACAGAAGTATAAACGCCATCGTGGGCTGGGTGAAGATGTACCTGCAGAGCGAGCAACGGAAGACCGACTTCAAGCCGGAGACCGATGTGGACACCGTGAACACGCCGGCCTGCCTGATGGTCGTTCAGTACGTGAGCGGCATGATACGGCTAATACGGAACACCCTGGACGGCAGGCACTTGGACACCGCCCTGAAGGAGCTGGGCATCCGATTCCACAAAGTGATCTACGATCACCTGCAGCAATTTCAGTTCAACTCGGCCGGCGCAATGTGCGCGATATGCGACATGAATGAGTACCGCAAGTGCATCAAGGAACTCGAGGTCGAGTTCGTGACGAATCTCTTCGACACTCTACACGCGCTGTGCAATTTGCTGCTGGTCAAGCCGGAGAACCTGAAGCAAGTCTGCACGGGAGATCAGCTGGTACGTCCGTTGTTGCTCGGTTTTTCTTTTTTTTCTTCGAGCGTTTCCAGCTACGTGCTCCAGAGACGCGCGTGTGTGTGTGTGTGTGATGATTCATTGTGTGATTGCAGATGACACTCGATCGTACCGTTCTACTGAATTTTATTCAATTGAGGACTGATTACAAGACACAGAAATTAGCCAATTGCTTAAAGGGTCTAGCAACATGATGACGCATGCAGCTCATATAAACAAAGGAGACTCAGCCTAAAGCCCTTTTGTGAGTCAATGATTGAGATCTCGCTACCGAATGAGGAATCGTTGGAAACAAAGCAGTCGCTGGGTGACGGTGTTTTGTTTGTAGAAACGCGGCGGATTTCTCTGTCGCCGGGAGAAAAATCCTCGTGCGCATCGTAAGATATGCATGCGGAGTGCTCTTCGCAGAAAGAAGACTCTGCTCTCTGTCTGCAAAAACGCGTTTGTTTCGCTCGTTATATATATATAATATATATATACATATATATATATATATATATATGTGTCTCGACAAAAGTTGCAATAATGTTGATGATGAGAAACGTACGGCAATGAATAAAGACTGGCGCGAGAAAAAACATCGATATCGGAGTGACATTCCCGCAGCTTTCCTTGCGTAACCACTCGACAGCGTTCTGTCGTGTACAAGCGGAATTAAACTAATGTAAAAACAAACAAACAAACAATCCCCTCGAGACTTGGAGAATTTTGGCGCACAATTACATTTTATTGATTACCAGAGGTATTAGTTACAAGTAGTTACATTATGGTAAGTAATAATGCCTTTTTAAGCATTATGACGAGATTTCGCTAGACATGAGTGTTCGAGATGTTTCTCTCTCTTTTCCACTTCCACGGGCAATCGTAATCGAGAATAGTCAGTGTTGTGCGCGAAAATTCATTTCGTTTTCTTATTACAATATTTCGTCTATCGTTGAATTTCGAAATTTAGAGTTATAAATACGATTGATTACTCCAGATTTGCACAGATTTTATAGAAGAATCTCTATAAAAAAGTCGTCATTACATTAAACGCCTAATTAGGAAGCATCTCGTAGTTTCTAAAATTAAAGGTTTCGCGTCGCTCTTCGATATCTCGGTATCGTTAATTGCGCGCGTCGTACTGCTGTAACGTGGCACGCGATCATTTTCTTTTTTTTTTATCATTCCGTAATAAGTAAGGGACTCTCGAGACTCCTGGTTTGATTAAATGATCTCATGAGCTATGAAAAAATGGGAGGAGGAAGAGGACACGGTGTTGATTCCACTGAATATCAGCGCATACGGTAAGTATTAGTTTCGTGTACTTGGCACAGTTCCCCCTTAAAGTCCAATTCGATACTGAAGTCCAGATCTCTGTAGTTCCTGGCATTCGGCCTCATCGAGAACACGCCATAAATCTCCTCGCCCTTCTTCACCGTCATGTACTCGTCGAAGTAAAAGACGGTCTGCTTCCAATGTGTGTACGGCACTTCTGGCGCGGTGCTGAAGCCAATGCGTTTGTGGCACTTGGTGAATTCGATGTTGAAGAATGTAACTAGAGCTTGTACGTAGTCGTTTCTACGCACTTGCAAGGTGAACGGCGACGAAAACTCGAGGTCAGCCTTCGTCACGGTGTAGAGGTCGACTTCTTTAATTAGGCATGCATTCGTGACGACCTGTTTCGGGTCCACGACGTCCACCAGCGGCTCGCTGATCGCCACTTTCCTTATGCTACTCATGTCAAATCCGTACACATCGTCCCACCAATTGATCTTCTCGTCCTTGTATTGCCTATCTTCGATTCCACATATAAATAGTGTTGCTTTATCAGGGAACAGCATGCCGTCTTCGCGGAGCCATTTGTCCCTGGCAAAGAGCACTGTGTCCAACATGGATTCGTAGAATAAACAATAACCCATCCATTCGGATATTATTATATCGACTTTCTCTATGCCATCAGGCAATGAAACCTCCTCCACCTTGCCTTTAAGTATCGTTATGACATTGGATAGGTTGTTGGCCTCCACGATCTTCTCTGCATACTCAACGATATTGGAACACTCGATACCAATGACTCTAGCAGCGCCAGCTTTAGCTGCGAACATTGAGAGTATCCCAGTACCACAGCCAATATCAAGAACCGTCTTGCCTTTGAAGAGATGTTTGTTATGGTACATTGAATTGCGGTAGGTCACAGTGCGTACTTCATCTTTCAGCATTTCTTCATGTATCCCGTAATGAGCGTAAGAATCAAAATAGTAGTCTCTCGAAGTCATATCATCGACCGATATGGATTCCCTGCAGGCTGAGGCGCTGACATCCTTATTTACGGTAGTAGGCTCCGTTATGTCCATAGATTCCATTTTAGACTCCTGAAAAATTTTTATTTTTGTAAATACTGGTTAGTAAATCAAAACTGAATATTTATAACTTATTACTTATGACTTGTCTCTACAACTGAATTTTAATCGTAGAATCGTGTTGCTGTATCTAAAACTGCTAAATAATAGCGATACGTTCACAACGGCAAAAAAAACTTTACCTCACAAGATTACACGTAGTGTTATAAGAATTGATAATTCAACAATAATTTATGAAAAATTAACTCTACGGATTCACTATATTTCAGTCGTATCAAAGGCACCCGTGATATTATAATACTCGAGGAACTGTGAGAAACCATCTTTCCGCACGGTTCTCAATTCTCAGCAATTATTTTCCAACGTTATTTCTCAAAATTAATTATTATTCAACGTTGAAATCGCGGCGCTCGAGAATTAACAAACGTAAAATTGCTGCGAGCACACGCTCGTTCGCTCATTATACTCGGAATATCCTAACCTCGTGTGAGCACATCGCTATGAAAATCCAACAAAGAGATATCGGGCGACCGTGACGATGGTCTAAAGGAGAGTGAGCACACGGATGACCGTTATGTATTCGTTAAAATGTCCGAAGGGTAAAATCCAGTTGCGAGTATTTCACGGATGGCCCGCGATAACGGTCGCGAGAGCTCAATACGATATCGCGATTAGATGGGAGCAAAAGATTTACAATCTTGTTCATGAGTACGAGCGACGAGGCGTCCAACGGAGAGCGCACACACCGGCAACGAGAAGGAACGCGCGCACACGTGCCCGCCAAAAACGATGGCGTCCCTCTCTAGCGATCGAATTAACCTCGAGTCGATATCGCACACGCTATATCGCTCTATCGCTATATCGTCCTCTCTCTCTCTCTCTCTTTCTCGCTATCGTTCGCGAGTGATGGCTCCGGCCGAATTTTTGCGCATAACGTTCGAGGGCACGTCCGCTCCTCGTCCAACGTTCCCACCGCGAGATTCGTGTCGCGAGGAGCCGCGATGAATCATGCCTTACCGTCCGTCCGTCCGTCGAGAATCGCGAGTTTCGCGCGGGGCGACGCGAGACAAGGTGCGAGGAGACTATATATTCGTGACAAGCGATCGTTCCTGACTAGCGTTTCGTGACCCGACGGATGTGCACGTCCGCGCGGATCGTCATGGCGTGTCAACGATACCCACTCGAAGCCGGCCCGGCCGTCGTATCGCCGATAATCCGAGCCACGAAAACTCACCGAATTCTCCGTGGCACACACGCGATTCTGGTTCATTTCTACCGGCACTTCATTACTCGTCGTCGCCATTTTGTTCTGCGTCACAGCAGACGACCGGAGACATCAGGCCCGTCGCTGCAGCGCGCGGGAACGGGCGATTCTCAACGCGAAATGTCGCCCGATGGAAATCTCTCCCCCCTCCGCCGCTCGCGCTTTCCGCCCCGTTGCAACTCGCGCATGGCAATTTTTGTCCGCGATCTTGCGTACATACATTGTCGTGGGAAAGTTGTTCGACTTTTACTAGTTAGTTTCGGGACGTATCCGTCTTGTCCAATGGGAGAATTCTGCTTGCAATTATATGTTACTGGATTTTTCATTGTTTCGCCGCATATGCGCGAAAATCCGAGCTCCTGTCTCAGGTTAATATCTCATTTGTCGTGAATATAACGACCGGTCAGATATGCAAATTGGCTATCGGACAGAGCATTCGTGAAATCCCTAACGTGTACCCTCTGGAACTTCTTCATCAACAGCCAATTGGTGTTCGATAATATTTATCGTACGATAAGTGAAATAGCTTCACATCGTTGCCTGGGGATCGATCGTGAATCTTTAGAGCGCTATGTCACGTATGACGAGTTTGTCGAATGTGCCAATTGGCTGTCGGATAGAGGATTTTTAGTGTCCCCGACATTTTCTCTAGACCCCCTAGAAATTCTCTATCCGATAGCCAATTGACGTATCTGACAATGCTCGTCGCACGACTAGCATTTTAATACTAGCTTTAAGAGGGGAATACAATGAGAGGGTATACAACGTTCATATGAGAAAAAATCACCTTACAATTACGATATAATCAGAAGATCATCTGCAGGGGCGTGCATAGCGATTCTTTTGGATAACAGTCAAAATAAATATTGTACTTAGTTGAATGAACATTCAAAGTGAAGTGCAACAAGAGTCCATGTATTCATTTATTATAAATCTTCAACTCTGTACCTAGTAAATATTATAGAAAATACTTTTTAAAACGTTGGATAGAAAAATACGACTTGTATGAAGAGAAAAGGAAGGTGTATATTTCGCGGAAAATATGGCCTAGCTGCACATAAGAGCAGCTCTTGCATTCGCGCGAGCGTGATGTAGAATCGCATTTTCGAAAATAGGAAATTGATCGGGACGGAGCAAAGTCCCGTCCGATTCGTCGAATTCGAATTTCCAACCTTCGACATTCATTCCGAAACGCGCCACGAGGGAAATATATCCACGCCTCCGCACGGATTTGACACGAAGCGCCAACTACAGTACCGACACACATCCCTGCGAATGGCTGCTGCGTAGTTGAAGCGGCGCGGTCGGATTACTCCGCGTGCATGCGTGCGTCGCTCGTTTTTGCGAGGGATCTTCGCGTGCGCACTCGAAACTCGCCCGTTTTCGCACCCAACACGCGCCCGTCGGCCTGTCTTCTCCAGTTTCGTCCCGTCTCGTCGATTCGCCGGTGAGCTTCTCGAGGCCGCGTTCTCCAGCGCACGAACGGCGGCGGCGTCACGTCGTTTTTTGACCGTACGTTTTCGCGACGGCGCAAGGATCGCGCCGTCCAATGAGAAGCGCGGCCTAGGCTGACAAGTATCAAGCAGCAGACGGAGGTGGAGATGGGCAGGGAGCTCGTACGCATACGTCGCGTCGTCGCGGTGGAGGTGGAATTGTGTTGCTCGCCCGAAGGGGTCAGGCCCGCTTTTGCGTTACGTCGCAACATTCGCGCGCGCCAGTCACGTCGCGAGTGAGGGACGAAAGTCGCGAGATGTGAGGAGGAGGACGTCGTGCCGCATGCGTTTTTCTCCTTCCGACCGTGCACGGAGCCTGTCGCCGTGTGAATACAACTCGCAACAACGTGGAGCTCGTGGAAGATGCTGGTGAGTGTGTAAACAGGCAGGAGTAACAGCGGAACGGCGCGATGCGTGCGCGGCTGGCTGGCGGCTGCTTCGCCGCAGTCAGCCAGCTTCCTTCTGCTCGTGCTAACTGCGTGCATGCGTCGCTAAGGCCGCTCTTCACGTTTTCGTTCGTCGCCCGTTCTGTGTATTTCTCGCCGAACTCCCCCCGTCCGCCCCCCTTCGTTATGACGTGCCGCGCGAACGCGTATCTACCGCGCTCTTTCCGTTTCTCTGCCCTCCTTCTCCCCCGTCGCCTTCTCATCTATCCTTCTCTCTCGCTCTCTTTAACTCGTTCGTTAGCTTCTCTTGTTCTATCTTTTTCTCCGTTTCTGCGTCTCTTTTTCGTTCTCTCACGCTCGTCCGCTCGGTCTCTCATCCTCTCTCGCTCGCTCATGCTACATCTACGTTTACGTCTTTTGGAGGCGAGCCCGGCTGCCCGAATGTTCCGGGTGGCTTTCTTGGCGCGAGACGATGTCTGTCACAGGCGGGAGACACACTCGCGGAGAGAGCGAAAAATGTCGCGACGCGAACTCGGCTCTACCCGTCTATCCCCCCGGTCTCTTTCCCTCTCTCTCTGTCCCTCCCTCGCTCGCTCCTCGTCGGTCTATCTCTGTCCTCCTCTCTCCACCGCGTTGATACACGGAAGATTCCGATACAGACGATCGTACTTTCTAGGCGCGAAAGATTGCACAGAGTACATCTAGGTGTTTCAATCGGCAAAGCGGTGCCGAAATGATATTTTGCGACTAAGCACCTTCCTTCGAAGTACATATCTTTCACAGATTCGTGTCTGATAATTGTGTTCTTCCCTCCTCCCTCCCTCCCCCCCCGGTATTCTCCCGCTCTCTCTTTCTCTCTCTTTCTCGAAAGCACGAGCATATGTGCGTTTTATTTCGAGTACGAGGAATGTAGAATCGGTATGCGACTGACAGAAACACGTTCCCGTCACGATACCACTGGTTTGGTCAATATAATGCATTAATTCAGTCCCCCTTGTACTACCATTGGTTTGCGCGATATCGTACTTTTCATCGTCCTCTCACCTTATTCTCTGTGAAACGCGAAATACAATACACAGAATAGGCAAACTTACGATTATACATTGTTTCATCAATGCTTAATTTAATTATATGTTTCGTATTCTCTTCTCAGAATATTGGAAACATTCCTTTTACTACCGATTTTTTGTCAAGATCAAAGACACGTGACCTTAATTTAAGTGAGAAAAAAAAGATGGAAGGAAAGATACAGGTATTTATTTATTTTTTTTAATTAAGTTTCTCCTTTAAGAATACACTATACACTATTACAGGTATATATTATCTACAACCTACATCTCTTATTCTCACCTGTACACTCTATGAAAAACTAGAAGTATTCTTCTGTTTGGTTTCTCTCTTTATCTATGGATGATAAATACTCATGGATAATGGTCGATTTAATAATGAAAGTACAAGCTTACAATTACTTATTTAGTAGTCTTTATCAGCTGTTCGAGTTTTATGATTTGTTTCGGTGCTATATGCAAAGAAAATAAGAAAAATCAATCGATAAGTAGTTATAAATATTTACATTTGCTTCTTACTTTATCACTGCACATAACACTAACGCTTCCAAACTGGTGTAATTATAATACTAACACACTGACTGAAAACTGTCATAGAAAAATACAAATATTCGTAAAAATATTAAGACAATATCTTTTTATTTCAAATGAAAAATATATAAAAATCGACGTATAGAATATTGTATCATTTTGTAAATTAGTTATTGAGATTGCAATTTTTTTTTCTATCTCACGAAGATCAACGTACACGATATTACCTCATCCTCGAGTCACGTTTACTCTTTAGAGTACAAACGAGCGATTAGAATACAAATCGTGGTAACTTCACATCAGAGAAGAAATGTGTTCGCTTTGCTTAGAGGCTTTGCTTGAAACCTCTCCTCGCGCTCCGTAGTTCACATCCAAGTCTTATATGTGACATCATACATGTCAAAACATGCATGCGATGTAAAAAATAACTCTTTATGTGTCTCTAACTCGTCGGTATCTGACGCTCGTTGAATTTCTCGCTTATGAGACCTGCACACTCACATGTATATATTATCAGTGTATCGATACATAAGTCATTACATTAAAGCAACGTCGTCGAGAGAGAGTTTCGGTATTGTCACGTTAAAATGTCTGTTCGAACAGGGAGACGATCCACCGTACCTATCGGTGGGCACAGAAGTAAGCGCTAAATACAAGGGTGCCTTCTGCGAAGCTAAAATCCGTAAGGTGGTGCGATCGGTAAAGTGTCGTGTGACATATAAACAAGGTTTGGGCACTGCTACGGTCGCCGACGACCAAATAAAAGGGACTTTAAGAGTAGGTGCCTCTGTTGAAGCTAGGCATGGAGATCGGAAAGAATTTGTGGAGGCGACTATTACCAAAATCCAAGACTGCAGTCAGTATACTGTAGTCTTCGACGATGGCGATATCACGACGTTGAGGCGAACCGCGCTGTGTCTCAAAAGTGGACGACACTTCGCCGAGAGCGAAACGTTGGACCAGTTACCGCTCACCCATCCTGAACACTTTAGCACCCCTGTGATCGGGGGTAGAAGGGGTAGACGTTCAAGGCAAGCGCAGTAAGTGCGGTGGAAAAATCTTGTATATCCGAGTCCCCGGACGGCCGGTCTAACGTAACGTTTTTTTCGCGAAATTAACAGGGACGAGAGCAGCGAAGATGAGGACAGTCCGCCGAGGAACGCCCGCGACTCCGGCTTCATCGGAGGCGCGAAGGAGGGAATGGAAACGGAGCCGGAGATCGGCAGAGTGGTCTGCGTGGAGCTCGGTGACAAGAAGAAGAAGGACAATTGGTTCCCGGGGCTAGTGGTCGCGCCCACCGCCCAGGACACTGTGAGGATACGCGTGAGGGACGATTACTTGGTGCGCTCGTTCAAGGACGCGAGATAGTGAGTGACGATGCCGCGTGGTGTCAACGACTGTCACATGCTACTCCGCATACGCTGCTTCATGTATGCTTTACCACTAAATCGAAAGTAGCGTGATTTTTTATCTTACACGTATAAATACATATAAGGTCGAAATTATTTATAACTACACAGAAAAATATATTAAGTCTAGTCTATATATCTTAAATCAGTAATAGATATTTTTATACATAAGCAAAAATATTGATATTTTTAGAAAATTTTTGGTCTTGAATCGAATGTATGTAATACTCGCATCAATACAAATTCTATCAATGATTTAATACAAATTTTCTTTCCCGTGTAGTAAAGCTATTACGATCCAACCATTATAATTGGAGACTAGTGGTTTTCAGCCTTATGTCTAGAGTCGAAGAACCGTAAAGATTTTTTATCTAAGAAATGGTAAAGCACATACGTAATGCAATGTGTGTACTATTATGAACAATTGCACATAACCTTTGGTCCTATTTCCTGCCTTTCAGTTACACGGTACCGAAGAAGGAGGCCACAGAATTCACGAAGGAACTGGTCAACAAAGTGGAGAACAGCACGTTGAAGGTCGCAGTCGAGAAGGCGCTTCTATTTTTGGAGAAAAATGAATTGCCGCCTCATTGGGACAGGGATTCCTTGTTCGGCCATTCTGTTTCTAGCGGGAATAGCGATTCCGACGGCGAGCTCGACTCCGATGTAAGACTATACGCTTGTTTTTGTTAGAGCTCTTCTTCTCTCGAAATCTTGTACGACGTACGATTGTGAGGAATCTTGCCTTATTCTTGCAGAGCTCGGACGATGAGCCGCGCGAGGAAAAAGATCATTTCGTGGCGCAGTTGTACAAATTTATGGACGACCGTGGTACGCCTATAAACAACTGTCCGATGATTGGTTCGGAAGATATCGATCTGTACAGGCTGTTTCGAGCGGTTTACAAGCTGGGCGGTTACAATCGCGTCACGAATCAGAATCAATGGAAGGCCATAACGCGGCGGCTCGGCTTCGCGATGCAGAACTCGCCTTCCACGCATAATCTCGTGAAGCAGGCGTACAAGAAATTCCTGCACTCCTTCGAGGACTTCTATCGGAAGTTGGGCTGTACCATGGTGAATCATCCGCGCGGCAGCACGCGTAAACAACGACCCGGAAGGAGCTTGATTCGCGACAAGGACAGAAACACACCGATACCGCCGCCGGTGCCGCCGGTGAAGAACGACAAAGAGGAAGACGAGAAGAAGGCTGCGGAGGACGAGAAGAAGGAGAAGAAAGAAGTGAAGAAGGATCAGGTGAAGGAGGAGGAGATCGTCAAGATAAAGAAGAAGGAAGAGGCGGAGGGCAGCGGCAGCGGCCAAGAGAGCGATGTGAACGTAGAGGCTGAGACCGAGTCGTCGTCGTCGAGTGCTGGGGAGAAGCCGCCGAAGGTGGCCGCGCCGGTGGTCCCAGCGTTACCCCCCAGCACGAACGCGTCGTCCAGCCGAGCCAAGCCGAAGAGCAGCAAAGAGGAGACGAAGAAGAAGACGGTCGAGAAGAAGAAGACCGAGAGCAAGAAGCAGGAGAAGAAGGATGAAAAGCCGAAGGAAGAGGAAGCCACCAAGACGACGAGGTCGAAGGCGAAGGACGACACCGTGAAGAACAAGAGCGCCACCGAAGGCAGGGAGACCCGAACTCCGTCCAGGGAAGCCGAGAAGAAAACGTTATCCAAGCAGCGACGTTTGACCGACGAGGAGCTGAAGAAACGCGGGAGGAAGCGGAAAGAGTACGAAACGGAGAAGTCGCGTGCGGACGAGCAACTCACGGAGACCACCGCACCCAGCTACAAGGGCCCCGTCGACTTCGGCGATCGACTGAAGGTCTACTACGGGCCGACGCACGAGTCCAAAGTCACGTACGAGGCGAAGGTGATCGACATAGAGAAGGACGGCGCGGAGCCGATGTATCTCGTGCATTACACCGGCTGGAACACCAGATACGACGAATGGATCAAGGCGTCCAGAATCGCGCAGAACTTCACGCAGACTCAAGGTAGGGTGAAGCGTACCAAGACACCCCGGCCGCAGACTCCCAGCGCGAATCTGCCGGCGAACAATAAATCAGCAAAGGGCACTTGCAGCTCGACGACCAACGTGTCTCAGAGTCGTCGCCGGGCTCAGAGCGTCGCCCCTCCCACGTCCACCAGCGCCGCCGTGTCCGTCACGTCCGCGAAGGAGGTAAAAAAGGACGAGAAGGACAAGGAGGCGACACCGCAACCGATCCGAGCCAGCACGCCGTTGTCCATCGCCAGTTCCAGTTCCAGAACCAAGAGCCCCGCCACACCGGCGAACAACCGGCAGACCAGGACGAGCAGGAACACCGAGCTGTCGGGCACCATTGAGCATCGCAGGCGCACCAGACGAATGTCGGGCCACACAGACATATCCGTAGTGTCGGAGAGCGAAGGTAGCGACGGCTACGATTCCGACACCACCGAACCCGAGCAGGCCAAGACCAGGTTGAGAGGCGCGGAGGAAAGAAAGCGGAAGGAGGCGCGGAACAGGGTGGAGGAGAGGATAAAGGTGGAGGATGCCAGCGACGCCGAGGACGAGAAGGACAATCTCGAGGAGCCGCGTAAGGGCAGACGTCTGAGGAGGACACCCGGCAAGATTCAGGGCATCAAGTCCGAGCCCGACAGCGACGAGGAGCAACCCAAGGGCCGCGACTTCGACCTCAACCAGATACGATCGGAGCTGAAAGGTTTCGACAAAGCGGTGAAGATGGAGCTGGTCAGGATGGAGCCGGACGATGAGATGAAGATGGACGAGAAGGAGAACGTCGCGACGATCGCCACTCGAGTGTCGCCCAAGTTGGAGAAGCTCGTCGAGACCCCGAAGGTGGAAGTTGTCGAGACGAAAGTCGAAAGCACGGAAGACATTTACGAGTTCAAGGAGCCGGAGCCGTTCGAGTTCGAGGTGAGGAACAAGAGAGACACCAGCGGCGAGAAGGACAAGCTGAAGAAGAAGATGTTCGAGGACGAGCCCAAGAGCCCGAAGAAGAAGCAGAAAATCGCGCCGATGTCCACGACGCCAGCCAGGGAGGCGAAGAATAATGACTCGACGGACGGCGACGGTCGGGCGAAGAAGCCGAGGAAGTTGTTCAGCAACAAGAGATCGGACGAAGCAGCGAGCGAAGCGCCGCCGGTGGTCACGGTGGTTCCCCAGTCGCTCAGCAAGTCGTCGGCTCAGCCGGCGCCGCCGTCCGTGTACGAGGACGCGTTCGACAAGCTGTGCGAGTCCCCGTCGTTCAATCAACAACTGAAGCCGGCGGCGATCGTGGAGGAACCGCCTAAGGTCGCGTCCAGCGGCTTGAACCTCCTGTTCAGCGACCTGCCGGCGGCGGACGACGAAGGTACGCGCGACGACTCGGAGGACCGTCTGATCATATCGGAAACCGAGGTATCGGAGGTGGAACAGGACAACTCCTTCTCGTATCAGCAGGAGGTCCAGTTTCACGGCGCCGAGCTGCCGGACGCGACGGACTCGGGCAACAAGAGCGAACCGACCGTCGCCGCCGCGGTTGAGTGCGCGAGGGAGGAGACGATGACGGGCGCCGGCAGTAGCGCCAACAAGTCGATCGGCAACAATTCCCTGGATCAGAAGCAGAACGTCGTCAAGTTGCCCGCGCAGTCGGAGCTGAGGCTTCTGGACACGAAACTGCTCGATCTCGCTCCGGTCGCTCCGTTGCCGATCGTGACGCCTCCGGCGCCGATAAGCGCGAGGTTGCCGGCGACCTCCACGATCGAGGAGAAGCTCTCGGCGGCCGCGATGGCGTTTCGCAACAAGGCCAAAGATAACAAGAGAGACAGCAAGGCGACCCTGGACGAGGATGTCACGGCCGACGTGACGACGCGCAAACTGTTGAAGCTGGACATTACGATTCTTCAGAGAACCAAGGACGACGAGATGGACGAACAGGAGAAGAAGCAGGAGGAGGCCGCGATGATGAGCGAAGAAGAGCAGCGCAGGGAGATCATGCGCGTCGCGATCAAGCAGAAGGAGGAGGAGCTGCAGCAGCTCAAGCTGAAGAAGGAGGCGGAATTGAAGAAGTTCGCGGAGGCGAAGACCATCGTCGCCGCCGAGCACAAGACGAAGTTGCAGGAAGTCGGCAGGGAGGACGGTTGGAAGAGCGCGGAGAACGAGCAAGGCAAGCGACCCGAGGAGGAGATGCTCGAGCAGACGGAGAAAGAGAGAATCGATACCCGCAAGAAGCCGGTGAACCCGGACATCCTCGATTCGACGGACAGCAGCGATTCGGAACAGAGGCTGGTGATCGACAACGAGGAGCCGCAGGACGTGAAGATGTCGGTCTCGTCCAACTTCGACGTCAAGCTGCGAGCGGAACTCGATCGTCTGCAGGACACGCAAGAGAGATACGCGAGGACGCAGAAGACCTCGAACGTTCAACATCAGCTGCAACAACAACAGCAAGAATGCATGGAGGTCAAAGCGTCGTCCGACGTAGTGTCATCCGTCTCGAAGACCGACGAAGAGGGTGAGACGATGAATTCCCTGCTGTGCGAAGAAGAGATACCCGGCTCACCGGCTCCGCCGGGCTCCGAGAGCATCGAGCAGGCGAGTGCCGATCCCGCGTGCAACTCGCCGAAGAACGAGGTCACCGAGAGCAGCATAGTGCTGATGGAGATGCCGTTCGCGAGTGCGCCCACTTCTGGCCAGAGCACCACGTGCAGCAGCAGCACCGTCGCCACTCTCAGCATGTCGTTACCGAAAACCGTCGAGACTTCCGTGCCGGTTTCCTTGCCGATGCAGCAGAACGCACCGTTGAACGTACGACAGCAGCAGCATCAGCAGCAGCACCAACAACAGCTCCAGCAGCAACTACAGCACCACCACCACCACCAGCAGCAGCAGCAACATCAGCAGCACATGCCAGCGGTGTTACTGCCGCCGCAACGGCGGGAGAGCAACGAGGCCGCACCGGTGATGGACAATACGCCGCCGACCACCCCCGATTCGAGCATCTCCAACATCACCGGCTCGCCGAGGGAGGAGAGGACCGGCGGCTCGTCGCCAACCTCCGAAGACAACATCAAGCTGAACCGCGACAGCTCAGAGGCGGACAACGACAGCGCCGGCAAAGGGCCGGGCTTCAGCGAGGACGACACGCTGCCGATCTCGGAGAGCAATTCCGTCGATAGAACGCCCAAGCCGCCGGCTAAGCGTTCGATCTGCGACGAAATGCATTCGTCACCCAAGAAACGCAAGAGGAGCCGAAAGCACTCGGAGTGCGGTAGCGTGGTGGCGCCGAAGAAACCCGCCGGCAGGCAGAGTAGCAGCAGACACGGCAGATACGTCGCGGGCAGTGATAGTGACGATACCAGTGAGGGGTCGAATCTGTGCACCGTCAACACCGCGCCGACCGCGCACGCCAATCTCGCCAGCGTCACCGATCTGGCCGCTACCTATTCGTCGAGGTCACCGAGGCCGACCAAGTATAACTTCTACGTGGAACTGGGTACGTTATAGTTGAGTTTTCTTGTGAAAATATCCGAGGGATATTTATAGTAATTTCAAATATATATTTATGCACACGCATCGAATATATTTCATTGTTGTGTACACTTCAAGTATTTTCTGTATAGGGTGGTCCATTTAAATCGAGCATCTTAAATATTTCACTTGTTTTTGATACGAAAAAATGTCGAAGGAAACTACCCTGTATAACTGGATAGGCTGATATTTTAATTTTAATATTATGATTGATTATTTGATAATCTTTATGTAAAAAATGGAAATCTTATCATAGATTTATAATCTCAAGTTGTAGTAAAAGCAACTTTTCTATCATGAGAAATTTGTTTTCTTAATTTATTCTAATGGTTGTCTGGACAGATCCTGAATTAGACGCCAGTCAGAGGATAGCAGTGTTACAACAGAAGTTAACCGAGTTGCGGAAGACGTATAACGCTGTGAAAGTTGAACTTGCCACGATAGAGCGGCGTCGGAAAAAATTACGAAGACGGGAACGAGAAGGTAAATGATTCGACGATCAATCGTCCCATTTCATACGTATCATCAATTTCATTATTCCATTTCTTCGCGTCGTATTTAGTGTTAATCATATTTAACAATTTGATCCTTATTTGATAGATTCTGTCACAACGAGAACGATAAAACAATGTTCTCACTTATAACACAGAACAGGTCCTGTATGCATTCCGCAGATATTAAAGATCCGATGTCTCCTTGAATTTCAGATACCATGCATTCTTTTACAATAACGTAACTCCTAATCTTCATTAGATCGCCATTATTCGTCGACCATCGGAGATTCGAAACTCGTGGAACGAGACGGAAAGATCCGTCGTGAGTAATGTTAATGTTAAAACATTCTGTTTCAGCGGTCAAAGCAGCTAAGGCAGAGATGCAACAAGCTTGCTCGTGATAAACAGTCCTGAAAGATCAGAAATGTTCTTTCCTCGAGCACTAAGTGAGACTCTTTGGGATGTTTGAGATAACTGGAATATCAAAGTAGCGTCACGTAACGCACGGGCATCATGCAATCACGGCGAATTTCATGACAATTTTTACCTATGTAACATCGCTTCGTAGGTAATATCTGCCCCTCCACACACTTCCTCCATTAATATTACAATTGTAGATATAGTAGTAAGATTTAGCGTAAGGGGAGATACGTTTATCAAGATGAGAGAAAGAGAAAGAGCGTGAGAGAATAAAAGAGACGTATATATACATATATATATATATGTGTAATTTATTATATATATATATCTTCACATATATAATGTATTACATGTATATTCATATGTAATATTATGTTGTACATTATTTTGTCAAGATCGTGTAATCTGACTATGTTAAAGGCGTTTATTCTCGACTTGGTCACCTCACCTGCTCAGACGTAAAGTACAAATTATCTATTTGATGATCGTTTCGTCGTTTGTTTCTGTTTTCGTTACGTAAGAAAAAGAAAAAAAAGAAAAAAAGGAAAACCAGAAAAGGCTGAGAAAAGCGTTACCGATATAGTATGTTATTGTAAAGACATCTTGGGAACAAATAATTATCTAAGCTGTCTATCATTTCCGTTTCCCCGGAATACGATTACCACCGGATGCAGTTGAGCTGTTTTCGCAAGAACGTTAAAAAAAAAGAAAAGACAAAAGGCGCAAGAAACGAGGAAGTACCAGTTATCTCATGCAGCTATGTCGCAAAAGAAGGAAGGTTGCGTGTTTTATAGTATATAGAAGGAGAAATGTGTAAATATTAGAGATATAGCGCGAAAATCGTGGTACCACATATACATACACACATACATACACACACACATATACATATTGGTGCACGACTTGTGTGTGCGGACGTACACATACCGATTCTCAGTTAAATAAGATAAAATATAAATAACAATGTTGCAATGTCATGTAATTCTGAAGGACAGCGAGCGCGCGCGAATTATGATATTTATAGCGAAGTGTTTGTACGACAGGGTGTAAGCGAAGAAATTTGTATATTGATACGTGTGTGAAGTAGAGCGCGATTGCTAACTGCTAAACACAGAAAAAAAGTCGAAAGAAAGAGGGAAGAGAGAAAGCGAGCGAGGTAATCGCTGTTTTAATTTCCGTGTATATAAATATATATATATATACAAACGGAAGGCCGTGCTATACTTATACAAAAATGTACGAACATACAATGATTTATACGAGCAAAATTGCGACACGCGTTATGTCAATTTCGACGTCGCTCTCCCAATAAGTCCGTTTCATTTCTTCTTTTTTCCTTTTCTCTTTGTTCTCCCCGTGATAGATTATACGGCAATTTGTCGTGAATGCAGCTCAATGAGATATATCATCAGTTTATCGCACCGTCACAGTATAAGTAAGAAAAAAAGAAACAGCACAGATCTCCACAGAACATTCTAAAGACGTTCTTTAGAGATTTAGTGCTGCCTGAACATAGAGATTTATTTTAGCCAGCATCTATCGTCATTCAAATTATAACCCGCGCACAACCAACAATATGGCGACCGGTTAGCACCGAGATCAAAAGTGCCGCCGCAGAGTGAACCTACTGTTCTTTAGTAGGTTCAATCCGGGAAAAATAGTGCAAATAATTGTCTCCTGCGTATGACTGAACTGCACAATCAAGAACATGGCGGCCAGCAGTTGTCACATGGTGTGAGCTGAAATACATGTGAATAAAAACATGGAATACATGTGAATAAAAACGTGGAATACCTGTGTATTGCTTATTTATTAAAAAGGAACGGAAGAGGCGGATATAAATGCCGCATATTAAATTGCCACAGTGCAAGCAGCGAAAATTAAGGAATAAAGGAGATCACATTCCGATTTCCTAAAACTCCAGAAAGGTTAGTTTTATATGTTTAAACTTTTATATTTTAAAACTAAGCATGATAAAGAAAATATGTGTATATAAAAATGAATAGAATTTATTATTTTCTGTAAATTATTTGTTAATATATATTAAGAAGGAAAGAAAGAGAGAGAAGCCAGGTGTAAATTCTAATTTTTATATATGTAAGATTATTTTTGGTGTAACTTTTAAATCGTGTGTATACAATCAGTCGCGAATCAAATTAGATTTTACGTTATCATTTCATGTTTTTCCACGATAATGTGATTTTTTCTGTTCTACTTGAGGAATAATTATTATCCAAGTAAAATAGAAAATCATGGAGACATTTAAATGACAAGAAATTGATTGTAAAAGTAAAATGATTTTTCTAGACATTTTGACGTTCTGACTTTATTTTAAAGTTATTATTTAATTCTTTCGCCTGAAAATCATTTCCATTATGTATATTTATATTTACGAACTAATAATTATCATGTCGATTCATACAACATTATCCAAACAGCACAGATCTCCACAGAACATTCTTAACACTTTGCCGGCCGCTGTCACGTACGCGTGACTTTTATTCGCCAACTGTTATCGGCCGCTGCCACGTACACGTGACTTCTTTTCGTCAGTGGTGATGTTTAATTCCGAAGTTTTTATAAGTACACATATTGATGCAGAGTAACAATTGATGAATAAGTCACGCGTACGTGACAGCGGCCGGCAAAGTGTTAAGACTTCCTTTGGAGATTTCGTGCTGTCTGAACATAGAGATTTATTTTAGCCGATATCTATCATCTAGCCGGTCATTCAAATTATAACCCGCGCACAATCAACAATATGGCGACCGGTTAGCATCGAGATCAAAAGTGTCGCCGCGAAGTGAACCTACTATCCTTACTTACACTGTGCCGAAAGTGTGTGTGCAGCGAACCACGTGGTCACGTCTGCCCGGTCTTTCTCGGCGAACGAGTTTTGTGAAACGTTAGAATGTCAACGCCGGATTTAGAAATGTTTCACAAACGAGCGGCCGCAGCGGTAAATACTTTTTGCCGATTTCTCTACAACGTTTTGTCATTACATCGCGATAATTTTTAAGTTTCAAGCTGTCACAGCTGTGAGACTCGACGATTAGCATACGCGTTATCTTCTGTCGTAGGAAGGAGAGATAGTCTATTTAAAGGACCAAATCGAATTGTTGCGCCGAAGTATCGCGGACAATGTCTCGCAGGAGTCCACCGTGGATAAGGAGGAGTTTCTGAAATTACAACAGGAGAATGTCAAGCTGAAACACAGGATAGCGATACTCAAGAGGGTGTGTTTCTATGACGTAACAGACTTCCTGCATCGCTTTAACACAATTTTGGCCCGAAACTTTACTTGCAAGTACATCCGTTCTTTGTAATTATTTCTCACAGACCATCGAAGCGCAGAGGGGCAAAGTACCGTTAGGCCCGACGTCTCTGTCCGTTGTATCCCAAGACGATGTGATCAGTATTAATAATACTCTGTGCGATATTTTTCGAAAGGCAATCAACTTAGCATATCCCAATGTATCGGATCCACCAGTGATAATAACTACCAGCAATAATCCCAAATTTGGGGATTACCAATGTAACAGTGCTATGCCTTTGGCGCAACAGCTGAGTAGCTCTGGTGAGGACTTTTAACTAATATTTTTATTGTTTCTCGCTTTTGCTAATTTATATTACATATTAAAATACAATATATACTAAAATATATTATTCACTACGTGTTAAAATTTGAGATAAATAATTAAATATGTTGTGTGTTACTATCACAGGTACTAAAGTAATTCCACGCAATGTTGCTAACGAAATTATATCCAAACTAGAAGAATCCACCCTTGTAGATAAATACGAGATAGCTGGTCCAGGATTTATAAATATATATTTGAAACGTGACTTTGGACAAACTGCTTTGGCCAGTTGGTTGAAGAAAGGCGATGTTCCTCCTCCATGTGTTCAGAGAAAGAGGGTTATTGTAGACTTTTCTAGTCCCAACATTGCCAAAGAGATGCATGTGGGACACCTGAGATCCACCATAATTGGAGATAGTATTTGTAGGCTGTTAGAATACTTAGGACATGATGTGCTGAGACTCAATCATGTAGGTGACTGGGGCACGCAGTTTGGTATGTTGATAGCACATCTTCAAGACAAGTTTCCCGACTACTCGACTGTTGCTCCTTCCATCCAGGATCTTCAGGTGACCGCACAATTGTGTTATCGCATGCAACATTCGCCATACAATCGTTTTACAAACAAGTATACTGATCATATCTATTATTGCATTCGCATGTGTACAGGCTTTCTATAAAGAATCTAAAACTAGGTTCGATACTGATGAAAATTTCAAGAAACGAGCGTACGAGTGCGTTGTTAAATTACAAGCTTTTGAGTCTGAGATAATAAAAGCCTGGAAGATGATATGTGATGCATCAAGGCAGGGTGAATATTTCGTCGATTGTCTATGGAGTGATCAATCGTGGAGAGAGTAATAGCTACTTTTTAATTATATCGTTTCCACGTTTGACACAGAATTCAACAAATTGTACACTCGACTGGATATCAAGATAATCGAGAGAGGCGAGTCCTTTTATCAAAAGCGCATGGAATCAATAGTGAAAGAGCTGGAGTCAAAAAATATGTTAGAGGAAGACAACGGCCGGAAGGTAATGTGGGGGGAGAAACGAAACAATGGGATACCTTTGACGATAGTCAAATCCGACGGTGGTTTCACATATGATACGTCAGATATGGCCGCTCTCAAGCAACGCGTTGAGGAGGAAAAGGCGGATTGGGTATGTCGTGTTTCTCGCTGCATCGTTCCTTGAGCGAGTTGTCCTGTAACGTGTAACGTTAACTTTTTAATTTTACAGTTGATATATGTGACGGACGCCGGGCAATCCCTACATTTCCATATGCTGGAGAGTTGCGGCAGAAGGGCGGATATCTTGAAGAGCCATCATAGGATGGATCACGTTGGCTTCGGTGTCGTTTTAGGCGAGGACAAGAAGAAATTCAAGACGAGGTCCGGTGATACTGTAAAACTCACCGAATTGTTGGACGAAGGTAACGAGGCAGCAGCTCAATCGCGAACCTGACGTCGCTTGCGTTCGGCAGAAAAAGCAGCTCAGTAAGAGTTTTGTGATTATTGCCTCTGATTGGTACGTTCTCCTATATTAATGGGAGATCTAGAAGAACACTCCAATCATCAACACAAAAATCACAAAACAGTAAGTTGTTTTTTCCACCGGACGCGGACATTGCTATCGTTTATCTTACTTTTGAAGCAAGCTAACGTGTGGCTCTCCACCAAGGCTTGAAGAGGGCACTGCAGAAACTCAAGGAGAAGGAACGCGACAAAGTGCTCTCCGAAGAAGAGCTGAGGACCGCCCAGGAGTCCGTGGCGTACGGCTGCATAAAGTACGCCGATTTGGTGCACAACAGAAACCACGAATACATATTCTTGTTCGACAAGATGCTGGAGGACAAGGGCAACACCGCCGTGTACTTACTGTACGCCTTAACTCGCATCCGTTCCATCGCCCGGATGGCGAACGTCACGCCGGACGAGTTGCAGCAGAAGCACGCGCGCGACACTCCGATCTCGTTGGCGCATGAGAAGGAATGGAAGCTGGCCAAGGTACTGCTCAAGTTCCCCGACGTGCTTCTCAGCATCAGCCAGGATATGTTCCTGCATCCGTTGTGCGAGTTTTGCTACGAGATCTCGTGCGCGTTCACGGAATTTTACGACAAGTGCTATTGCGTGGAGAAGAATCAGGCCGGTGAGATCGTGAAGGTGAACATAGGCCGTCTCTTACTCACGGAAGCCACCGCGATGGTCATGGAGAAGTGCTTCGCTTTGTTGGGTCTGAAGCCCGTCGCGCGCATGTAGGAGAATATTTGTTTTAAAGATAGAAGCTGTATATTTTTCCGACTTAACGTCGAGTCTTAACTGCAGTGTAGCGAAAGATTAATGAAACTTCTGCTCAGATTTGTTTTCTTTTATATGATATTTCTATGGTTTTTCTTCATATACATCGCTCCTCTGTCTCTGCCTTGCGATACAATTTAGCGCGGATTAATAGGTCCCCATGATATTATATCTAATGCGATATTTATTTTGAATTTGTATACAAAGAGAGACTTGAAATAATAAATACCTCTACAATTATTAATATAATAAATACCTCTTCAATTATTATGGCGCTCCTATGTAATCTACTTTTTGCTATGAAATACCCATATGATCCACTTAAAGATGCAAACGCTTCCAAACGCTTCAAAGCAGGAGGAGGAATATGATTGGTCTATACAGTGCTTCGATGCATTTGCAACGTGAAATGTATCCGGACACCTTGTGAGTGTATATTGATGCGCTGTGCACGCCATCACGTGTTCACACGTACGATCGAATGGACTTTGTGCCGTGTGGGATAGTTAATTGCTGTTATTCGCACTATAATTAAATGGTAAGTACATACATACATATCAACGGGCAGTGTAATTTACCAATTTTTCACAATTTTTATACGAACACTTGCGTTATCCTGTCTAGTGCATATCCGTGTTCGAATGTCTTCTTAACCTGTTCGCCAGTATTCATATGGTTAATTATAATCTTCAATTATTACGATAGAAATAGAAACATTCATGAGTTATTTTCTTCGATCATTTAATCCGTCTAATAAAATATGTCATACGCTGTTATTTTGATATACCAATTGCTCAAAAGTGACGTTTTATATGATAGGCAACTGAAAGGAAAGGGACTTTCAAAGTCCAGTATCTTCAACAAATTGAGAAGGAAATACAGGCAAAATGGGAGGCCGGGAAGGTGTACGAAGAGAACGCACCTTCGAAAGGTGAAAAGTCGTCGGATGAAAAGTTTCTCGCGACTTTTCCGTATCCTTACATGAATGGACGTCTCCATCTGGGTCATACTTTTTCATTGTCAAAGTGTGAGGTATGCATCTATTTATAGCCTTTTGCTGGGTCTTATATTTATTATTTAGAACAATATTCAGGGTAGGATATATAAAATATTATATGCGGTTTAGTCTGGAAATATATATCATAGAAAAAAATATTTTAGGTAAACTTGTTTAATTTGAACGGGAAAAATAGATAGGGATATTAATTTGATGATGGTCATTCCAAGGCCATATCAAGGTCATCATGAATTGTTTAAATGAAATCCTATGGTTTTTTAAACATATATCGATTCCTGTGTTCATTCTGTATACAAAAGTACTGAAGCAAGGCCATTGAAAAGCAAATACTTAACATGATATGTTATATTTTATCCTAACACTTCTTACTATAAGATATGAAATATCTCTTAAAGTATTTACTTTTTGATAGGTTCACTTTAATGTTTTTGTTGATAAAGGAATGTGAGAAATCATTTAATAGTACTTATTATTGCATATTGGTGCATGAATGCATCCGCAAAATGCAGTGAACTTTTTTTTTAATTTCTATGTTTTTTATAGTAATTGGTTCCACCCATTATTCTATGTAAAAAAAATGAGCTGAAGTTGTTGAAAAGTGAAAACATTGCGAAATATTTCATATCTTATACTGAAAAGTATTGAGTTAAAATATAAAATATTATGGAAAGTATTGATTTTACGATGATCTTACCTTATTACTTTTATTCATAAAATGAACAAAGAAATCGATATATGTAAAAAACTATATAATTCCATTAAAAAAATTAATGATGACTTTGATATGACTTTGGGACGACCATTTAGGTCTAATTAAAGTCTAATTAATGTTCCTATCCATTTTCCTCTTTCAAACTAACTAAATAAATTTATCTAAAACATTTTTTTCTAAGATATATATTTTCAGGGAAAATCGCTTGTAATATTTTATACAGTCCACCTTTATATAACGTATAATAATCATTATATATATATAATGTATATAATAGTGAATATTATTATTAGTTCGCAATTCGGTACAATCGTCTCCTTGGGAAAAAAGTGCTTTTTCCTTTTGGCTTGCATTGCACTGGTATGCCTATTAAGGCGTGTAGCGATAAGCTGAAAAGAGAAATAGAATTATATGGCTGTCCACCACAGTTTCCTGAGAACTTGGAGACGGTAGAGGAACAAGTTGATGATGATGTAGTACCCAAGGATAAGAGCAAAGGGAAAAAGGTAAAAAGGAAATGCTGAAGTGTAATAGAGTAATGTTTCTGAAAGAATTAAATTTAATGTTGAATTTCAGAGTAAAGCAATAGCTAAGGTAGATTCAGCCAAATATCAATGGCAAATTATGCAATCTCTTGGCTTAAAGAACGAGGAAATCAAGAATTTCACGGATGCTGCGTACTGGCTCGATTATTTTCCACCACTTGCTGTGCAAGACTTAAAATCCATCGGGCTACACGTAAGATACACGATACAACGATTGTTCTTATACATTGCCTTCCAAAATTGGTACACCTAAATCGATCTTTAATGCTGCTCCAGGTGGATTGGCGAAGAACCTTCGTTACAACGGACGCAAATCCATTTTACGATTCTTTCGTACGCTGGCAATTTAAGCATTTGAAGTCTAGGAACAAAATTAAGTACGGAAAGAGATACACCATTTATTCACCGAAAGATGGGCAGCCTTGCATGGATCACGATAGATCCTCCGGCGAAGGCGTCGGGCCGCAAGAGTACACGTTGATCAAAATGAAAGTGCAGGAGCCTTATCCTCAGCAACTTAAGTAATATTATATAAATTTCTCACACTGAATTGCCATTCTTCGTTACTTTCCGAATAAGTTTTTTTTTCTAAATGAACACTCGTAGGAAATTGGATGATAAGCCGGTCTACCTCGTGGCCGCGACTTTGAGACCCGAGACAATGTATGGCCAAACAAATTGCTGGGTGCATCCAGATATGAGTTATATCGCGTACGCTTTGGCCTCCGGGGACGTGTACATTTCTACGGAACGTGCGGCAAGGAATATGTCCTATCAAGATTTCTTCCAAGAAGAAGGAAAGATAGACGTTCTCCTGAAGCTCACGGGCAAAGTGTGATCTGTTTATTCGTACGATAGGGATCGATTACACTTATGTGAAGTCTATAAGTAAGAAACTGATATTTTCAGGATTTATTAGGACTACCGTTGGAAGCTCCTCTCACTTGTAACAAGGTGATCTACGCATTGCCGATGTTGACGATAAAAGAAGACAAAGGTACCGGTATCGTAACTTCCGTCCCCAGCGACTCGCCCGATGATTATGCCGCACTGATAGATCTGAAGAAGAAGCAGCCACTCAGAGAGAAGTACGGGATCGCCGACGAGATGGTGTTGCCGTACGACCCAGTAAGAAACCGATCACTCGACGACTCGATAGAAAATGCCATTATGAAACCGCGTCTTTGTGCATTAGATTCCGATCATCGAGGTTCCGGAACTCGGGGATTTGGTGGCGGTGAAACTATACGACCAGTTGAAGATCCAGTCGCAAAATGACAAGGTTAAACTCGCCGAGGCGAAGGAGATAGCATACTTGAAGGGATTTTACGACGGTGTGCTGTTGGTAGGCCCGTACAAGGGCAAGAAGATACAGGATATCAAGAAGCCAATTCAGAAGGAGATCGTCGACAATGGCGGGGCAGTGATCTACTATGAACCGGAGAAGACTATCATTTCCAGGTCGAATGACGAATGTGTAGTGGCTCTCTGCAATCAGTGGTATTTGGATTACGGCGAGGAGAACTGGAAGAAGCAGACATTGGAGGCTTTGAAGAATCTTGATACCTTCCACGATGAAGTCAGGAAGAATTTCGTTGCTTGTCTTGATTGGCTTCACGAGCACGCGTGTTCCCGAACGTACGGGCTCGGTGAGTATCTGTGATGTACTAGGAACTACCTTGCGATTGCAGCCATTCTTCTGATTTCCCCGAATCTTTAGGCACCAAGTTGCCGTGGGATGAGAACTGGTTGATAGAATCTCTGTCCGACTCTACTATATACATGGCTTACTACACAGTAGCGCATTTCTTACAAGGAGGAACGTTCAAAGGGGACAAGCCTAACATATATGAGATAAAGTAAGCAGAATTAAAATTTTATTATTTAGTTATTTAATTTAAATTTTTGATTGTTACATTTTATAATCGTCTAATTTGAACTACGGTTTTGCGTATTGAAAAAAAATTGTTTTTTTTTTTATTATAATTTAAATTATTTGATAGTTATTTTATATTTGTTTAATATAACATTCAATTGTTCCTGCCAGGGCAAGCGATATGATTCCGGAAGTGTGGGACTATATCTTCTTCAAGGATGCTAAGTTGCCGAAGTGCAACATAAAGAAAGCGGTTTTAGAAGAAATGAGACGCGAGTTCCAGTACTGGTACCCGGTAGATCTGAGAGTATCGGGGAAGGATTTGGTGCAAAACCATCTCACCTACTTCCTCTATAATCACACAGCGATATGGCCGGATCAGCCTGAATTGTGGCCGCGAGGGATTAGGGCAAACGGTCATCTGCTCTTGAATTCAGCGAAGGTAACGCACGATTGTAAACTCGTCAATTCATTTCACAGTGACATCTTAATTGCCGTCTCGACAGATGTCCAAATCGGAAGGCAACTTTCTAACGCTCGCCGAGGCAGTGGATAAATTCTCAGCCGACGGGATGCGCCTTTGTCTGGCCGATTCCGGCGATTCCGTGGAGGATGCGAATTTCGTCGAGAGCACAGCCGACGCGGGAATTCTCCGATTGTACAATTTCATAGAATGGGTCAAGGAGGTGTTAACTACGAAAGATTCCTTTAGATCCAGAGAACCGTGCACCTTCAACGATCGAGTTTTTGAGAGGTATCTTTTGTAGCCTTTGAGAGATGTTTCTGCTACAGTCGAATCCACGTGAAATGCCTTTAAGCACGTCAAAGCATTTTTTAACGCTGAATATCATCAATATTAATATTTTATATTTATTATTTATTTTTTTATATTCATTTTATATATTTTTTAAAATCTATTTTCATTATATCTATATTATTTATTATTTATATATATATTTTTTATTTATATTTATATTATGTTTATATACTTGAACGCATCGGATTATAGAGAGGTCCGATATTCTTTCTTTCTTCGATTAAAATAATTAAGAGCCGGTTCACGTATGATATTTCATATAAAGCTCATTTTTCTCTTAATCCTCTAAATAGCGAGATCAATTGGAAAATTCGGGAGACCGGCGAGAATTACTCACGGATGCTCTACAAGGAGGCACTTAGAACCGGATTTTTCGAGTTTCAAGCGGCTAGGGATAAATATTTGCAATTGAGTACATTAGATGGCATCAATCGGACACTTATTATGAAGTATATAGAACTTCAAGTTGTTATCTTATCTCCCATCTGCCCGCATGTTTGCGAGTACATATGGGGGCTTATTGGTAAGGTAAGTATTTTCCTGCTGCTACTGAAATATCGATAGATCATTGTTTTGTCCTTGCGTGGAGACATAATCGATGGATGATGCTGCAGAACGGGAGCGTACTGAACGCAAAATGGCCCACAGTGGGAACAATCAACGAAATTCTTATCAAATCGTCGCAATATCTGATGAGTGCGGCCCATACGTTTAGAATTCTTTTGAAGAATTATATGACGCCGAAGAAGCCTTCGAAGGGGAAGAACGATGCCTCCGCCACTGAGAGACCCACGCAAGGAATTATTTGGGTGGCCAAGACTTACCCACCTTGGCAAAGTGTCGTCCTCACGACCATGAGAGAGATGTATTCTGTAAGCAGTAATAGCTTCGGTGCGACGCAATGATTAATTCTCTTCTTATTTTTTAACGTCTTCATTTGCGTTGCAGAAAAACGGGGATAAGTTACCCGACAATAAAGAACTCGCCACGGAGTTGGGAGGTAAGAACGAGCTGAAGAAGTACATGAAACGAGTAATGCCGTTCGCGCAGCTCATGAAGGAGAAGGTGGAGAGCGTCGGTCTCAGCGCGCTGAACTTGACGCTCGACTTTAACGAGTTCGATGTGCTCGAGAACAACAAGGACTATCTCATAAATACATTAGACGTAAGCGGTCTCCGTACTATTTTCAACGGTTCTAGGATGTCTGTAATGCTGATCGATTGTACTTTCAAAAATCTCACTTTAGTATTTAATATTGTGGTGGAAAAGGAATCTAGAGATCATTGAAGATGTTAATCAGTTTGTAAACAGCAATAAGACGCAGCAAGGAAAACTTCGAAAATGCTTTTCTTCTCGTGAAAAGATGAAAATTGCTGTGACTGATACAAAAATCACCGTTATGATGAATATTTCGTATGCATTACATTTCTCTGTTTCATTCATAATCAGCTTGACGAGATTATCATAAAGTACACGGACGAGGCCCCGGAGAAGACGAAGGAAGAATGTTGCCCCGGCGCTCCGTACATGAGTTTCTTCAAGAAGGCTGCGGTTTCACGCGTTATGAACGTTACTAATCCACAAAGATACAGTGGTTTGTTTGAAGTGTCCGTGAGCGTCTCACAAGCTGATACGGCTTCGGACGTCATATTTCGTATTGTGAAACAATTCAAACACATAAAAGGTGCTTTAACTGTTTCTGAATGACACGTAAATCAATTGATACAATATCAATTGATGGATCCATTGATGTAATATGATATTTTATAGTTCTATTTTCGTGTCTAGATCCCGCTTTGATCTCACTGTATCGCTACGAGGATCCGATCATGGGAGCGAGAACGAGACTAGTGCCCGGGGAGGACATATTCAAGGGGAAGATTGAAATTCCAACGGATTCTGCATTTAATATAAACGCGGAAACGGGCGATGTCGAGGTGAACGTTGCGGGTAACGTGTACCCGGTAGGCGAGAAATTAGTATACATCGATAAATCTTTGGAAAAGTAAGCGTTGCGTTTGACTTCGCCGAGAAACGCTGCTTTTCGTTATACTGATATGTAAGAATATAAATGATAAGTTAGTGAGAAGATGATGAAAAGGCTAGCTGTACGGGGTAGGTCCACTGAATAGTATCGGACGAGAAGTGAAAGTGCGTCAAAAAGAAAGGGGCAATTATATTCAGATGAGAAAATAATTAATTTTGTAACACACGATATATCGCAAACGATGAGAGAAGCATGCAAGAGTCCTCATGATATTTAATCAGCTTGATAACAAACATCTCTTTATTCATACACACTCGACAGATGATGTTCTTTCATTTAGGAGATTACATTTTCTCAATAAAAAGAAGTATCTTATTAAAACCCCGGCGACGTGACATGCGTTTCCTACGCGGTGCCGGCGAGGTTTGACCACCTCGCACGACATCGCCAAGCGGCAGCGCGACGTCATCGGGTGACCGCCGACTCTACGTCGCCGCTTCGCGCAGATCCACCCTGGACCTGATCCGCTTGACGTCCGTGGCGTATGTCCTGCAGCAGCCGCCGATGTAGCGCACCCCGAGATCCAGCCACTCGTCGATGAACTCGTGCAGGGAGGGCGCCTCCCTGTCCTTCTTCCAGCCCTCCGTCACCAGGTACTTCTCTCCGCTGTTGGGGTACACCACTAACGGTATGAGACCGCCGTCGCCTTTGTTCACGCCTTTCAGCAGAGGGCTGACGCTCTGCGGAGCGAGGCAGTTTACACCGACCGCCACTATCTGCCCGGGCAGCGCGTTCTTGTAGCATCTCACGGCGATTTCCCGGAAGCTCGCGCCGTCCGCCAGACTCCTGCCGTCGTCGCGGCACGAGAAGGACAGCCAGGCCCGCGTGTCCGGGAACTCCCTCAGCAGCTCGACCACGGCGTCCGCCTCGCGCTCGCACGGTATCGTCTCGATCGCCAGCAGGTCGACCCCCTCCTCCAGCAGTGCGCGCATCCGGGGCCTGTGCCAGTTGACGAGGAATTCCCGCGACACTCGCGTGCCGTACGAGCCGGTGTACTCGGAGCCGTCGTGCAGACAGGCGCCGTACGGGCCGCAGGACCCGGCGATCATCGGTTTCCGGTTCGACTTCGCGTCGTCGTTCTCCTCGATCTCCTTACGGTAGGCGTTCACCGCGTCCTTGGCGTAATCGACGGCACGGCGGATTATCTCGAGGCTCTCCTCCTCGCCGACCCCCAGGTACTTGACGAAGCCGTCGATCGTCGCCTGATACGTGTTGGTCTGTATGATATCGGCGCCGGCCCGCAGGAAGTCCAAGTGGGTGGCGAAGACCGCGTTCGGCTCCGTGACGAGGAAACGCGCCGTCCACAGAGGGTCGCCGTCGATCCTCTCGCCCACGTGGGTCGACAGCTGCGTGGAGAAGCCACCGTCCAGCACCTTGATCTTCGACATGCCTCGACGATCTCTCTCTTCCTTTCTCGAGTAGTTGTTTTATCTTAACTTCTTCGAAAGCTCTCCCTCGAAGGTCCCGACGCGACGTCGACGCGCTTCGTCGGTTGACGAGAGGGAAACAAGCCGGAGGATCTCTTCTGTGTCGGGGAAACGCGCGTCTCGATCGCACGCTCCGCTGACAATACGAAGAAATCAGTCGGACACGCGGCACTTATACGCGCGGCGTTTCCCCCGTCGTTATCGTCTGGGCTACGTTTTGATTGTTTTAATCGAGCGACGCGCAAAACAGAGATTACGCGCCGCGCGTCTCTTCCGCGTCTTTTCAGCGCATGTCTGCTAGATCACATTGCATCACGAGCGCGTTATCCGGCGCGCGCGTTCGACGCCGGCTGACCTTACGGGATAGACTCGATGCCAAAGGTCGGCCATCTAATCTAAGTGGAAAACGCAACAGGATGCGGATTCTGAAACAGGCTTAAAATCGCGAAAGGCGAACCAACGGGAAGGGAGATGTAACGCCGTGATTTTCCGTCGACGTATTTGCGCGCCGAGATCGTGCCGAGCAACATAGCGTTTGCTCTACGCCCGAAATACGTTTTTATATCGTTTGCCCCTCCCCTCCCCCTGAAAATAACGATCTTCCCTCGTCCGAATCGGCGTCGCTATTCGGCGAGGCGACGGCGATCCACCAACGAGCGGATCGCGGCTATGTCTTCGGCGAAGACCTTGCAGCAACCGCCGATGAAACGCACCCCCAGATCGAGCCACTCCAACGCGGGCAGGTTGATGCGCTGATCGTCCGGGACCGGTATCCAGCCGTCGGTCTCGGAGTAAGAACCGCCTCGGTTGGGGTAAACCACCAGAGGAACGAAGCCCCCTCGAGAGCCACCGGTGTTTACGCCCTCCAGCAAGCTCTTCACGTAACCCGGCGGCACGCAGTTGACGCCGACCGCGACTATCTGCTCGGGTAGGGCTCGGTAGCAGCGCACGGCCACCTCCTGGAAGTCGCTGCCGTCCGCTATGCGCCGCTCGTCGCGGCACGAGAACGACAGCCAGGCGCGAGCGCGCGGAAACTCTCGCAGCAGCTCCACCAACGCGTCCGCCTCCTCCACGCAGGGCACGGTCTCCAGAGCCAAAAGGTCGACGCCGGCGTCCAGAAGGGCGCGTACACGCGGCCTGTGCCAGTCCATCAGTTCCTGCCGCGACACGCTCTTCCCGTAGGCGCCGGTGTACTCCGACTTGTCGTGCAGACAAGCGCCGTACGGTCCGCATGAACCAGCCACCAAGGGCTTCCGGCCGATGACCAACTCCCCTTGGTTCGTTCGTTCCTTCATGTAAACGTCCACCGCTTGTTTGGCCAGCTCCACGGCTTTGGCGAGCAGGGCCAGGCTCTCGTCCATGCTGATGTTCAAGTACTTCATGAGACCCGGCACCGACGCCTGATAAGTATTGGTCTCGATTACCTCGGCGCCGGCGCGCAGGTAGTCCAGGTGGGTGCTGTACACGGCTGATGGGTTCGTCTGGAGGAACCGCGCCGTCCACAACGGGTCGTCGTCGTACTTGGTGCCCACGTGGCGGGATAGTTGACCGGAAAAGCCGCCGTCCAGCACTTTGGTGTGCTTCATCGTCGTCATTGCGGATGCACTGAGGACGGCAGGTCGTTACAGGAGTCTACTGATTGACGAGTTCGACGACTTCGGGATTCGACGAGCGTCGCAACTGCGCGATCTCTCCCGCTTTCGGGCCGTTTTCCTGCTTCAAACTCGGTCTCGTTCGATGACCCTTGATTTGAGTAAGCGCGGCTCAAGGCTGGATGTATGTATGTAATGTCTGTTTTTTTTGGTGATGACGAGGTGTTTGGAAGTGGCTGCTTCGAGAAGAAAGCGCAGCTTCTCTCTCTCTCTCTCTCTCTGCGTTTTCAGGATTGCTTCCAAACGTTCTTTCAAGTGGGTTCTCAAAGTGAAATGTCTCAGGTCGCGTGCACTGGTGAGCCCTTGTCGCTAGTTTTGGTTAGAATAAGTTTTCCATCTCTTTTTCAAGTTTTTCTTATGGACAATGCCTTTTCTTAAACGAAGAAGGGACAACGAATTGTTAAGGAGGATCTACCTTGTACGATCGTATTATTGAGCGAACGCAAGAATATTTAACAAATACCTGGACTGCTTATATTAGCTGATACAGCATGTTAACGCTTCTCCTTTGCCGCGGCCATCTTGCATTGAGATGTGAAACAATGACACGTAACTCACACGAGCAATAAGCGTGTCGAGATAAACTGGACACAACAAAGTCCGTAAAGTAAATCTGTCAAGACTGCCCTCTGCGACCTTCGTCCGCTTTTATTGCCTGTTTATTAAATAAGTATTTACACGATCGAATTTAAATGTGTCTTATAAGGAAAAAATTAAAACTCGCTCAACTCATGTTCTTTTTATTTTATCAAGTGAACCATCTTGCTGTAATTTTACAGTAATTTCGTAGTAATATGAATGAAAGTGTGAACAATCTACACTTTAAAATTATTACTAATTGTCTATTCTCTTCTAGGTAAATTACAAAGTTTATTAATTAAGCTATCTATTTATAGTGTATAAAATTTACGAAGAACTATCTATAAACCTCTGTTGTTGTCACATAATCTGGATTGAACAGTTTAACGACAATCAAATTTCATTAACTGTTTATGGTCATATGGATCTATTTATCCTCCGTTTACAACATTAAATGTTATCCTATTAACGAATCGAATATTAAATTCTCGCTTGAAGAGGGTCATCTTGTTTATTTGCTGCTTTAATTAATATCATATTCTATCGTCGTCAGTAAAATTTATGCCGTACGACCAGCCATTTGCGAAATCTCGCCGAATGTTGTAAATACTCGATTAACTTGGATCACTAATAATCACTTTTTCACAAATAAACGCCTTTCTCCGGTTATCTTTCGAACTTTGTTCGCCCGTTACTTATATGAAGCAACAACAAAATAAAAACATTGATCTCAACTTAAACGCAGATCGGCGAATAGACGCAAGAATAAATAATCATTGCGTCGGATTCCGAAGCTCATGTTTGGCTTCGACATCGATTTTATACGTTCTTAAAATTTTTTAGTCGACATCGATTTCATACGCTTTTAAAATTTTCACACAAACACACACGCATGCGCGCGCGAATATCGAACTGGATGCTTCAAAGTTGCGTACGAAGTCGCGACAATTTTAACGAAATTTGTTACGAAAATCTTTTGCATTTGATATTTAAATTTATTAGACGATTTAAATTTATTGTTGTTACTGTTGTAACATCTCCGGAATAAAGGAGAGTATATGTAGAACTTACAACAATTATTGTGTTTATTTTCCTTAATTAGCAAACAAGTTTTATTATAAATCTGTATTTTTTATGAGACGAAAGTAATTATTGTAATCTTACTTTTTACAATATTCCAAGATGACTTTCTACAACAGCATGTGGCTGTCCCATTTGTTCTCTGAACTCGGGAGTATTGAAGATATCTTGGAATCTGAATAAAATATGGAAAGAGAAACGGTTAAGAATTATCTAATACGGATTTATCTGTTGGTGCAAAAGTGATTATATATTATTAAAATTATATATATATATATATATATATAAATTATATATATAAAAATTGTACCCTATGTCTTGGTCTGTTCCAAGCAGAACATCTCGCATCACATTGGATGATGATAAGAACGGAAGTCTTCCGATCTTCTCGGTTGTTTTTAACTCCATTGCTATACGCAACGGCGCGTGCATTCCTTGGGTATTCCTGAGTAATACCATGTTCATATGATTTTGATTCTTTCGATACTGAAATACAAGATGAATTTATCGTTAACTATAATTTTGTTTTATGACAGAGTTATGATCATGCTAATAAAATACAAAATATCTTACACTTTTTTCTGAAGCTTGTAGCGGATGCATGTAACTAATCTTCTGTTGCATCGCTGATAAGCTGAAAAAACAAACACAATATCAATCTGGGACAATATTGTTTTTTAAAAGATGGATCAAGAACTAGTTTACTGGAATCATTCAAAGCTATTTTGACGGAGAAGTTATTTGTACTTGTATATAATGGTAAAGCTAAATTTTAGTTGAAATGCTCCAATTATTCTAATATTCTATTATAAACATATTCTATTTAAATTACTGAGATGATTAAGAATGGTTCGTTTAAGACACATTCATTTAAAATAATATTTCAATTTTAACATCAATATATATTTTATACCCTGATATCATAGGACTAGCTACTCCATAGCTTCCTTCTTTAATGTCAAATTTTTCCGCTACAGTAGGTTTAGGGATGACTGACGGTAAACCGAAACTCTAAAAATAATAATATTAAGTGAATTTCTTATTCTACAGTTCCTATGGAGATATTAATATCTTCTTTCAATGCGAAATTGAATGTTCTTGACATATCTTACACAGAACAGTAACAAGTTAGGACAGTTTACAAATTACAAGAAATAAACTATTTCCGCAAAGTAAAACGCGAATATAAGTTACCATTGCCTATTATTGCGCGATGATATTAACAGAATTTTATAATAATAAAATTTACGATGAAATGAACAGTCAAAATTGACTGTCATTCCTAACATAACCTATCACACAATTCGTAAAATGTAATCAATTGTACGAGGTGATTAATATATTTATAGTTAATTTATATATAAGCACATTGTAAAAAAGCGTTATTAATTATTACCATTTTGACGTTTTTAAATTCACGCACGACAAAATCACTCCACTGAAACAACGAGCACGAAGTCGACGACGCGCTGCAAACAGTGTGGATACAAACAGGAGTGAACAATGATAGGTCGGTGAAAATAAAAATTCCTGATTAGGTATTACATCATACCATTTCAAAATGAAAAGGTCATTTAACCTGCCGATTAAGTCGTTCTATTTAAAAATAAAATGATCTGACTTATGCTTGAGTCGTTTATTTGAAATTATTAAGTCGGCTGACCAATTGTTGAGTCGTGCTACTTGAACAGTCAACTCTTCTGACTATCATTGAGTTGTATTACGACCTTAGTTTTTCGTTGAAGATGAACCGTGTTTGATTTTGTACATCGGGGACGTCGATTCGCTCTGGTAGCACCAGGAATGTTATTTCACCGGCCAGATATTATCTTAAGATAATTCTCAGAGCAAACCGATGTTTCTGATTCGCAAGACCGAACGCAGCTATTACAGTCGAGATTCGAACCTATTTAGCTAAAACTCAAACCACTTTTTGCCTTTTTATTTTTTCGCACAAAGGTAACTCGGTAATTGTATCCAGCGGATTAACTTGATTAAAATGTAGTTCCAGAATCTTCGCTACGAGTCGCCATTGTTTTCTCTGAGAAACGATCATGGTTGGTCAATTTGCTTACTGTTTACGTCTTAAAGCCAGATTGTGGAAAGGGATTTCTCTGCTGAACGCAGCCGTTTAAATACGTCTCTCGCTATCGATTATCGACAATCGATATTCGCGTCTCTTAAATTTGACTCGCTACTGGAGTTATATTTCTGTAAAAACTTTGGCATTTATGTGCTTTTCCACGACTAAAAGACTCCGCGAAACGCATGACGACATTAACTATCGATCAAGCGAGTCGCTACACCGACGTCACTTCGTGATTCTCAGGGATCCGCGCGTTTGAGAATGTAAAATATTTCGTGGCGAGGACGTGGCGTAGACGAATATAGGAAATTCCGCAAATTTGCCAGCACGATGTCCATACACAAGAGAAGGAGTTCCCTGCGACAGTCCTTCAGTAGACAGTTGTCGTTGAAGCTCTTGCTGCCTGTCAAGGTAAGAAGATACTTTTTCAGCAATGAATCCAATAAGCATCAACTAACAAACGTTTGATCGTTCTTTTTAGCTGAACTGGCATTAGTTCAAGAAATTTACACACACATTGAAGCATATGAAGTGTGCGTAAAAGATTCTCACGTTTCGATGTGTATATATTTGTTGAACTGGTTCAGCCAAAAAGAACAAAATATTTTCATCGATGTGATAATTCCTTATTCAACAATGTAAATGCAACATACCATATGTAATATGCTATAGTTATGTCGTTGAATGAGAAATTATAACATTGATGTTATGTTACTATTAGTTGATGTTTACTGAATAGTTTGTTTTCGCCCGGAGGAATGGGTTCAACGGCTATTTATACAGATATGGTCCGAACCATTGGAAGAAGATCTATGAAAGATTTCATAAAAAAAAAAAGATAAAACTCTGTACATAACGTCGTGTTTATCTCTCTTAGCATCGATGTCTCTACTCAGGTCAAAAGGTTGAAAGGTCGTTATCTGTTTCGCTCGGCGGTGCGTCGCGTTTTGGAATACATGGAATGGATAACGGAGGAGCCGGTGGTCGAGGAAACTACCGACGACGTGACCATCAATATCAGGATGACCGAGAAAAAGGAGAAGAAGGTCAAGAAGCTGATGACGTTGAAGGTATATGGTCGAAGGACACGGAATTACCGTAAATCGCACGAAATATCCTGACGATACATGAACGCACGCATGACTGTGGTGGAACCGCGTTTAATTCAAGGATCGGTCGATACTGCTGGTGAATCCTACCGATAGGTCCTCCGAGGACAAAGCGTACATATACGAGCTCATCAAGAAGCTGCGTGCGTTCACGAAGTATCCGGAGGACGTGAGGAAGAAGCTGGCGGCGGTGTGCTTCTATCAATATCTACCCGCCGATCGGGTGATCGTTCGTCGAGGTCACAAGGCGAAGAACCTCTACTACATCGCAAACGGCGAAGTCAGCTTGACGAACGTCGCGATCGACGAGTTGACGGGTGAGGGAAAGACCGGTGGGTCTATTATTCTGGCGCGTGTCACGCTAGAATACGCTGAAAAAAAGTACTGCCATTCAAATAATATTGATTTAACCCGAGTAAAATAATTACTCCGATATTCTTTGGCAAATATTTATTAGAATCTAGCGTTCCTTTCCTTCGAGAATGTAGCAATAGTGTACAGCACATAAAATTGATCGTAACACGATCGTAACACGATCAATTTTATGTGCTGTACTATTGCTACATTCTCGAAGGAAAGGAACGCTAGATTCTAATAAATATTTGCCAAAGTATATCGGAGTAATTATTTTACTCGGGTTAAAGTGTGAGATGTAACGTGAAGAGTCTTGAAACGTGATTCACTCTTCGTCAGGCGACGAGAAGGACGTGAACATTGGGACCTTGCAAGTGGGTGACATGTTCGGCGAGATCGCTTTGTTGCACTCGATACCGAGAACGTCCACGGTGGTCAGCGAAAGTTAGTAGAAGCTAATCGTGGAGAATTCATTTGCCCGATAATAACGGATCTTTTAGAGAAGTAATACGTTTTTCTCCGTTTGGCCGATACGCCGTTCAGCGTCAGTCGATCTACTTCTTGTGCCTCAAGATGACTTCGACAGTACTCTGCGCTATGTTCTGCTGAAGAAGTGGAACGCTCTTCGCGATGCCTTGGTCCACTTCAATTATTTCAAGTGGTGGAACGAAGAAACGGCACGGGAGTGTTGCATTCTGAGCAAGCTGAAGGACTTCAAGACCAGCGAGGTAAACGTGTAACCGATTTTTTTATTATCTGAAGACCAGATGAAAACTCGGTTGTCGGAGGAGCAGGAGGATTCCTGTAGAAGGTTTCAGTCAGTCGTTCTCAATTATCTCAATTTTTCAAGCAGCCGGGTGTTTGGACGGAGATATTTTTTGAATCATAAATTTTCGCGTCTGTGAGTTCAATTTCAGTTACACGCATTGAAATTTGCTTTCCGTTTGCGAAAAGAACCGATGATCTTCAAGGTTCTGTTGGGCGACGGGATGGGCATGGTGAACTACGTGCATTTCATCCTGAGCGGCGAATGCCGCCTCATCGAGCACTTGCTCGTTCGCGAGTACTCCACCTATCGAGGAACGCAGTACGAACTTTACGACCCAGACGCCTCCGACAATGCGCTTCCGTCGTATCATCCGAGAAAGGTATCAAAAAAGATCGGGCGAACTTTGTTATAAATTCAATCGAACGGGATTTCCATAAAGTAATCGAAACTTTCTTTCTCGCTGTGGTAATAAAATATCTTCTTATTGCAGCGGCTCGTCCAATCGCAAGGCGATAACGACCAATCGAGTATCGTTACCACCACACTCGTCGATGTCGTGAGTATTCAGAATATGGTAGAATCGGCGCCATGTATGCCCGCTTTCACTCTGCTAAAGATATCAATTAAAACAGCTCGCAAAATATAATTACTTGAACCAGGTTGCCTGACGAGCTCGTCGAATTTGATAAACATCCTTAAAAGAATCAATTGTTACTTGTTAGTGCAATTTTTTATATTAATACGCTGCGCGTATAAACATCGTATGAATTAGATTAAAGCGTGGCACGAGATCACCGACGTCGCGGCGATGCTGATGCAAGAACCGTCCGTCACGTCGCAATTGCGTTATCCGGAAAACATTCGTACAATATTTATGCAGGTGTGCATCTTCTCCCGGGGCGCGTGCTTCGGTCTAGGTGAGCGAAACAAAAGTCGGAGCACGTTTTAATTCCTCTACGACGTAGACCGTATTAATGGGCGTTACTTGAAATTTTTCTTCTAACGACCGTCAATACAGACTGTAGAGTTTACGTAATACACACACTGTTACTGTTCATTACCGAAGCTGATGACTGAATTAGGTGAAAACATGTTTCACCGGAGAATCGTGACGATCTCGCCGGTGCGATGCTTGCTGATCCCGCGGTATTGGTTGCTCGAGCAGAATCGCGCCAACATCTGGGGGCGCGTGAAACTGTTCATGGACTCGAAGTATCCGACGAAGAGGCAATTGTTCGACCAGTTCATCCAAAATCGAAAGTACGATTGATCCCGAGAGTCGAAATACGCTCAACATTATCTCCTTCCGTTTCCTTCTGATTATCGATAATGTTTCTCAACGAAGTTCCTGCGTCATTCGGACTTCCGTTTCAGATGGATCGCGTACAAGCAGAATTTAGTGGAGGATGTCGCCAAACGACGCAAATTTTACCGCAGCAACACGACGATACACGACGTGCCGTATTCCATCCGGATCACAGAAGATATCAACACTGATAGATCCGATGATCTAACTTCCTCTTCCTCGTTGACTTGTTAAACAGCGGAAGTAAACGCGGAATAAATCAATGAAAACTTGCTGGTATAATTGTTTATTCATGAAGCAGTTTCACATCGCAACAATATCAATTACGCTGATATTTTCTGCAATGGTACTCTGAGCAAAAATATTTAAATTATTTTTATTTCTACATCAGCAGAGAATAAAATTGTGTAAGTGATATGTTTGGTTTGGAGGAATTGCACAGTTTATTTGTTACTAAAAGAATTCCTTGGATAAAATAATAAGTAAAGTAAAAAATACAATCAGGTTAACGATGTAAGACGATATAGATGTTATATCAAGACTGTATTATTTCTATCAATCCGGTAATAGAATTTGCTTGCATTCGACAAGCAGCTTTAATAGACACTAATTCCCCAATCAGTGTGTCACACGTTTTCATTATTACCATAAATTTATATGCCGCGTTGGTTTACATTGCATTGTCTCAGTTACAATATGACTATACGATATAGTATTATGTAGATAATTAAAGAGATATAATCGTTATATTTGCACAATGATTTTCTGACCGATCACACCATACGTTTATCTTCGACCGTATTAATCTTCAGCGTTCTCAATTAACACGTCTGTTATAGTACTATTCGAAAATATATCTTGCGCTAAGATAGCTTCGATTTATTCTCCTCACTTCGGGAGGAGCGTGTCGTGGCGGAGCTGGCCCCAGAATGTTGTAACGTCTTCACTATATTGGAAATAATCTTTGTGTCATCCGCACATACTGAATAATTACCGCTGATGTAGGACACTCCGTAGCTCATCCATCGTTGCACGTAGTACTCCAGAGCTTCACTCGTGTCTACAACCAGACTGCTGTCGTCGTTAAAATAGGCAATATCTACTAGGAGGGGAATAGGATTGTTGAGTGTCTGCGCATAAATATTTTCCAACAACAATAATCCCTGGTCGAGATCGCTGCAACAAAAGCCGATCGCAATGATTTGCCCGGGCAGGGAGTGATAAAAGCGCGTAGCTACTTTCACAAAATCACTCCCGTCCAATAGTTCGGTATCGCTCTTGCACAAGAACGTTATCCAGGCGCGAGCGGTCCGAAACTGCCGCAGCAGGTCCATGAACACTTCCGCTTCCATCTGGCAGGACACGTCATCCAGAGCCAACAGGTCGACACCGGCGTTAATTAACGCTTGTATGCGCAACCGATGCCATCTCTTTACGCAGTCTGACGACACGTAATTCCAGTAATCCTCATTCTTGTTCTGCAAATTCGACGTGGCGTAGCCACTGCAACAGCCGGCCACCTGAGGCCCGTTTCTCTTGAATTCCTCGACATTCGAAGTATCGCCGCCCGTTTCCTCGTAATATTTGAACACGGCCTTCTGAGCCAGCTCCACGGCGGTTGCAAAGAAGGACGTAGCCTCGGGCCCGATGATCCCCAAGTGTTCCTGTATGGAACTTGTAGTTACTCGGCTTGTGTTGGTTTTGATTATCCTGGCGCCGGCACGCAGAAAATCGAGATGAGTCTTGTACACGGCGAACCGATTATATTTGAAGGCTTTTATGTCCATGTTTGGAGACAATCTTAGGTCCGAGTTCAAATTGCGATATAGTTGCATGACAGTATCGCCGTCTATCACCGTTATTTTGTTCATGACTACAATAAGAGAACGTTCCGTTATACTCGGGGGATTACGAATCTTCTCCCATGGACGTGCTCGCTGACAATGCGAAATGTAACTACAACACGAATCGTGCGAGGACTTAAAGGATATTTAGAAGAAAATTTCTCTCTATGTGGTTTGTTATTAAACAGAACGCACGAAAAGGTCCGATAGACGTTTCGGTTATTCCTTACCGAAGCTTTCGAACGAGCTTAATTGGTGAACTTGTTCAGATCTGGTCTAATTAGCATTTCGCAAAAATCTTTGTATTATTCTATCTTGTATTTTTATTTTTTTTTAATTTCTTTTATTTACTTATTTTTCGAATGGATAACAGGCAGGGAGGTTATAGCTAAGTACGTTGTTTTTTCTGTGATTAGAAAGCGCTACATGACACTTTCTGTTCTGTCAAGATTACAGGGAATGCAGTCAGGAATGTAATTACTTATTCCGTCGTCTTGGAAGATCGCGGAAGCGCACGAGGAATAAGATAATAATTATTTATAAATATTATTGAGATGATTGAGTATCGTCCTTTTCGCAGTATGGAAATATTTTCAACCAAAGTTTACCGTTCGATTAGTTATGCGTTAACCAATTCGAAATGATACAGTTGGAATTTTATATTTAATGAAGCGCAGTATCTCGCGGGCGATTAATATGATCAAATTCGCCTCATTAATTATTTGTACGCACAGGCGTGTGAATACAATATTGGGTGTTAATTTATTTCTGCTGGTGTTACGTATTTAAATATTTGGCTTATTTTATTATTTTCATATAAATAGAACAGATATGAACAGAACAGATTTAATACGAACAGAAAGTAGAAGTTATAAACTACACGTTGGGTTTGTAGAAATTATTTATAGTGTTTATTGTCAATTAAGAAAGATGAAACTTTTGGATAAATAACGAATAAGCAAAATAATAAAATAATAGATAGATAATAATAGATAGATGTAAGATAAACCAAATAATAAAATAACAAACAAAGATTTTAAGGTAACTGAGGATTACCAATAATAACGAGCCAGTAATCACGGACATCATTATAATTGCAATGTATATTTGTGTGAAATTTTCATTGCAGCTAGTTACAGTTACAGTTATTAGTTCAGCGTTATGTAATTTATGCGTTATTAGTTCCGTCGCACAGTGTTATATTATTTCCGTTGCCAATTCCCTTTTCTGGAAGAACGGTACTCTCTTACATATTCGCAGACCGTTTTTACATCTTCGGCGTTTGTTTTCCCACCACCGCTGATGTAACGTACTCCGACGTCCAGCCATTCCTGCGCGAAATTGCGTTGCGGCGCCTTGCCAGACGCAGCAGCGTTTTCTATGCCGGATAAATAACGATTATCAACATGGAACATAAACGGAATCTTCGAGTCTCTGTTGTCATTGATGCTTCTCAGCAAAGGCACCATCGATGCGGGCATAGGCCTGTTCATGCCGATGGCGATGATCTGTGCAGATAGGAAATCGTAACACTGCAAAGCTAAGCTAATAAAGTCACTTCCATCCAATAATTTCGCATCCACCGGACAGTCGAACGTGATCCAGGCGCGAGCTTTCGGAAACATCTTCAACACCGTAATAATTGCTTTCGCCTCCGTTAAGCAAGGTATAGACTCGAATGCTAGCAGATCGACGCCGTTACTCAGCAACGTTTTCACGTGCAAGCCATACCATCTTACTATGACGTCCCTCGGAGTGAAATTCCAGTATTCGATGGGAACGTCAGACGTGAATCTCACGACGCTATAATTACTGCAAGAGCCGGCCACTAATGGCCGGCGTCGCTCGAATTCCTTGACGTTGGAAATCTTGCCGTGCGTTTCCTCGTAATACCGGTGGACGGCCTTCTTAGCGGTCTGCACGGCAGCTCCGATAATAGACGAAGCCTGAAGTTCGCCAACATTTAAATATTCCTTTACAGAATCTTCGCTCGCTCTATCCGTGTTAGTCTTTATTATCTTGGCGCCGGCACGTAGATAATCCAAGTGAGTTTTATACACAGCGTACCGATTATACTTGAGAGCCTGCAGCTCAAACATTGGTCGCAACATCTCGTTCACACTCAAATGGCAACGTAGTTGCGTTTTGAAATCACCGTCTATCACTATTCGATTGTGCATCGCGCAGACAGTGTCCACCTAACTTTGCTCTTTGACTCCGGCAACGAGCCTCGATGTAAAGTGCAACTGCAGATTATGCTTAGTTTTGACACTAATCCTTATTAAAGCGAAGTTCAGCTACTTCGCGTCACGTCGTAAACGGCAGTGCGAATCACGCGAGATCGGCGGGTACTGAAAACATGTATTCTCTGTATGGTTTATTATCAAACAGACGCAAACATGTTCAACGGACGTTTCGGTTTAATCGTTACGAAAACTTTGGGACTGGCGTATTTGCACAAAGAAAAAGATTCCTTTAGATTCAGGATTTCTATTTACTCGACTAAAATTTCTAATTGTAATACTTATGCGAAATATTATTTGTTTGAGTAAAAATTGTATCGCCTCATTCAAGAAAATTCTATTATTTGACGAAAAGAATGTTATTATTTGAAATAATATTTTTTAACCAAATAAATAGTGCTTGATGTGTATGTGAAATGAAAGTTTTAATTAATATTTGGACAATCTAACACGAACACATGGAACTCATTATTTCCAAAAATAATCCCCTTTCCCAATAGCACATGTGTTTTAGCAGATTATAACCTCCAGGATTGAGAAGTGTTATATTTTCCAAACTTCTTTTGTTGATAATTTTTTAATAAACAACGACGGTTAAAAATCTTCTGATGGATATTCAAAACAATGGTATCTATAACACATATCATTGGGAGTGGGTCCCCTGTTTAACATATTTACTCAGTTTCCTAATATATTAATAAATACAAAACGTACTGCAGTAATTAAAATATATTTAAAATTACACACTTTTCTAATCATATTAATTCATAGCTCTTCCAGACAAACGCGAATGTCAATATCTATGCAACAAAAACATTATATAAGAATATAGAGATTACACAATTATTATTATTATCGTAAATTGAATGGATTCTCCTAACTGCAGGAGTATCCGGAATTAGTGGTCGGGGATTCCTTGAGGCGAACGCAACGTCTTAGAGTTTTGCAAAGAACTTTCATGTTTTCCGGGATCATGCCGACGCCACCGCCAACGTAACGTACTCCCATGTCCAGCCATTTCCGTAGGATTATTTGCTGCATTTCAAAGCCGGGCTTATCAGCGAAACCGTAGGAAAATAAAGTATTTTGAACATAGCACATCAACGGTATCTTGGACGATCTGTTCTCGTTGATTTTCTCCAGCAAAGGTTTCAGTGCATTGGGAGACTGCCAGTCGTAACAGGCGAAACCGAACGCGAGGATCTGTCGGGGCTGGTAATAGTCATAACAGTGTTTGATCGCTTCGACAAGATCGCTTCCGTCCACTATTTTCATCTTCTGCGTGCATAAGAACGTAATTAGAGCACGAGCTTTCGGATAATCCTTAAGCAGTTCAATCACCGCTTTTGCCTCCTTTAGGGAAGGTATACACTCGAATGTCAGCAGATCGACACCGGCGTTCAATAACGTGTTCACACGCGGTCTGTGAAAGTACTTCAGATATTCCAGCGTGAGATGCTTCGCGTGCACCACAGCCTCGTCTAGATTGTCGAAATTCGCAGCGGCACAACTGCCGCAGAGGCCGGCAATTAAAGGCCGCAGTTGTGAGTGTAAGTCCTTGCCGTCTTCCAGCATCAACTCGTAATACCGCTTGATCGCAGTTTTGATTACTTTGACGTTATGTGCAATTAAAAGCAAACCTTCAGCCTCCTTGATTCCTAAATATTTAATGAGAACTTTTCCGACTGTGCGGTACGTGTTGGTTCTTATTATCTGAGCACCGTTGATCAGAAATTCCAAGTACGTCTTACATACGTCGTACTGATAGCACAACTTGAGGGCATGTAACATGAAAGTTTGGTCCGTTTCTATGGGCAGTTTCATACGGGTGCGTAGTTGAGTTTCGAAATCGCCGTCCAACACCATAATCTGCTCCGTCCCAGCAAACATTATTGGTAGCATGTTATTGTCATTATCGTCCATGTTTTTTTCGTCAGACAACGTCTCCTTGATGAATGTTCGTCGAATTCTACACACGGTCCCGACGCTCGAGCGTTGCTTCTCTAATACATCGAGTGATTACTAATTGTCTCTTTCTTGTAGGCGAGCGAAATGTAATTGCAAATCCCGTATCTGCGGTAACGCGTGTCTTTCATGTTAATATCGATCGAAGCAAATTTACCCGCTTTTGACCATGTAGCAGACGTGGACACTTCACCTCGAACTACAAATCACGTGCGAATATTGTTGATATTTAAGGGTTTTTGCCGCGCGGTTTGTTATTAAACAAGCGAGAAACACGTGGCGACATTTGAGCTTAAAATATTTGTTGACAGCGATACTCTCCGTATCCTACCAAGATTACATAGATTGTTCCGAAAGTTTTCACAAAGTGGCATTAGGCGACGTGTCGATAAAAATTGTTGATAGATTCTCTTAATTTCACATGCTCACTTTGCCTTTTGACGCATCAAAAAATACGAATTCATTCAGCCGTGAGACATGTTCAAAGTTGACGCTTGAATGGAGATTGCAATGTTTGTCAAAGTTCATCTATGTTATATTATTGTGTGTTGACAAATTAGGACAAGTTAGGAAAAATAAATATAGCTGGAGTTTTGTATTTGATAGAGTACAAAATACACACGTGGGCAATTTATTTTGTCAAACTTTGTTTGTTAATTATCCGTATGAAGCATGCGAATACATACAGCACTGTGTTTTAATGAATAATGTTGAGGTTACTCACATACTTTGGATATTATTATTTTGATATGAATAGGAAATAATGTTAAAAAAAATAAAAACTGTATGGTGGACTTGTAGAAATTATGCAGTGTATATTAATGAATTATAATAAAGAGCTATAATAAAGAAATAATACCAAAGTAAATACATATATTCATATTTGGATTTATATTTATAATTATATTTACATATTTATATATCAAAAATTGCCGACTATATAATAACGCAAACAATATGTTAGTTTCATAAAGTAAGTATTGTTTGAATTACAAACTGAATAAACAATTTACACGTAACTAGCGTTAAGTTGTCTATTGCAACAATTTCATGATCAATATTTTAACTGACATAATAAACTTAAATTTTCCATTTGTTGTACAGTATCTTGTATGAAAGTTATGATATAATCATACGATACACTCCACTCTTATCTAATCTACGCAGCTTACTAGATGACATTTATATTTGATCATATAAATCATCAGTACTTTTAAACAACACGCATTAATACTCAAGCGGCAAATATATCAAACGCCTAATGAGATCACAAAGTTATCATTGTAATTATAGTTTGGAGAGATTTTTCTTATTTCGATATGAACATGGATTTCTGGAAAGGAAGGACTTGTCCGTCGACTGATAGAAATAATCCACTTGTTCGCGAATCTGTTGTATGTCCTCCGCAACTGTGTCGGGACCACCTCCAATGTAACGTACACCGGCGTCCCACCATTCGTGCACGTAACCATGTTGCAACGTCGCGCTACTGCTAGATGCGCCAATGTTTCCTTTACCAGGTGCAACATATTTGCTAGTATATAACATACACGGCTTATCTTTTAAACAGCCGTTCAGGCTCCGAATCGCGGGTATCATTGTCCCTGGCGAGTCGCATTCGGCACCCACCGCGATAATTTGTTTGGGCAGTGTTTTAAAGCAGTGCGCAGCCACCACTGGAAAATCTACACGACTCACTATTTTTGCGTCCTCGGGGCAAAGAAGGCTGATCCAAGCGCGGGCTCTTGTTTTATAATACCTTAGCACGTTAAGTATCGCAATAGCCTCACGAAAAGTAGGTATAGCCTCGAACGACAATATATCGACGCCGGCCTGTAGTAAATCATATACACGCCAACTGTGAAAAAACAGCAAATAATCCGGCGAATACATCAAGTTATCATCAATGACTTCCTCATCACATATATAGAATTTTTTAATCTCATCGTCGTAAAGCGAAGCCATAACACTGCTGCAGCAGCCCGCTATTAAAGGTCGGCGTGATTTATATTCTTCGGAATTCATATCCTCTCCCGTCTCCTCGCCGTATATTTTCACGGCATGCTTGGCCAAATTCACAGCTCCATGTAAGTATTCCGTGTAATCGAAAGGAGAAGTTAATTTCAAATGTTTCTCAAAAGCATCTTTGGTCGCGTAATATGTGTTGGTTCTTATTATCTGGGCGCCGGCGCGCAAATAAGCCAGGTGAGTTTTCATTACGGCACGCCGATCCTCTATAAGTGCGTGTAAAGGGAAAGCTCTCCCAAAATCTTCGGCCCTCGGAAAGTGGCGACGTAGCTCAGCTTTGAAATCGCCGTCTACTACCAATAGTTTATCCATCTTGTTGCTAAGAATCTGTTTCTTGATATCGTATGACACGATGTCCTCAACTCGTTACTTAGTTTCAATGCGAAGTCGCTTCTGTTACACTCGACGTTACGTTTACGAATTATCTCTCTCTCTCTCTCTCTCTCGAATGTTTTCGTTGATGAACAAAATGTAACTAGAAAATGTTCAGTCCTTTGCGCTAATTCGGTTATGACGAATTTATTCAGGTACGTTAGAGGCGATATTATGGCACGCAGATACGGAAATTAACCCATCCGCTACCTGTCGCTTACTGCCACCAGCCGATTCCTAACTATCACTGTATTGTGCTTCTAGTTGTGTCCAAACGAGGACGGCAGGTACTCATAGGACTTTCTTGCTTGAGATCTGTTATTATATAAACAGCGCACGTCGAACAAATATTTCGATTATCTCTTACGGAAACCTTTGGGTGACGATTTCGATTAGCTTCCCGAAACACCCGTCTGTAACTTCTGTTTCACAGAAATTTCATTCTATCCTGTATTTGTAAATCATGAAACGCAAGAAGATTTTAGTTAATTATGTTCTTAATCAATGTTGTTTCCTTCATAATTAGTAAGCGACACTGCTTAATGTATCAGTGCACACGGTAAAGAAAAAAATGTTAATTTTAACACTTTTCACATGTCCCAGAAAATACGCTTTAAATTTTATGTCGAAATAACTCATTCATCGTATGTTAATTGTACGCAAATTGAAAAGATTAATGAATTGACACTAACATGTCGTGCCTTAACATATGTTAGTTATTTTGATTTAAATTTGATTATTAATAGTAACATTTGATACTGATTAAACTGGCATGTTTATAATGTCAAATATAATGAGTGCTGAAAAGATGTTGTTATCAAAATTGGTAACAAAAGAAAATTTTAATATTAAGACACTAAATTTTTTACCGTGTCACAAGGAATTGAAGCAAGATTATAATTACTTCTCCTCCCATAGAAGATTGTGGAAGCGCGCGAGGAATAAGTAAGTAAAAATATATGAATTGCTTGTAATTATGTCGTACATTGCGTACATAAAACGAAGATTATAATTTTTGTCGAAGTTTATCTGTTGCTGCATTACAGTTTGTGTGTTGACAAATTTGTGAAGTTGTGTTGTCAGTTGTGTTGTTGAAGTGAAAACGTACACGGACAATATATTTTAATAAATATTTCGTATTAATTATTTGTAAGAAAAATGTGCAAGTAAATACTGTATTACACGTTTTAACTGCTATAACAATCTTAAATGTTCCACCTGTTGTACATTATCTTGCACGAACTATGATGTATTCATACGACATATAATTCCCACCTCCAAATCTACATGGTTTATAAGACGATATATTTATGTTTGAACATATAAATCGTTAGTATCCTCCTAGACAACGTGTCTTAATACTCATGCGACAAATATATCAAACGCATAATAAGACATTACAAAGTTATTATTATAATCATAGCACGGATAGACTCTTCTCTTTTCGATATGGATATGACCTTTGGAAAGGAAAGATCTCGTTTTTGAACTTGCAGAAATTATCCACTTGTTTGCGAATCTGTTGTATGTCTTCCGCAACTGTGTGGATACCACCTCCAATGTAACGTATTCCAACATTCCACCATTCCTGCACGTGATTGTGTTGCAGCATTGTACTGGATCCAGCAGTATTTTCCGTAACAGGTAAAATGTAATTTTTATCAGCATATAACACACAAGGTATCTTATCTTTATAACTATCGTTGAGGTTCCGTATTGTGGGCATTATTGTTTCTGGAAAGTCGCATTCGACTCCTATCGCCATAATTTCTTGTTTGTGTAGTGTATTATAACAGTACGCAGCTACTCCTGAAAATTCTGTACCATCCATTAGTTTTGTATCCTGGGGGCAATAAAGCGTAATCCAAGCGCGGACTGTTTCATATTTCTTTAGCACTTTAAATATCGAAAGAACCTCGCGGAAAGTAGATATAGATTCGAATGCCAACATATCCACGCCGGCTGCTACTAACTCTCGTGCACGCTGATCGTGAAAAAACTCTAAGTAAGATTGCGTCCTCTCATTCGCGAACTTAGCAGATATACTACGTTTATTAAATACAACGTCAGAGATCGATACCATGGCACTACCGCAGGAACCGGCTATTAAAGGTCGGCGTAATTGATATTCTTCGGAACTCATATCCTGTCCTGTCTCTTCGCCATACTTTGTCACGGCCTGTTTGGCCAATATTACGGCTCGTTCTATCAGTGTGGAATAATCATTGAGACGTAAATCCAAATGTGCGGCAACGGCACCCGAGGACGCATAATATGTGTTAGTTCTTATTATCTGGGCTCCAGCGCGCAAAAAAGCTAAGTGAGTTTTTAACACGGACCACCGATCCACCTTGAGTGCCTTTAAAGGAAAATCTTCCCCGAAAGTTGAGGCCATCAGAAAATGGCGACGTAGCTCAGATTTGAAATCGCCGTCCAATACCACTAGTTTGTTCATCTTACAATCGTACAATGTGTAGATTTAATGACAGAATGTTGCTAAGAATCTGTTTTTATACTTATAATACGATCCTCAACTCATTATGTGATTCTAATGCTAGAACAACGTTACACTTGGCGGATACTAATTATCTTTTTTGAAAGTTTTCGTTGACCGATAAAATGTAATTAGAAAATAAGTCCGTCGATGTGTATTCTTCACGCTACTTCGGTTATGACGAATTTGCTTACTTCAGTCGTATATTATAGGCAATAATATGTCTTGATTTGCGTCCTTGAGAGGACGATGAACACTTCTAAGATACTTTTATTTATGTGATCTGTTATTAAATAAACACGAGCGCACGACTGACAGACATTTCGCTTATTTCCTACGGATGCTTTGGAATAAACATATTAATAAACTTTTCCAGACACCGTTTAACTTGTGTTTTACAGATATCTTATTCTATTTTGCATTTTGAAATCATAACACACACACAAAGAGATTTTATTTAAGTATGTTTTTAATAGAAGGTGTTTGTTTCTATTTGTTGACAAATTAGAGAAATGATACAGCTGAAGTTTCACATCTAGTGGAATAAAAACCATATACGGATAATTTAGGTTGTTAAACTGTCCTTGCATATCTATATGAAAAACTGTAAATATGAAAAAAAAAATATAAAGATTTTTTAAAGGATTTCTAAGGGATTTTAAAGGTTTATAAAAAATTATCGAAATAATTGCAATTAACAACGTAGTAATTTAATTGAGTATTTTAATCTGAAAAAACAATATACATATAATTAACGTTTAATTGTCTGTTGCAGCAATTCTATGATCGATATTAGATGTTTTAAATGTCACGATAAACTGAAATGTACCACATGTTCTAAATTATACGGAGTCGATTATGATATTTCAGTACGACTTATCTAATTTACATCACTAATATAACAATATTTATGTTTAATCCATAAACCAATGTTCCTAAACAATCCGCCACAATGTGAGAAATATATCAAAAGAATAATGAGATTATAAAGTTATGACGATGATCATAATTTGGCCAGAGCTTTGTTATTTTTGTAGGACTGTGGTTTAAAAGAAGTGAAAGGCTGAGGACTGTCCTGGACTGAGGACACGTAAAAATTTTCCACATGTTTGCAAATCTGTTTTATGTCTTCCGCGTCTGTGTAGGGACCACCGCCAATATAACTTAATCCGAATTTAAACCACTCTTTTATATCATCGAGAGGCATCATCATGCTAAGTTCATTATCAGTATATATCCTCATAGTATATATATGACGTTTGCATGCTTGTAACAGAAATGGAATTTTTGGTGTGCGGAATTCGCTAGCGATTCGCATAAAGGGGATTATTGGTTCCGGCTGCAATGAGTCAACACCGATCGCGATAATTTGCTTGGGAAGGGAGTTATGACATAATGCAGCTACCTCTCCAAATTCAATACCGTCATTTAGTTTTCCATGTTCCTTGCAAAAGAAAGAGATCCAAGCGCGAACTTGCGAATACCGTTTTAATATATCTAATACAGCCTTAGTCTCTTCCAAAGTACATATACACTGGAATGCCAACAGGTCGACATTAGCCGTCAATAATATTTTCACACGAGATTCGTGAAATTTTATCAATTCTTCTTTCCTTTTAACCATGCGCCGTGGATTGTTTACATTAGGTGATGTGAGGGAAGTCAGAATTACATGACTGCCGCAGACTCCTGCTATTAAAGGTCGGCTACGTTTGTATTCTTCAGAATTTAAATTGTATCCCATTTCTTTGCCATAATTTTCCACGGCCTCTCTGGCCAATTTCACGGCCTTGTGTATCAGTGCAGTATACTCACTCAAATCGAGATTATAAAATTTCTTAGCTTCATCCAAGGACGCTTGAAATGTGTTAGTCCTTATTATCCGGGCACCGGCGCGTAAGAAAGCCAAGTGAGTATCGTGCACGGCGGACGGAGCAAACTTGAGGGCATGTAACGGGAAATATCCTACATCTCGTTTGTTCCATATGAAATGGTGCAAATGGTGACGTAACTCAGTTTCGAAATCGCCGTCTATCACCGTTGGCTGGCCCATCTCGCGTGCATAGTATTAACAGCGGGCGATTGTTAAGAGTTCGTTTCTTGATGTCTTTATGATACGATCATACAGATCGACTTCTATTTTTTCCGCACTCAGTGATAACGAATTATTTTTCTTCAACGTTCTCGCACCGACAAATAAAGTGTGCTACGAAGCGAGCTTGTTTATGTATATATCCGTTTATGTATGTGTTCGTAGCTCACAAGTTCAGCATAACTTGTTCCGATAGGCTAAATTTGAATTGAATCTCAATTCGTAGTTTGGTGCGGGCTTTATAGGCGTATAAGAATAGATTATATAAGCATAAATCACAAGAATATAGTCCTTGGAGTCGGTGTTAAGCGGGATCTACAATGAGAATTTAAGTTCTAAGCCTTAAGAAATTGACCAATCATAGTCGGATGTGAAAAGAATAATAGACTGTGATTGGTCGATTCCTTAAGGCTTAGAATTTAAAGCATTTATTATAGACCGGAACTTAGCCGTCAGATTATCTATCACGCATGATCGTCAATTCATAGGTTCGTTTCGTCATAATTTTTGTGTGTTCCGAAATGTGACAAACAAAAACTGTTGCAACCGTCCTGTAATCGAGTGTACACTGTATGTACATGCATGGAATATTTTATGCACATTATTCCCATTTGCACATACATTCTATGTGCAATGTATGTACATTTCGTACACAATATATGTACATTCACTATGTATTACCAATATGCATAGTATATGTAATATATATGAATGTAGAGTATATTATATATATATCCAAATGTTTTTATTTTAACGATCAGAATATAGAAGTTATAAACTATGGAAATTAGAATTAAGTTATTCACAAATGCAGCGTTTACTCACGATTGGAAGAAAAAAATGAATAATTATGTACAAAATAATGTATAGAGAATAACAATATAGAATAATAAAAAATATTTGCAGAATTATATGACAACAAAGTAATATATAAAGAATCTAATGAATTCTTAAAAGAATTAATAATAAAAATCGACATAATCATAGTTAACAACTTAGGTAGGTTTAGTGAGGTAGGTATTTTTATTATATCTCATCAGTTTTCCTCTTGGACAATAGTTCTCTTTGACAATAAGCGTTCATGCGATAAGTATATGAAATGAATAACGAGAACGCAAAAAGTTATTATTATAATCATGGTTTAGATAGATTTTTGTTATTCCGTTAAGAACATATGCATCATCATTTGGATGATTTGGCCTTGGATCCGTGGAGATTTGCCGCTTGTTCGCAGATCTTTTTCATGTCCTCCGCGACAGTGTCCAGACCACCCCCGACGTAGCATATTCCGGCGTCCCGCAATTGCTGTAGATAATTCTGCGAAAGGGTTGCGTTAGGTCCACCGGCGCCTTCCGTAATAGAGAAATGACGTTTGTCAGCGTATAACAGGAACGGAATCTTAGATTTCCTGGTTTCGTTGAGCATCCGCATAACGGATATCGTTACTGTTGGATCGATGCATTCGGCGCCGACCGCGATAATTTGGTTGGGCAGGTAATTGTAACACATCGCAGCTGCGACTTCAAAGTCCGTGCCGTCCATTAGTTTCGCATCTACCGAACATAAGAGCGAGATCCAGGCGCGAGTTGTCTGGTAATTCCGGAGCAATTTCAATACAGCACGAACCTCATTCACAGTAGGTACAGACTCGAATGCCAACAGATCGACTTTCGCCGCCAATAACTCTTGCACACGATATCCATGAAACCGCAACAGTTCGCTTTCCGATAGCTCACGCAGGACTTCCACAGATATGTACCATTTATTAGGTATATTATCGAGAAGCGAAAGCAGGTAACTGCCGCAGGAGCCAGCTACTAAGGGTCGGCGCAGTTGATATACCTCGGAATTTGGATCGTATCCCATCTCCTCGCCGTACGTTTTCACGGCTTTCTTCGCCAACACCGCGGCTCCACGTACCATCGATGAATACTCGCGATCATCGAAACCTATGTACGTCATAAAGTCATCCTTGGAAGCTTGATATGTATTGGTCCTTATTATCCGGGCGCCGGCACGCAGATAAGCCAGGTGAGTTTGGTACACAGCGAGCGTATCGACTTTGAGGGCGTGTAACATGAAAGCTTTCCCAAATTTCCCAGCGTGTTCGAAATGGCGACGTAGCTCAGCTCCGAAATCCCCGTCCAACACGTTTAGCTTGTTCGTCTCGGTGAAAAGTAGATGGCTGGCTAATGTTAAGGATCTATTTTTTGATTCCTGCACACCATTATGACTGAATTCGTCAGCCGTTTCCGATGTTCCAACATCGTTTTCCTTATATTCAGCCATTACGAGTTATTTTCCTCGAACGTTCTGCTTGACGGACAGAATGTAACTACAAAGCTGATCCATCGATCCTTCACGCCAACTTCGGACGTGGCAAATTCTTGCTTCGGGCGCGTCACAGGGGAGAGATCCTATATGAGATCTGTTCTTTTTCCCTGAACTAGTGTACACTTATAGAACTTAAAAAGGGAGAGATATACCGTTAAGACTTGGTGGGAGGAAGAGAAGAGAAGTAGTGCAAACTAGTGCAGCCAGTTCAGTGAAAAAGAACGGACCTATATAGAAAAAAAAGCGACAATGCTGATGCGATTGCTGATTGGTAGTTCCCTCACCTCATTGAATCAGCCATATTGAGCCCGCAGTGGAACGGAGATATTCTATTATCATTTGTTATGTAGCATTTATGACGCTCGTTGATTTTGTTTCCAATATTTTCAATTTAATATTTGAATTTATAACGGTGCGAGTATATAAGGTTTTACACTGTCTTATTCGGGAATATAAAAGATTGCGATTGTTTTGCGTTAATGTAATGTAATGTTATATTATAACATATGTCGACATTACGATTGTATTGTGATATTGTGGAAGTTAGACTTCAAGAATTTTTGTTGATGCAACATTATCTATAACATATGTTGCAATTATAATTGCAGAATATATACTTCAGCTAATCCGTCTCGATGACTTGATTTCTTGTATTTGTATATAATTATTTATTCACCTAAAAATCGTATACGAAATTGAAATCAATCTATTAAAAATACATACACACATACATACGCGCACGCACACATATATTTACACTAGAGTTGTTATATATTTCTGTTTATTAAATAATCATTTATTACACATAGCATAAATTTTAGGTTAAGTTTATGGTATGTATTTACAATCTGTGTCCATCTGCTTTTATAGAGCTAGAATGGATCAAATATAGTGGCACTTATGGTGGTAGATGAGAGAAGTCGCTTGACTCTTTATACAGGATGTCTGACGCAAAGCGTGTCAACCATCACATATATTTATAGTTTAGGTCAATGTGGACAAAAAAGTCCTGTTCATCATTTTGCAAATAACATGCAAATTTTTAAGTTATTAATTAAAGGAGCCTCTATACGCGGCCATTTTCAATTATAATTATTACGTAATGATCATTAAAACTCGAAATTTCGCGTGTAGTTTGCAAAATGGTGTAAGACATTTTGTTTACATTGATTAAAACTGTAACTGTATTCTAATAAATAAAAACGTACAGTCAAGAAATATAAAAATTGTTTTTATTCATGATTAAAGGCGGGAGAGGGGTACATGTGATACATTCATATATATGTATAAAAAATTGATACAGATAAAATTACATGTACAGTCTAATACTAATGACACATAAAATACGACGAACTGTTTCTTCATTGTACGATAAAAAATAACTCATCCAGCAACATCATTGAAACATAAAGTGGAAATTCATATAATTTTATTGTACAGTTTTTTTTTCAGGGAAATGAAACTAATGTGGAAAGAGATCAATAAAATCTAAAACAAACAGATCCCATAAACATATAAGAAACATTTAAACTCTCCGTGTGATGAGCGAATTATATAAGGAATAGTAAAAATTTAAATTTATTATAAAATTTGATCGAATTAAAGATAAAGCTTGGAATTTCCATTTAAGAAAATCCTAAGGATATTTTTAGTTTTAATGTATCCACCGTGTAGTCTATTATTTGTTTAGGTCTCTGCAGAACTCTCTTAATAGTGTAAAACTGGTTTCAAAAAAGGCCTATGAAAATCACTTGAAGCAGTTTTTCGACTAGAAACAGAAGTTCTATCGCGATGAGATTATCGCTCTGCCCCAAAAATGACAAAATATTATCGAAAATAATTGAGTATATTTTTGGTTTATATTTGGTTTGAATAAATTGATTTTAATATTCTAAGAAAAACACTTGAATTTTACTAAAAAAACGCCACGAACTTTTTCCCATATCCAACACAAGCATATAATGGAGAATTTAAAGATAATACACATTACCTATCTTTTTATCCGGGAGTGTAACTTCTTAGCATGGCGGAGCCGTTCCCATCGTACGTGTCGCGGATCATTCGGAACGTGATTATATAGTGTCCCAAACTAATCTCAGTTTCCGTGGAGTGCAAATGGAACGGGTGAAACTGAGTAAAAAAATCATGTACCATTTTGTAAAATTCGCAATTGTTAGCGAAAAATTAACTATTTTGTCTAAATTAAAGAGAACTAAATTATACTGATGTCCGATCTACCCTTTCCCGTATGTTCATTAGCTCAGACAAAATAATTAATTCCTCATTAAGTATTGCGAATTTTGCAAAATGGTATATGACATTTTTGTTCAACTCAATGAACTCTACGTCCCCACGAAGCGGAAGTATTCGGTTACCCTGTATATATATATACATACATACATATATATATATAAATTCGAAATTATAGAAAGTGGTTCTCCTTTTGCAAAATTTATCTAACCAGGTACTTGATTTTATTTTCATACGTTGTACATAGTTCCATATATGTTTGAAGAAAGATAAAATATGTAAATTAGATAAGATAAAATATGTCAATTAGGCTGTAACGTAGAGAATATAAGACACGTTGTACCATGATAAAGTTTATTCCGTAACTGTATACAGACAACTTCGGCTAAGGAACGTGTCGTTTTATACATATAACGTGGTATAAAAGCTATACAACGACACACATCAATCCGACTGGTCAGTAAATGTGCATAAAATAGCATCCCAGATAATTTGCACGTGCGAAGTTTACGATCGATTTTGGTTTTAATATTTCGCGATGAGTAGACCGTTCTTGTTGCAACTGCTCTTCACATTATGCCTTTCATACGCCTTAATACCCGTCGCTATGATGGAAAATGGAGCGACCGAAGGAAATAACTCCAGAAAACCACATATTATTATTATCCTCGCAGATGATTTGGTGAGTAACAATAACGATGTAAAAATTATTATCGAAACAAAGGTTCCTCTAATTTTGTAGGTGTGTTTATTTGAAAGGATTAGGGATTGCTTTGACGAAATCTATCAACCGAATACATTAAGAAACTTCTCATTGATTATAATAATAAACAGGGATAATGTATATTATGTTATTATTCTATAAAATATGATGGATTTCATATCGTTATTCGCAGGGCTGGAACGACGTTAGCTTCCATGGTTCCGACCAAATCCCGACGCCAAATATCGACGCTCTCGCATATTATGGAGTTATCCTGAACAATCATTATGTATCATCATTATGCACGCCAAGTAGAGCAGCCTTAATGACTGGGAAGTATCCAATCCGTACAGGCATGCAACACAGTGTTATATGTCCGTCAGAACCACGCGGACTTCCACTAACAGAGAAGTTGATGCCGGAGGTAATAATAAAAAAATTTTCGTTATCATAAAATAGATTGCAAATTGTTATCTTGGCTGAACATACGTCAATAATAAACATGTCTCGAGCTGATTATCTGTTGCAGTATTTGAAGGAATTGGGTTACTCAACAAATATAGTGGGTAAATGGCACTTAGGTTTCTACAAACACGAGTACACGCCGCTTTATCGTGGCTTCGATACGCATTTTGGTTACTGGAACGGTCTCCAAGATTATTATAGTCATGAAGTAATAGAGCCAGTAAGTTATTTGAAGAATATTACATATTTTTTTTCTAATATTAGAAAAAATATGCGACAGTTCTACAACTGAAAGAAGGTNTATGCGACAGTTCTACAATTGAAAGAAGGTATTAAAAAGAGAGTGTTCAAAATTATGTGTATACTTACCAATAATATTTCTTCTCTCAGTTTACAAAATATTGAAAATAATGTACCTATCAGTAATCTTTCTATTTTCAGGTTACAAACTTTCGAGGCATGGACATGAGATGGAATATGGAGGTCGCATGGGACACAAAAGGCAACTATTCAACAGATCTCTTCACCGAGGAAGCAGTACGCTTAATTAATGCTCACAATCCCGATAAACCATTGTTCTTATACCTGTCTCAAATTGCTCCCCACAGTGGAAATGAGGAGCAGTTACTACAAGCTCCTCCCGAAGAGATCGAAAAATTCTTCTACATCACCGATCCAAATAGAAGAATTTATGCTGGTGCAGTATAATTTTCAAAAACTAGCCAAGAACTAATTGGAACTCTCGTCGAAAAACATATTATTCACTGACTTCTTGTATTTTAGAGGAGACTATGTTGTGCTGAAACGTGAAGTTAACAAGACATTTTTTCATTTCCGATATTTTGGTATTAAAAAAGTGGAAATTTTGGGGATTTTTTAAAATTTTTATCAGGAAATGTTGAACTATAAAAAATGCTATTAGCATTATCATTGTTTTTTAAAAATTATTAAAACGTCATACGGACTTCACAGGCATAACGCGTAGCACGTGTCTCTGTTGGTTTAGTATAAAAAATATTTCATGTACAAACATTGAATACTTATTTTCTTATTTCTAGCAGAACTTCGGCCGTTCTAAAGTAATACAATTTTCGCAAACGTTGCACACATTACATATACTACACATTTTAACTTAATTACGTGTGTACAAGAGTTTTCCGTTAACACATAGAGCAATATATCGGGTTGGCGTTGCAATGGCACGTATGAGAGTGAAAGCGGTTTTTATACGTAGAATGAACAGATAAATCGAAATTTGTGCTAAAAAACTAAAAAAGCTAAAAAATTCTATTAAAAAAATTAAGTTGACCTTAAAATGACATTGAATTATTGCGAATACAACGAACTTAAGGTTATCAAAATATGTCAGCCCTTCAAAAAACACTACAACTTTTGTCCGAAACATTTCTTTCTAATTTGCTTTATTTTTGTTATATTAAAGTGCCTCAATTTAAATGCCCTACACCGTGTAAGAAAGATTTAGTTTAATTTAGTTATATATAATAAATAAAATGTTCCTAGTTCCGATAAATGAAATGATCCTTTTTTGCAAGATTTTTTAGATGCTATAAAACTGCATAGTTTATTTTACTTTTGATATTACTATTTACAGCCATGGTTTCTAAATTGGATGATAGCGTCGGTGAAGTCATGAAAGCCTTGAAAAATCGCAATATGTTGAATAATAGCATTATCCTTTTCATGTCTGATAATGGTGCGCCCACTTATGGATTTCTGAATAATTATGGCAGTAATTATCCCTTGCGTGGAGTAAGTATTCGTTGCGAGGGAAGAACTTGGATCATCTAACGATATAACTTGACACAAATTACGATGCGAGTGAAACCAGAATATTTACAGATTAAAAATACCGCTTGGGAAGGCGCCGTGCGAAGCGTAGCCGCAATTTGGAGCCCTCTAATCAAGAAACGCGAGCGGGTCTCGAACCACTTAATATATATAGCCGATTGGTTGCCCACTTTGTTGTCCGCCGCCGGTTAGTTATAAATCGTTTCTTGATCAACGTTAAAAATAGTATCAATGAAATCTCGGTTATAGGCAGAAGCAAGGAAAAAATTGGCAAGATCGATGGCCTCGATATGTGGCCGACGATTGTATCCGACGAGACTAATCCCAGAGAAGAAGTTCTGATAAATATCGACAAAACGTACCAGGCCATTCGTAATCGAAAATACAAGTACGTACATGTTCAGACCAAGGAAAGCTTTAAGTGGACAGGAGATAGCGGAAGAAGCCCGACTGAGAAACGATCACCGTATCCGCCTGAGACAGTGTTACATAGCAAAGCAGGAGTTGCCATTGCTTCAGTGACTAACAATACCGCTGAACTTAATTCTCAGAAGATCCTACAGTTAAGACAGCAGGCGGAAGTCCATTGCAACGTTATGGAAAAGGAGAAGGTAGACAATCTTGAGAAATCAGGGATACGATTTTTAATTGGAAATTTCGTCTATGCTTCAAAAGTTTACATTGAACAATGTTCGCACGCAAATTGAATAACGTTCTATCTCATATCTTTATCACTTTCACAATCGCATTGAAGAAGGTTGTGAAGTTGCAAGTATCGTATTTCACTAGCGTAAAGAGGGCCGCACCTAAATTTAATATTTATGATACTCCGGCATTCACTATGATTTTCAATTTTATTCGATACTTATTATAATAGATAATATGTAAAATTTAGAGTAAAATCATATTTTCTTGGGTAAATATAGGGCTAAATTATTTGAGTTATTGAGAAGAACAGATGCGATTTTCATCAATTGGAGCACTGTCATTAATTAGGATATTCATTTTATATTCCGATCGAAATATAAGAGTCATCCATACTGTTTGCAGGTTGCGTGTAATGTACGGCTTACGCCATGTCTCTTTGATTTGGAAAGAGATCCTTGCGAGAAGATGAACATTATTGCAAAAAAACCCTACGTTGCGCAGAAATTGAAGACAGCTTTGAAGCAGCATAAATCAACTATGTTACCGCCGAACAACATGAACAATGATCTGAAAGCAGATCCTATACGATGGAATCATACATGGGTGTGCTGGCAGGATCCCAATCCCAATGTTACTATCTACACGAGGAAAATTGATTCACATGCAAGCATATCTGTCACGATTGCGTTCTGTACTGTCGTGTTGTCCCTAATTTTAGTGTTCTATTCGTACGAGTTGTACAAATCTAAGAAATGTAGTTCGCCCGTTCACGAGCAGTCCCGCAAACGATTCTTGACAAACAAGAGCGATGTATGGAAAGAGGAGGATTTGGCGCTGAATGATATGTCTAGAACGATTTAATTCAGTTAGTATTAGGTTGGTGCATATGAAATGTCGGATTCTTAAGTGATTGTATAAAACTGTATATCTTTCTTCAAAAGCTGTTTATTCAATCAAAGTATGCTCCATTCGCTTCAATACACTTCTCCCAACGAGATTTTAAAGCGTAGATGCCTGTCTTAAAAAAATTTTGGTCTTTAGAATTAATAAACTCTGATATCGAGTTTTTTAGACTGTCTTCATTTTCATGGTGTTTGCCTCTTAAAAACAGCTCTAAATGCTTGAAAAAATGAAAATCGGTCGGCGAGAGATCCGGTGAATATGGTGGATGCTGCAAAACTTCATATTCCAGTTCGTTCAGTTTCGCAATTGTTTTGTGCGATGTGTGCGGCCGAGCGTTGTCATGGAGCAGTAGCGGGCCATGCCGATTCACAAGCGATGGGAGTACAATTTGGTGTCTCAATATCGTTGTATGGTCAACTTTCATCCTGATAGCAAGTTCCCTCGTGGATACGGCTGGATCCGCTTCCACTAGAGCCTTCAGGTCATCATTATTCACAGACGTTTTGGGTCTTCCGCGCGGCTCATTTTGCAGTGAAAAATCGCCAGTCCGAAATTTTTCGAACCAACGCTGCACTTTCCGATTGTTAACCGTATTCTCCCCAAACGCTTGGTTTATGTTGCGTGCAGCTTTTGCAGCACTATTACCAAGTTTGTACTCATATAAGAAAATGACGCGAATGTCGGCAGAATTCATATCGGTAATAAACTCAAAAGAAATAAAAAAGGGAAGACCTTCGAGAAAACCTATTTTGTTGAAATGAGTCTCTGGCAATGGACAATACGAGTATGAATGAGGTTATGCCAAATACAAAAGTATAACGAAAACAGGGAGGAAAACGTCCGCATGTAAAGAGAATGCGACATTTCATACGCACCAACCTAATACGATCGAAGATAACAACGTGAGTGGACCTTAGACATTATTATTTTAGAGCTATAGTAATCATTTCATCCTGTTCGCGGGTGAAAATATATTATTTTGTTATTCTTTTTACATTTTCTGTCTTTTTATTACCTTATTATTCCTATTCTACCTTATTATTTATCATTTCTTCTTTTTTTTCTTACCTATATACAAACTATAAAATAGTGTCTATTAATTTATTTAATTGTCGAGACATTAATGATGTAGATTTCATGTTCTCAGTTTGTCTTACATTTATTTAGATCGCAAGGTATAATTTTGGCGATATAAATGTTTATATCACCATATAGATCACAAGTCGCCCCCGAGAATGCGTTTAAGAATGCGCATTTGCTTGGCGAGAATTCGCAATTCCATCGGAAGCTATTTGATCGAGTTGTGATCTCAAGCATTTTGTAAGATGCGCAAGATGATATAGAATAACGAAACTGAAATAAACCTTTTATCTCTTTATTCATGTCTCTTTCAATCCCTGTACAAAATTTTATGAAAATAAAATAATCGAATAATTTATAATTTAACTACAGATTTGCCTCTGGATTACATATAATTCATCTTTAACAAACTATTTTTTTTCAATCGTATATTGTTCCACGGTGTATAAAATTACTATCATTTGATTGCAGAAGCGACCGGGGTTCTCAGCCAGGAATTTTAATTTGTGTGAATGTTCGCGCGCGTGCAATCTTTTCCGTTTTGCTTGTTTATTTATATTAATACTGACACATTTTGAACAATTTTATTGTTTTTAACGGGTTTTATTCTTTTACTGAAGTTAAACTTAAAAAAAAATTTTTAATTTTTGCTCGAAGATCATTTTAGACTTCAATCATATGAGTTGCTATATTTTTTGTTCGAACGAATTTTGTAAAGCTTTCGATATCCAATGTCCAAAAATATTCTTTTTTTAATAATTTTCAAGAAATATATATATATTTCCTATTAGATATAAAGTGCATTGCAATAATCATTGAAGAATATGTTGAAACTTTTATTATATACTGTACATGATAACGTATCGAGTCATGTTCCATAATTAATGGGTTAATGAACGATGAAATCACGCGTTGTTTGCAGAATAAGGCAACTATATTCCCCTCATATGGATAATTCATTTTCCAAAGTCGTACTTCAAATTTTATTTCTACCCGAATACCTCATGTTTTTACAAATAAAGATTGAAATTCGACTGGAACACATGGAAAATTCGATACAAAAAACGAGGAGGATGTTTGGTAAATGACAAAACTGCTAACTAAATCGGGTAATAAACCTATAATATGTACATGATACAGAAATAAATCGGATTGACAATATGTAATGGAAATGTCAATAATCTTTACCGTATCGTATTCGAGATATTTAATTATAAACTTATATATGTGCGAGCATAAAAACTTCATAAACTTCATAACACCGAATTACTTCTAATTTGATATATTTATATATAAGATGGAAGTTAAAACTAATGTAATAATAATTTAAGCTAATGTAATATTAAAAACTAATTAAAGTTAACTGTAAGAACATATAATAAAAGAAATGTGTTTTCTATTAAAAAATTTCAAAATAATTTTTATATGATCTAATTTTTATATGATTTAATTTTTATATGATCTAAACAATGCTGTCTACGGTCTCGTGAATTGCTATGTAATGCATGTCACTTCAAACCTACAACTTTTGTGTCGGACATTTTTCCCGAATATGCTTTATTTTCAAGATAATTGACAGTATCACTTAAAAATAAAATACCTTGTATTTTTACCTCAACTTTGTTTCAGATAAACATTTATTATTTATTTATAGAGAAATTTATAGAGAAATAAATATATAGAAAAGAAATTTTGTTTGATAAATAGAAAATTTATGAGAAGTCCCCTTGCTGCGCCACTGGAGATACGGCACTTAGCGTTACAACCTCCTTAAACAGAACGTTAAACGTTAATTGCAGCAGTGTTCGACGGATTGGCGAATCAATAAGTCTCGTCGACTTATCAGTGCTAAATCGAATGTTACCGATATCATTTTTCTATTTTGTCGTCTTCGAACGTCGTGACTAGTTTGCAATCAGGTAAGTGTCGGGCACTTCCGTTCCTTTTTTCTGTCGTCCATTTAACACTCCATTCAGTATATGTTAAACAAAATTGACACCATTACCAGTGTTTAGTAAAGGAATATTAATAATTTGTTGGTTTTGGCAAATAATCACGTAATCGTGCATTACGTTCCGAAAGTATATAGTATAGTTTTGAAGATTTGTGGAAAAAACCTCCTTTTTCCGTTTGTTTATGGATTTTTTCGGTTTCTTTCCTAAAAGTAGAAAAATTTATTTAAAAAATTCACATATATCTACGTTAAAATTTGCCACATTTACTTCTTTCTATAAAAAATATAATTACGTGCATTTGAAACTGAAGTTAAATTAAATTAATATATTATATATTAAACAATAACATAGTACTTTCAAAGAATTATAACCGAATACATTGTGAACGAATATGTAATATATATTATACAATATATAATATAATATTATATAATATAATATTATGAATGCGTATAATTTTTCAAATCAAAATCCGTGTCAATAACTACTGAGAGGTCCATATAAAGTGTTACACACAAATATTTCTGAAAAAATGCATTATTCGAAAAAAGTTTCAGACAAAAGTTATAATATTTCATGGGAATCATGTCATGGTAATATTATTACGTTATCAAACTATTTTTTCAAACATTTTTTCAACTTTAATTTTATGTAATGGAATCATATGCTTTTTAACATAAATGGGTACCGCATATACGTGTGCGCTCCGAACTTCTGGCGCTTTCGATAGTTAGAAGGAGAGAGACATATACTACTTTACGACTGTCTGTCTCTTACTCTTTTTCGGTCGAATTTACTGTAATACGACGTAAAAAATTTGCTACGCATAACGTCGTCTGTTTCCTTTTAACAATCGAAAGCGCTCGAAATTTGGAGCGTACATTTACACGCGGTTTTGTGTGTGCTTTATCTTTACGTACCTGAGGCCAGTTTATGGCATCCCTGCTCCGGAACCTTAATGCTTTAATTACTGTCTTGTTTTATCGCAATATAAGATATGACCTGACACAACGTGCTCGATATAAAATACGTTAAATCGCACGACGTGGGACGTGAAGTATTATAATGAACGTGTGTCGAAAGATAACTCACGTAGCTGTTACGACAAATAATATTTATATTTCGAATATCTGCTGATCCATTTGATTATCTTCCGAATTTCGAACACGTAGAGTGTTTTGTAACATATAAAGCATTCTAAAAGGCAAGAAAATCTTTATGAAAATAAGTAAAAAATATAGAAAAGAATAATTTGGCACATATAAACATCGGCATTACTATAATTTGTTTTGTATTAATCTTACTAGTCGAATCTATTCTGAAAATATCTAAATATCGCATAATTGCAAGAAAAAATTGGGAAATTGTGAACATACGCGTATTATATCGTATTCGGACAATTAAAAGATCATATTATTATGGTTTCAACCCTTTTTCAATTATCACTTTATCACTTATCTATTTTCGTGAATAACTGACGGCGCTTAACTCGACTAATTGAAAGAAACGATTAACGATTTCGTTGAATTCAAAATGTCACTCGTGAACTCATATTCCTATTAATAATATATAATATTCCTATTAGCGGTCTCAGAAATTAATAAAACGACTTCTCTTGTTTGAAATTGATTTTGTTACACTTACCCAATATTAAATCGAATTACTTTTACTTCTAGCGAAATTAATTTTTTATCCTAACAAAATTATGTATATTCCACAGAAATATCTTTATATTTCTGTGATATATACTCTGCTTTCCATCAAATATATCCAATTTTGTCAGAAACAAATATGATTTCGAGGTAATCAAATCTTTATTTTTCACAAATAAATACATTTTTTTCAGTGTAACTAATTAAATTACTTCAAAGGAAACAAATATATTCGACATATTCTTCCATGACAGGTGCTCTACACACTTACGATTAATTTTGGTTTCAGCACTTCACGATGAGTAGACTGCTTCTGCTGCAATTGTTCTTCACATTGTACCTTTTGGATATTTTGATACCCGTCGCTTTATTGGAAAACGAAATAACTGGAGAAAATGACTATAAAAAACCACATATTATTATTATCCTCGCAGACGATTTGGTGAGCGGTTTTAACAATATAAAAATTATGATCAAATCGAACGTTCCTTGTACTTTTTATTTTCTTTGGAAGGCTTCGAAATTGCTTTAATGAAACCTGATAAGAGAGTACATTAAGAGATTTTCGATCAATAGTAATAATAATCGGGAATGTTCGTGAAGAATCCCATATCTTTATTCGCAGGGTTGGAACGACGTTAGCTTCCATGGTTCCGACCAAATCCCGACGCCAAATATCGACGCTCTCGCATATTATGGAGTTATCCTGAACAATCATTATGTATCAGCATTATGCACGCCAAGTAGATCAGCCTTAATGACTGGAAAGTATCCAATCCATACAGGCATGCAACACAATGTTATATATCCGTCAGAACCACGCGGACTTCCACTAACAGAGAAGTTGATGCCGGAGGTAATAATGGAAAATTTTCGTTATCATAAAATAGATTGCAAATTGTTATCTTGGCTGAACATATGTCAATAATAAACATGTTTCGGGCTGATTATCTGTTGCAGTATTTGAAGGAATTAGGTTACTCAACAAATATAGTGGGTAAATGGCATTTAGGTTCCTACAAATATGAGTACACGCCGCTTTATCGCGGCTTCGATACGCACTTTGGTTACTGGAACGGTTTCCAAGATTATTATAGTCATGAAGTAATAGAGCCAGTAAGTTATTTGAAGAATATTACATATTTTTTTTCTAATATTAGAAAAAACGTGCGACAGTTCTACAACTGAAAGAAGGTATTAAAAAGAGAGTGTTCAAAATTATGTGTATATTTATCAATAATATTTCTTTTCTCAGTTTACAAAATATTGAAAATAATGTACCTATCAGTAATCTTTCTATTTTCAGGTTACAAACTTTCGAGGCATGGACATGAGATGGAATATGGAGGTCGCATGGGACACAAAAGGCAACTATTCAACAGATCTCTTCACCGAGGAAGCAGTGCGCTTAATTAATGCTCACAATCCGAATAAGCCATTGTTCTTATACTTGTCTCAAATTGCACCCCACAGCGGAAATAAGAAGCAGTTACTGCAAGCTCCTCACGAAGAGATCAAAAAGTTTTCCTACATTATCAATTCGAACAGAAGAATTTACGCTGGTACAGTGTTATTTTTTATTATCGGTTAATTTATCTCGAAAGTAAAAATACTGTTATTCCCTAAGTCTCGATATTATACAAAAAATTTTATATGTCAAACACGGGACATTTGTTTCCTAACTTTTAGTAAAATATCGGCCGTCCTAAAATAATATTTTCTGAAAAATTGCGCACGTTACATATTGCACATTTAACTTAATTATGCTATATATGTGTCGTGAATTTAATTTAATGTTATATAGTAAGTAACAATATCTCCCCCTAATTCCGACAGATCCAATAATTTCTTCTTCGCAATAATATTTATTTGGTGCTATAAATAGTTCATAAACTAATAATTTATTTTAGTTTTTGATATTACTATTTACAGCCATGGTCTCCAAATTGGATCAAAGTGTCGGCCAGGTTGTGGAGGCTTTGAAAAATCGCGGTATGTTGGATAATAGCATTATCCTCTTCATGTCTGATAACGGTGCACCCACCAATGGGGTGATGTACAATGCCGGCAGTAATTATCCATTTCGTGGAGTAAGTATTCGTTACGAAGGAAGAACTTGACCATCTAAGAATGTAACTTGATTCAAATTATTATAATATCGAAATTCTTACAGATTAAAGCTACTGCTTGGGAAGGCGCCGTGCGAGGAGTGACGGCAATCTGGAGCCCTCTAATCAAGAAACGCGAACGGGTCTCGAACCACTTAATATACATAGCCGATTGGTTGCCCACTTTATTGTCCGCCGCCGGTTAGTTACAAATCGATTTTCGATCAGCGAAGAAATATCAATAAAATCTTGCTTACAGGCGGAAGCAAAGAAAAACTTGGCAAGATCGATGGCCTTGATATGTGGCCGACTATCGTATCCGACGAGACTAGCCCTAGGAAAGAAATACTGATAAACATCGACGAAAATTACGAGGCTATTCGTAATAGCAGATACAAGTACGTACGTCGTCAGTCCCTGAAATACTCTGATTGGATAGGAGATAGTGGAAAAAATCCGACCGAGAAGCAACCATTGTATCCGCCTGAGGCAGTGTTGCGTAGCAAAGCAGGAATTGCCATTGCTTCAATGACAGCTGGTGACAATATTACCGAACTTGATTCTCAGAAGATCCTGAAGTTAAGACAACAGGCAGAAGTCCATTGCAACGTTACGGAAGAGGAGAAGGTAGACTATCTTGAGAAATTTGGGAAATGAATCTTAATTCGAAATTTCAGTCACGCTTCTAAAATTTAAGTTAATGCGATGCACATGTGCGACTAGTCTCTGATGAGAGATCGGTGCGTGACACACGTGTGATGCTGTTAGAGAACATGTTATAACCCGATCGAGATAAAAATGTCACTTATATTACTTGCAGGTTGAATGCTACGCATGGCTTCAGCCGTGTCTCTTTGACCTGGAGAGGGACCCTTGTGAGAAGATAAACATCATTCGAAAAGAACTCATCGTTGCGCAGGAATTACAGGCAGCTTTAATGCTGCACAAATTAACTGTGGTACGGGCGAATAACAAAATTAATGATATGAACGCAAATCCTGCACAATGGAACCACACGTGGGTTTCCTGGCAAGATCCTAAGATGTCCGAGTATATGAAAAACTTACCGCCGACGCATATACGAGCACAACTGCCATAGTCACGTTCTGTGTTTTCGCGTTCTCAGTCGTCTTGATGTTCTTTTTGTACAAGTTGTATAAAATTAAAAAATCAGACTCTTACATTCTCGCGCAGTCCCGCGTGCAAAACAATCGCAAGACGGACAAGCGTAACGATGTGCCGAAAAAGGACGATTCGACGCTGAAGAATGTATTTGGCATAAATTAATTCAGTTAATAATACTAATTTAATATGATCAAAAACAACCTAAGTATATCTTTGACATTATTATATTGGAACTATGACGATCTATATTATCCTGTGGAGTTCGTGGAAAGAAAAATATCTTTTGTTATTTTTTTAATATTGTTTTTTATCTTATTATTCCTATCCTACTTTATTATTTATTATTTCCTCTTTTCCTTCTTACTTATTTACAAACTGGTGTCTTGTTTCATTCAATTGTCGAAGTTATTAATGATGTCGATTTCGTACTCTCTATTTGTCTTATTTAGATTGCAAAATGCAATTCTGGCAATATAAATGTATAGATGTATAGATCACGAATCGCCTCCGAGAGTGCTTTTAGAAATATGCATTTGCTTGACGCGGGTTCGCAATTCCATTTCGAAAGCCATTTCATCGAGTTGAGAACCCAAATATTGTATAAAATGCGTAAGATAGTATGGAATAATGGGACTGGAATAAACCTTTTTATTTCACATTTTATTTCTTTATTTACGCTTCTTTCATTCTCTGTACAAAATTTTTATATGGAAATAGAACATCGAATAATTTATAATTACCGCAGATTACCTTTGGATTACCTATGATTCGTCTTACGCGGCTTCCTTTCGATGTACAGTAATAATAATAATAATAATAATAATAATAATAATAATAATAATAATGATAGCGATGAGATAATTGCAGTAACAAGCCGGAAGACAATCGTAGATAATTTCCTAAGACAGGCAGATATTTTAATTAATGAATCGGCGGAATATTTACGCCCGCGTATTATTTCGTAACGCCAAGATTCAAAATTATTTCAACGCATGCCACACACATATCGACAATTTAGTCAGAAAATAAAAATAAAGAAAAAAAACATTAACACACTGAAATTACATAACCATTACCTAAGGCAATATTTTAGGTTTCATTGTTTATCTCTCGTACACATCGGCTATACAACCTTATAATACACGTAAGTTTCGGCTATTCTTAATCTCTTCTTCTCCGAAGAGGAACGACTTTTCCGTGAAAGAACACTACCTACAATCTGTACATGTGATTTGAAAAACATCCCTTCCCGATGCCTTCTTCCGTCGCACACTTCCGCAAAGAAATTCGTCGCGATCGTTAGTGTGCAAGCTCCGCAAATGACTTCTGCCTGAAAAATGCATGACGAGTTCCAACTACGCATGGATAACTGCGAGTATAAGTCTTGGCAGTTGGCACTTGGCAGGAATGTATCCAGAAGGCAAGCACAATGGCCGTTTCACTCCCGCTGTTTGTTCATCACATGTGCACTACTTTCGGTGTGCTGAAAATATATTTCGCGCGATAATACCGGCATCATCTTCGTGATGCAATTGTTTATCGCATAGAAAAGATTTGTAGATTTAAATATTTCGAAAGGGATGGATATGAGGAAGCGAGTTTATAAAAAAACACATCAACCGAGTCAGAAATATGAGGGGTGATTTGTGACGATCGTTGAATCTGTAACGATTTGTGAAAGCGAGTGCAATTAAAATCTAAATAATAATAGAACACTTATTTAGCGAGATTAATGACTCGTGTGATCGAAGACCCGTGGAACCAAGGATCCAAATTCATAGCGAAGGAAGAAGAGGGCCAGGGAGAACTAAACATTCGTGGAACTGAAAGGATCAAAGATCTACGGACCATGACAGAGAGCGGAAGGAGTCGTAGAAAACCAAATTCTACAGAATGAGGAAATATTGCGACGTCTGTGAAGTTAAGGAATCGAAGACCGTTTGAAACAAGGTTTCACGGAATTAACGAGATCTAACACATAAAATTTTCTTTTTTCTGTTTTTTTTTTTTGTTTTGATAATTACCTCTTGCCCCATAACCAATTCAGGAGGACGCTCGACTGACTCCGAACATCTCGAGCTGGAAGCAAATCGTCGATTCGCACAGTTAGAATTAACGTAGTTCGGAACGCCCGAATGGCACGTTCCTCGACTGTTCTCTGCGCGTCGATTGATACCTACAGAGTGTATAATTAGCGTTGACAAGCCTCGCGGCTGCTTCAGGCGGTAACGTACTTAACACGTCCCTGTGCGCTAACAAAGACATTTGTTGCGTGTGCCTGAGCTCCCGCTCGTCTTTTAATCTTACGTCCTTCGTGTGGCTGACTGAATGCAACTGCGACAATCTAAAGGGGTGACTAGCTTATAACTACCTGCACAAGCAGCTTATAATACTTGCAGAGGAGCTAAAATATTTTCGTTCTTCAACATTGCTTCGAATGCGATAAAGGACATTTAAATAGGCAAACTGCGAAGAAATCTTTTCACGATCAACAAGACAACAGAATTTCTCATTGAAGCGATTCGATTTTAATTTGGACTCATGTACGTATTACTCGGAAAAACAGAGTCGTTACATCAATTACGTCGATGGACGAGCAAGGTATCAGCGACTGGGACGGAGAGAAATTTAGCCTGATGAAGAATCGAGATTATTAAAATGGGAGAAGTAACTAAAAGATTATACGAGCCTATAATTATAGCGTCAAATGTGATTTGTACATCGCATATAGAAATAGAATTCGGGATGAAATGTTTAGCGCTAAATGCAGCTTCTCGCAGCTCATACGTGACTAAAGGATCACGGTGGATCCGCGATCTCAAGAATAAACTTCACTTACTTGAGAGCAAGAGCTTCCTTGTCCTCGATCGGGTCGTCGATGGCTTCCTTCGCGATCTCCACCGGCCCCTCGGACTTGGAAGGCGACGGTTGTTCCACAACGGGCTCGATCATCGTTAACGGGACCGGCGTCGTCGATTCCTTCGTCGGACTCGCCTCGACGCTGCTCGTTTTCCTGAGCTCCTCGTTCACCCGGATGGCATTCGACAACCGCAGCTGCAACGTGTCGCGTTCCTCGAGCAACTGCATCAACTCGTGGGTCAGCTCCTCGCACCTGACGTCTCTCTGATGAAGCATGTACAGGGCGAGGTCCAACTCGTTCGAGGCGGCCTTTTTGTCATCAGCCGCTTGAACGGTTTCCGGGTTCTTCGACGCCGCGGCTTCGATAACGGACACGTCCTTCTTCAAGGCGTGCTGTATCAGCTCGTACTCGGACACCTTCTGCTCCAACAGCTGCTTCAGTGTGTTCACTTCCATCTGCTGGGCCGTTATAATTTGCCTCAGCTGGTTTAGCTGATCCTCCTTCATCGCTGACAACGTCACGTATTCCTGTATACGTGCGCTTTGCCCGGATATTATCATCTTCATATTGTAGATCATGGTGTGATTGGTCCTATTTATTTCGGTGAGTTTTTTCTCGTTCTCCATAAAACTGTAGGCCATCTGCGCCAGCTCGTTCTCCTTCTCCCGTAACTTGTTGCTCCAGTCGTTCTGCAGTTGCATCAGCTGCATATTCAGGTTCTCGATATCTTTGTTCTTTACTTGGAGCTCCATCAGTAACTGTTGTTTCTCATCCGACAGCTGTTGCTTTATCTCGCCGATCTCCGCCTCTCGCTTCTGCAGTTCCCGGTTGAGGAACTCTTCGGCCTCGGCGCGGACTTGCTCTTTCTCCGAGCGCAGCTTCTCGATGGCGTTCCTGCTCTCCTCGGACAGCCTCTCGAAGTCCTTGAGACGCGACAGCTCCTCCTGCAGCTCCGCGATGCTCGCCTTCAACGTCTGCACCTCCTGTTCCTTGCCGTACAACTCTCCGGTCAACCTCTGCACAGTCTCACGCAGCTCGAACTCGTCCGATTGCGGCTCCATGCTGGCCTGAAGGCACAGCTGCGAGTCTTTCTCAGCTATGACGTACTTGAGCTCGTTGATCTCCTGTTCCTTGGCGTGCAGTTCGTTCTGCAGCCGGACGATTTCCTCCTGATCGTGGGCGGACCTGCGCTCCCTGGACAGCATGTTGGCCTCCTCTTTGGAAATGTGCTCCTGATTCTGCCCGTTGATGCGCTGCGTCAGAAGGTACACCTGCTCCTGCTTCTCCGTCAGAGTCTGCGAGGTCGTTCGCAAGGAAGCCTCCAACGTCGCCTTCTCGTTGTACAGACAATTGATCCTGTCCTGCATCTGCTGGATAATCGTTGGGTACGTGTTCTCGCTGAGAACGTGCTTGAGATGCTCCAGCTCCTGCTGCTTGGCTTCCATCTGCGTCTTCAGCTCGTCCACGGTCTTCTGCAGCTCCGCGTCGTCGTCGTTGCCCATCTTGAAGACGGGAAGACCGTCGATCATCTTGGAACTCTGCGGCTGCTCATTCCGCAGTTTCTCCAGCTCGGTTCGCTTCTCGCTCAGCTCTTGCTTCACGACGTCCAGTAGAGAATCCTTGTCGGTCATCATGCTCTTGATTCCCTCGAGATCCTCATCCTTGGCGCACAGCTGCGCGCTCAAGTAATGCAACTGCTCGGTCTTCTCCCGCAGATCGTGCTTCAGCTCGTCGATCTGCCGTCTGTTGCTCTCCAAGTGAGCCTGATACGTCTCCTGGTCGTATTGATGCAATGTCGACTCCTCCGAATTCAAGACTTGAATCTGTTGCTCCAGACTGCGAATACGCGACTGGCACTCCTGCAACTCGAGCGTAATCATCTCGGTGGCGCTCAGCTGAGCCTGCAAGTGCTGAATGTCCGTTAAACTCCGGTGCAATTCCGCCGCGAGTTTCGAGCGCTCTTCGTCGCGTCGCACCAGCTCCTCCTCTTTCTCCCGCAACTTTCCGCTCGTCGAGTCCGCGTCGGCCTTCACGCTCTCCACGATCGAGTCTCGCTCCGTCAGATCCTCCTTCAGCTGCGCGATCTGTCGCCGTTGCGTTTCCAACTGAGCTGCGCTGTCCCGCAGCTGCGAGGCGTACTCGTCAACCGTCGTCTGCAACGCCCGCAATTTCTCCGTTAGACCGTGCAGCTCCTTGTCCTTCCCCTCGATGTCGATCGCGTGCTTCTGGACCAGTTCCTGAGTGGCCTCGCTGACGATGGCGCTGACCGTTTCCACGCTCCGCTGCCGCAGCAGTTCGTGCTCTCTGTCGCTGCATGTCTGCCTCAACGCCGCCAACTCCTGCTTCCTCTCGCGCAACTCTTCCGTCAGATCTCGCATCTCCGACTGCAACGTCGCCTCGGCCTGCTGCCTGTCCACGTATTGGTTCTGAAGCTCTTGCTTCAGATCGGCGACCTCCTGCACTCTGGCGTTGAGCAGCTCTGTCACCTCCACGAAGGACGCGTTGATGGTCGAGAGCTTCTCCTCCGAGCTCGTCAGGGCGCTGATCCTGTCCTCCAACGCTTCCTTCTCCTCCAAGACTTTCCGCAGACCGCTCATCTCCGACTCCAACCTTTCCACCTTCTCGGAAAACTCGATCTTGAGGAGCTCGCCGTTCTGCCGCATCACCGCCACTTGGTCGTTCGCGTCCATCAGGCTCTGCTCGTACTGCTTCCTGAGCGTGTCGTACTCCTCCTTGCTCTTGCTCAGAGCGCTCTGCGACTGGGCGTGCTGACTGTTCAAGATCTCGAGCTTCTCCGTGAGCTCGCCGACGTCACCGGCCGCTTTCGCTTCCAAGCTCGTTATCGTCGTTTTCTGCTCCTCCAAGAAATGCTGCAGCTGCTCGTTCTCCGCAGCGAGCGCCTCCAGCTCGTCCTTCAGATCGTCCAACTCTTCCTTGTATTTGCCCGATATCGCCTCCAGGTCGTCACTGGGTTCCGTCGATCTCTTTCGCGGCTGTGCGCCGGTCGTGTCGACCTCGTGACGCGAACCGTCGCTTTGCTGAGCCTCGTATTGCGGAGAGCCGGTATCTTCCTCCGCGCTCTCCGTCGCGTTCTCCTGCAACCGCCACTCCAACGACTGCACCTTGTTACCCAGTTCCTTGTTCTGAATACGCAACACCTCGACCTCCATGTCCTGCCTCTCCTTCATCTCCATGTACCTCTCGTTGGCCGACACCACCACGTCGAGCCGTTTCAACAAGGCCTCCTTCTCGGCGACGATGTTCTTCTTTTCCTCCTTGATTTCGCTGAGAGCCTTCTCCAGGTTAGCGATCTGGGTCTTCAGCTCCTCCTCGATAGCCGTGTCCAGGTCGAAGAAGCTGTCGGCTTGTTTCTGCGTCTTCAGCTGCTGCTGCAAGCTCTCCACCTGCACCTTGTACTCCTTCAGCTTCTTCACCAGCTTGCCGCTTTTCACCTGCGCCGCCTTGCTTTCCTCCGCGATCCTCGCGTTCTGCGTCTCCAGCTCCTGAATTCTCTCCTGCAGGTCCCCCACTTGGGCGCGTAGCCGCGCCTCGGCGTCTGGGATCAGCGTCATCGTGCCGCCGAGGTGTTGGTCGCCGGCCAATTGGGCGTCCTCCGTGCTCCAGCCCCAGGACTCCTCGTCGACGTTGAGTTTCTCCGACGAGCCGGCGTCCCACTTGAGATCCACGTCGAACGAAGCCTCCGGTTTGTCTCGCGCCTCCTGCTCGGTGGGAACTTCAGCAGACTCCACGTATTCTCGACGGACGAGCGATTCCTCGACAGACGCGGACACTTGCTGACTCAGCTCTCGTTGGACGGCCGGTTGCTCAACAGAAGCGGGCTCTTTCGGCTCCTCGTCGCGCATCTTCGATTCCCGAAGATCTCGTTGCGAGTCCTCCAAGGCTCGCGTGAGATCCGCGATAAGCACCTGCGCCTGATCCTTCTCGCGCGAGATGCTCTCCAACGCGACCTGCAGGTCATGCTGAGTCGCGAGCGACTCTTTCATTTCCTCTAAAGATCGCGTCAAGTCGTTCACTCGCAACTGCAGCAAGTCCCTTTCGGTGGTAACCGCGGAAACACGCTGCTCCAATACCTGTTTCAGCTCGCTGTCCGCTTCCATGTCGTTCATCCGGAGTCTGTGCGCTTCCAAGGCGCTGCTCAGCTGATCTCGTTCCATCGTCAACGCCTGCAGGGCCTGCCTCGGGGAAGTCAGCTCCGTTTGCGGCGAGTCGTCGGTGTCGGTGTCCTTGGGCGGGCTCTCCATCTGCAGGCTGGCTTCCACATTGGCGCGCAGCATCCGCATTTCCAGCTCTCGACTCGCAGTGCTCAACGAGCAGCTCAACGTATCGATCATGTCGTCCTTGGCGCGCACGAGATCCCTCAGCCTCTGGCATTCTGCACACAGCCCCGCCGAGCGACCCTCCGCGGCCGGCGACTCCATTTTCTCCGAATGCAGATCCTCCATCTTCTTCAGCTCGTCCTGCGCGAAATCCACCTGCATTTCCCAGTGTTTCGCTTGGTTGTCGTGCTGCGCCTGCAAGCTCTGCGCGTGCGACTTCTCCTCCTCTATGCTCTTCCGCAGAAGCTCGATTTCCTTCATGTGCTGGCAGCACTGAATCTCTTTCTCGTTCAGCAAAGCCTGCAGCCGCGCGATCTCATCTTTGTCCGAGGCGTCGTCTTTGCTCGAGGAAGCGACGGCAATGCCGAAAATTTTCGAAGCATCGAACAGCTGCGGAGCGTCGTCCCGTTGACGTTGACCATCGGCGACGAAAGCCTCGGCTGATCCGGAGGCTTCGGCCGATCCGGAATCCTCGGCTGGTCCGGAAACCTCGGCTATACTCTCCCCACCCTTGCGTCTGTGCTCCTCCAACTCGGCTTCCAATTCCAGCACTCTCTGTTCGCTCACGCTCTTCTCCGTCTTCAAAGAGTCGATCTCCTGCTGCAACGCGTTCGTCTGATCAACGAGGGACTGATTGAAGCGCTCCTGGGCCGTCTGCATCATCATATCGTTGTATCTGACGGTCTTGTCGTGAAGCAGCATGATGCTGCCGTACGAGTTAGCCAGTTCATTGTTCAGATTATCGATCTCCGCTTGGCGCTGCTGCAGACGCATCTCCAACGCGTGTATCATATTCTGACAATGCTCGGAGTGGCCGCCGCAACGCTGCGCGTCGCTCTCTCTCGCTTCCTCTCCCGGCATCTGCACGGCCTCCGTGGCTGAGATCTGCTTCCGCAGCTGCTCGATCAGCACGCGACGCTCCTCCGACTCCTTCTCGGCGTTCTCCAGTTTCTCGTTGATCTGCGTCTGCTTGGACGACAGGAGCCCGTTCTCCGCCTGCAGGTTCTTTATCAGCGCGAGCTGCTCCACGTACTCGTTCTCCATCACCTGCATGCGCACGCTCAACTCTCGCGCCTCGTCCTTCACCTCGTCGAGAACCGCCTGCTTCTGCTCGTTCTCCCGGCTCACGGTCTCCTTGTAACCGTCGTACTGCCGTACGATGTCGTCGCGCGTCGCACTCTCGGTCTCCATCTGCCGGACAAGCTGGTCCATCTCCGCGCGCTGCTCCTCGATCTCGTCGCCCATCTCCGCGATTTGCTCCATCAGGACCGACATCTTCTCCCTCAGGCTGTCCGAATCCTTCGCGAGCCTCTCCGCGTTCGCGAGGGCCTCCGTCGTGTCGTTCTTCGCCTGCAGCAGCTTCTCCTCCAGATCGGCGATTTTGTTGTCCTTCTCCCGCATGGAGTTCTCCACCTCCTGTATCTTCTTGTTCTTCACCTCCTTCTCATCCTTCTCCGTCGTCCATTTTTCCTCCAGCTCGGCGACTCGCGCCTCGAGCTCTTGGCACACCACTTTCTTCTTGTTGAATGTCGCCACGATCTTCTTCATCTTCTCGGACTGCGCCTGCAGCTTGCTCTCCGACTCCGACAGCTTCTGCTCCAGTTCGGCGAGCCTGCCCTCCAAGGCAGTCTTCGCGTCCTCGGTGACGTTCTTGCCGAGCAATTCCTCCTTTTCATCTAACTCGGCCCTCAGAGCCTCGTTCTCCTGCATTTTCGCGGTCAAGTCCTCGATTACGTCTTCCAACCTGCGATTCAGCATCGATATGTCCTCTGTGTGCTTGATCTTCAGCTGCTCCATCTGCTTATACTCGCTCGCCAAATCTGACTGCACCTTCTCGACGTACACGGTTTGATTGTCCAGGATCGTCTGCAGCTCCCAGTTTCTCTTCTCGGCCTCGGTCCTTTGACTCTTGGTCTTCTCGATGTACGCTTCCGCGTCGTGCACGGCTCTCAACAGATCCTCGACTTCCTGCGCCTTCTTCGTCAATTCGTTCTTCAGGTCCATCCTACGTTCCTCATCGCGCCCGGTCATATCCTCGATCCGTCGCGACAGATCGTCGTTCGCCTTCAGAAGGTCCTCGTGTTTGCCCTGCAATTCGGTGTAATTCGTTTCCGCGGTTCGCAGGCTCGCCAACAGCTCGTTGAACTCCGCCAAAGGCTTGGACGCCTGGCTCATCTCGCTGATGTTGCCCCTCAGAGCCAGAATCTCCTCCTCCTTCTCTTTTACCGCGGCATTGAGCCTTGCGATCTCCTCTGACGACGTCGACAAGGCCTCTTTGAACTTCGTACCGCAGTTATTCAACTCATCCTGCAGACTGTCTATAGCGATCATCTCGTTCTGCAGCTGCGCGTACTTCGCGTGCAGCTCCTCATCTTTGCTCTCGATTACCGACTTCAAGTCCACGATCTCACGTTCCTTCGCGGCCAGACTCGTCTCTTGGTCCTGCAACATCGTCTCGAGCGAGCCTATCGTGGCCTGAAGTCGCTCCTGCAGAGCGACCGTCGCCGCGTCCTTCTCCTTCATCTCCTCCAGCAATCCTTTGTTATCGCCTTCCAACGTTCCGAACGCTTCCTCCATCGACGCCTTGCTTTCTTCCAACGCTCGCATCTTCGCCTGCATGTCGTCGTGCTTGAACCTCCATTCGTCCGCGGTGACAAGCATGTCCTTCAACTCCCGCTCCAAGCTGTCAGCCGACGCCTCGCGCTCCGTCAACTGCCGCGTCTTCTCCCGCAGCTCCGCCTCCATGCTCTCTATCTTCATGCTCATCTCCTCCACTTGATTCCGGTAATCCGCCAGCAACGTCTGGCTGTTCTCCAGCTCTCTCTCCAGGGAAGCCACGAGCACAGCCTGCGACTCCTGGCAGGCTTCCTCCGCCTCCTTCCGCATCTCCGTGATCTCGTCGGACGACTTCTGCAGGAGCGTGCTGATCTGTTCCTGCAGACCGTGCCTCTCCTGGGCGATGCTCTCCTTCTCCTGATTCAGCTTCTCCAACTTGCCGATGAGCTCCAGCCTCTCCTTGGCGAAGTCGTCGCAGGCCACGCGTTCCAACTTCAGCCGCAGCTCCTCTTTCTCTCCAGCTACTTTACTCAGCTCCTCCTTCTGACGGTCGGCGTGTTCCTCGAGCTGCGCGACCGCCGCTGTCATCCGCGCGTTCTCCTTCTCCAACGCCGCGATTTGAGACTTCGTGTCGTCAGTCACACACGACGTCATGTCGACCTGTTCCAGCGGGATCTCCCGCGGCAGTTCTTGCTCAAAGCTTTGCTGTCTTTCCTCAGCTTGAGAAACGGACTCGACCGTTTTCACCGTCTCGGAAATCCGAGTCAGCTCTCCCACGCGATCCTGCAACCTGCTGTTCTCCTTCGTGAGCTCCTCCGTCTGCCTCTTGAGCCTCGAGGCCTCCTCCGTCAAATGGTCGTTCTCCCGCCGAAGCGTCTCTAAGGTGTCATCCGTTTTCTCAGGAACGTCCGACCGAGCGCTGCTCTCCATTTGGCTCAGCTGTTCCTCCAGTTTCGTAAGTCTGACGACAAGCTCGTGATTTTCCTGAGTGAGCAGCTCTATCTTCGTCACGCTCTCGTTATGCTCCGGGATACGCTCGAAGGACTCCGTGGAGCCAGTGTCGGACGATCCCTTCTCCTCGATCCTGCTCAGCTTCATCGTCAGGTCGCTGTTCTCCTGGGTAAGCTGCTCGATCTTCCTCAGCAGCTCGCCGCGATCCGTGTCGTTGATGGTCTCGAAAGACTCCGTGGAGCCGGCGTGCGAGCTATCCTTCTCCTCCAGCTTCGTCAGCTTGAGCGTCAGCTCGTTGTTCTTCTGCTCCAAGTCCTCGATCTTCTTTAGCAAGTCGTTCTTGCCGTTCACCTGGATCGCCTCGAAGGATTCCGTGGAGCCGGTGTCCGACGCGCCCTTCTCCTCCATTTTGCCCAATTTACCGTACAATTCCGCGTTCTCCTGCGTCAGAGCGTCGATCTTCTTCAGGAGCTCGTTGTTGTACTCGGATTCTGACAGAGATTCGAGCTTATTCTCGCTCTGCTCCTTGTGCACAGCTTCCAATTGCTCCTCCAACTCGACGACCTTCATTTCCGCGGTCACTCTGAGATTCTCAGACTCCGCGTTCTCGGCTTCTAACGCTGAAACTTCCTGCTTTACCGCGTGAAGCTCTGAAATGGGGCATACAAGGTTTGTGAATCTACTCCACCGTATCGTAAACGTGTTCTTCGATCCTTAATACTCGATTCGGACAACTTTACGTTGCAAATTTATGCACATAGGATTAGAGGTAGAGCCATTAACGCTATTATTGTATAATTGACATTCTACTGATTATACAATAAATGAATAAATAAATAAATAAATTATATAATAATTAGCAAAAAAAAAAAGAGCAGGATTATTTATTCAAAAAAATCATGAAAACTGTGCGCCTCTACACTTTGGTTTATGATATGCGTGACTTTGCCATTCATTCTTTCGGTGACGAATAATTGAAAAGAATTGCACATCCGCAGAATTTAAAAGTTTACGTCGGTGAGAAATTTAAATACATTAAATAAATTAAAATAATCAACTGAAATAAAAATTATACTTATATACTTGTAAAAATATCGTGAAAATTATGCGCTTCTACACGTTGGTTTATGATACGCATGACTTAGCCACTGATTCTCGGTGAGTGATGAATAATCTAAGGAAATCGGACATCCGCAGAATTTAAAAGTTTCCTTTGGTGAGATTTAAATAAATGAAATAAATGAGTATAATCGACTGAAATGAAGAACAATGAAGAAGCTGTTTGGATGGTCAACAGCTGTACATCTTACCCTACACAACTTGACAACTTGATGTGACGAATTACCTTGCATTAGATCTAACTTTTGGTTCTCTAAGGTGGCGATTGCATCGATATGCATCTGTATCTCTTTTGTCTGAGAGGAAACCTTATTTTCGAGGTCAGCCACACGTTCTTGCCAATCTCCTGCCGAGGCTGTGCAGATCGTATAATTCGCCAATAACGTATGTGCGACTTCAGTTTAATTTACAGTAAGCTTAAAGCAAGCGGTTGTTAAGTGCTAGTCACAGTGGCTTCCCCGTTCGAATCCCTCTTTGTGCATTTCAGTAATTATCCCGTTAAACAAGTCGTCCCAGAAAATTGGAAACCAACAGCAGACTCTTATTTGTTGAAGTAACATGCAGAGCTCGTGTCCCAAAAATTGATTGCATTCAGAGAATATCTCCCTCCGTGTATATTATTATGCGTATATGTATGATAATGTTTAACAGCAATGAGTATGTCTAATTTAGCAAAACATAATACTGTGTACATCAATTCTGATTCTCCTAACATTTCTTCAAAAATACAAATCTGCTGGTGGCACGTTTGAAGGAACTTTATCACTTTTGAAAGAGCTTTATTTACAGTAAAATCGTTTTGTCTTGTTCGTATGCAGCAAAGAGCATCGTGTAAATGCGAAAAGTATGAATTAATCCGTTTGCTTTACTATATTTGATCATTAACGTCGTGCTAAACGAAAGTTAGTCAAATAACGCGCAAAAATACTCCTCGCTGAACCCACTCAAACCGCATTAACGATGGCATGATGTGGCGTAATTGCAAACGAAAATAACCAAACATGAAATACTCAACACCGTTGTTGCAATTCATGCAAATTAATCGTAATCATTTCGTGTAAGATAACATCTATAATGAGCAACTGTATAGGCGGCAAGTACTAAGGATATAAATCTTCTATCTCTACGGATAAATGTGCAGCAAACTTTGACAAGTAAAGTAGGTACCATGTTATGTTCGACTATTCGAGAGAACTGTTCAAGATAATATCGTTAATTAGTAAATACTCCATGTCGGCAATTGCAGCATAAAGGACTAACTAGTCGAGTGAAGAGATTCCATCACCAGAAATCAGCGTGACCTTAAGAAGCATCGTTCTCCAAGTTTTCTCCCGACGACCCGTCTCAATTAAACACGTAATCGAAAGACATTTCAACATCTCTCAGAGCGGCACTCTCGGCAGCTATCGATAAAAACCGATACGAATTGTCGCTATAACCTACTCGTACATTGCAGAACGTGGATTGTTATTTTGTCGCGAGACTACACATGTACACGTAATCACAAGGACTAGAACGAATGCTTTTCTGTAGTGGAGAAAACGAAGCTGTGGAAAACAGGCTATTCCGGTAAAAATATCAACACAGGTCGCATTGAAAATTCAGTAAACATAACTAGGACAACGGAAACGCCGGCGATAAAACGTTTGTCCTGGTTCCTACCTTTAAGCTCGTCAAAGTCTACCAGACTCAGCTGAAGGTTACCTTTCTCCTCCTCAAGTAATGCCACCTGGTTGCCCAGTCTGACGAGTTCCGCATTTGTATCGGACACCTGTACGCGAGACACGGTTACTATTACTACCTTCGTAGACACAATAACAGCGGTTATGTCGAAGTATTATGATTAACATTGTGATACACGAATTTATGATACACGAAGATTCGTCTTACGCTGTTGAACATCAAAGCCTGAAAATGCGCAGACTTTGTAATAAATTCTCACCATTTTGAAGTTCTCCAGTTGCTTCTGCAAATTCTTCACTTTGCTCCTGTGCTGGGCCTTCAATTTGATCATACTTTTATTCAGATCGTCCAACTCCTTCGTCAGCATTATCACTTTATCGTCTTCCTTGGGCATCGTTCGTTCGTCTGATAATCTCTTCTCTGCTTCGAGTTCGTGTACTTGTTTCTCAAGATCGGTGATTTTGTTGGAATATTCCTCGTTCTTCGACGACAATTCAGCGACGTGTTCCTGTAGCTCGGCCTTCGATTCCGCTTCTAATAATTTGTTTGATTGTTTAAGTTCTTCTACTAAATTCTCAAGCTCCACTATTCTATTATCCTTCTCACTATTGTCGTAAACCGATTTACTAGCGATAATTTGGTCTTGCATTTCAGCGATATCTTTCTGCAATTTATATTTCTCGTCCAGAAGCTGTCTATTATTCTGCTCCAACCTATCTACCCTAAATTGTAGATCCTCAACTGCTGGAGCCGTCACTATACCGGCGCCCGACTCCAGTTGGAATATCTTTTCTTTGGCTTCCGCCAATTTCATTTCGTACTCCCGTAATTGCTGAAGAAGGTTGTCATTCTTCAATTTCAGTGAGGATTCGATAAGAACGAAATTTTCCTGCATCGATTTCATCGCATCTTTGGTCTCCGCTAAGGTATCCATAGTGGAGCGTGAGAAATCCGCACTTGCTGATTCAGCAATTTTCTGTTCTTTCAGTTGCTCCTCAAATCTGAAACACACAAGAGAGATCTTCTTAAGCTGGTGAAGCCAAGTCTGAAATTTTAAAAATTCCCTAATGTAATTATCAATTCAGAATCCTAATTGTAGTTTCTCGTAGTGTTATTGGTCTTGTTTATTTTTCATTACAAAGTATTGTTATTTAGTTCCATATTGTTGTCCATATGTTACCTGCTAATTGTAAGCTCCAATTCCGAAATTCTATCATCTCTTCCCTGCAGTTGTTCCAATAGACTGGTATTTTTATTCTTTAAAGAGGTTTCTATCAAGATAAAATTTTCTTGCATCGTTCGCATTTCATCTTTCGTATCTTCGAGAGTATCCAATGTCGTTTTTCCCTTCTTGGAAAGATTTGCGGACATAAGAGTGACTGCTTTCGTTTTGGAATCAATCACAGAATCCTTCTCCTTCAAGTTTTCTTGGAGATCTAGAACAGTTGCCTCCAACTCGAGAATTTTGTTACTCAGTTCCATTATCTTATTCTCCTTTTCCTGAATATCTTGAATTTGAATCGGTGACATAACCTTAAAAGGTCGAAAAACCAAATTATCATTCTTATCAAATTTGATCAAGTTTTAGGAAATTGACTTAGAAATTTACATCTGATGTCACCATAAGAGGTCTGACTGGCGTGACAGGTAGTTGATCTCTGTGTATTTCCGCTGATGCCAAATCCGTTTCTTCCAGTTGTTGTCTGATAGCTTCAACTTTTTCTTCCACCGCTCGTTTCGTCTCCGTTAATTCCTTGCTACGTTGCTCGAAAGCTTTCCTATTTTCCACCAATTTTCGTTGAAGTAAGGAAGACTTCGCCTTTGGGGTTTTTGCTTGACTTATGTCATCGATAACGTCCTCTGTTGTATCTATTGCTGTAGATTCAGTCTTAGATGAGTGCACTGTATCTTTAGATGACGAAGATCCTTCTTTACTACGACGTGACAGCTTGGCTCGGGACTTGATTTTCGACAATCTCCGCGCATATTCCTAAGCACAAGAGGCGAAAGATTTATTCCATTATTTCCCATTTATCTTCAAATAATTTTACTCGATCTCTTGCAAATCTATATGTTTCCGCAGCTGTATAGTTTAAGAAAGAATAATACGTTACCTGCACTTCCTCTTCTTTCTTCTTCAAACTTTGTTGATTCCTCATCATGATTTCCTTGAGGGATTCTAACTGATTCTTATTCTGTTCACATTTTTCCTTTGTATGCTCCATAGCTTCAGGTGGTTCACCTTCCATCGCGCCTGGTAGTGGATCTTTGGACGTGCTCCACATTATCCACTGTACAAGCAGAAACAACACAAACCACTGCATTATTTTCTACACAAAATTAATTGAAATATTTAACTCTGACATGGGAGCACTGGCAAAGTCAATGGCAGTGAAAGTTTTTGCAATAGGATAAAACAGTGTGTCGTCCACTGTTCCCATTTTCTCGATCTAATTGGATAGAGACTAGACTGGGGCAAACTAATTGCATTAGTCTTGGCGCAGATCAGACTTTCCACATTCCTCGTCATTTTTACACGATACTCAGTGCAAGCAATATCGATATCTCTTTCCATGTCCTGTTGTACTCTCTCATCCTATTCTCTAATATCAATCGTAACAGTTTTCAAGAAGCAAGTGTATCAAGTGATACCACAGAAAATTCCTATGCCTATTATTCTTGAGATAAAACTAAAAAATACCTGATTACATTCTTATAAAAAGAAAACAATAGCAAGGAAAAGTAGCACAGTTGCAGAGCATAAAATTATAAATCTGAACTGTCATCGAGTGCCGCAGGATCGAGTAAACTTAGAAGTAAAAGATTGACGAACGTTGAACTATAAATGAGAGGCTTTGATAAAACCGCACAGAATGCGAATACAGCGTGAAGAGTGAAGTACCCAAACAGACGCATCGACTTCACTGCACACGTAGCAGAGTGACGTAATCCGCGCGCGTTGCGGAGACGCACGTGAAGACACACCAGCGTGCACTCGTCGACATCTTGACGAGGGTCACTTTCGCAAGGCGGACTCGACGTCACGTCGGAGTCACGAGCAAGCGGGAAAGCGCGCTCGACCGCGCGGTAATGAACGCAGCCAACCGGACCCGCCGACTTTACCTCTTATTTATGTTGCTCCAAGTGTCAAGAGGATAACACGTCGCTGCTCATATTTAAGTCGCTCGGTCGCTGAATCACGATCTTCCAGCGCCGCGAGTGGACGCACGGTGAATGCACATGCTCCGGTGGGGCGGCCTGCGAACGTTCGTCGGTGATTTCCAACGGGATGCTACATAAGTCAACGACGAGACCGAGTCTTCGTCATCATCACCGTGTCATTCCCACGGCCGGAAACAGTTGGACGCACGGGGTAATGGTCGAACGATGAAGCGATGTTCGATTCCTTTCTTATCGAAGGAATCGACGACTTCCTCGATGTCCTCAAGTTCGATTGATTTGTTCTTTTCAGCTCAACTGACTGCACTACTCAACGTACGTATTGAAGTGTATGAAGCGTACGTGCGAGATTCTCACGCTTCAGTGTGCGTAAATTTCTTGAACTAGTACGGCCAGTTCAGTTAAAAAGAACACACCCGATGGTTCAATACTAAATTCCGGCTATCGAGTGATACACCGCCATCTACAATCACTTCAACGTCTCCGTACGAATCTGATTACATTATTTTAGATTGCTGATAAATTGCCATTTGGTGCATGCTAAATTTACACTTTTCGCGAGTAAAACGTATGACTTCACATTTGGATTCATTATATTACGTTTATGCGATTTTTTATGTTCTAATATATATTTTGAACACTATTATATAATATGTTAATTGTAAAAGAATATAAGATATACATTCATGCAAAATACTGTCAGTAAACATTACTGTGCAATCTCGATTTATTGCATCTTTTCTTGGAAATGTATATACATTAATTCACTCCTTTCGCTGCCAGTCTTCTATCGCGCTCTTCAGCAATAGACAGCTTCACACCCTTATCCCTTGGTAAACTCACGTAAGCCTTCGTACCTTTACCGATGATGAAGACGTTGTTCAACCTAATAAGCGAGGAATTCGCATTATATGTGAAATGTTAACATATATCACAACTACACGCTAGTGAAAACGGACCCATAAACAGACAAGGGTTATTTCTTTGTACAATTCTAGTTACCTCGTGGCGAAGGTATGTCCTTGAGCATCCTTTACGTGACAAATGTCGAAAGAGCCAGGATGACGTTCACGACTGACGACAGTACCAACACGACCCAAATTCCTCCCGCAGGTAATCATGCACAAATTGCCGGAATCAAATCTGATGGAATCCAGGATTTTGCCAGTGGCAATATCCAAGTGGATAGTATCATTGACTTTTATGAGAGGGTCGGGATAGCGAATAGTCCTGCCATCGTGCGTTACCAAGAAAGGAATGCCTTTAGGACCAGTCTGCACACGCCTGACTTTGCACAACTTATACTACAAACACAAAATAGTACATACAGATGAAGAACAATATTTTTATTAGACAAGTAGGAGGTTTTTACTCATTCTCATACTCATTATAATTAATGTTTTTATTTGTATTATGTTTTTGTTTATAAGCATGTTTGGTGCACTCCTTGGGTAATATAGAAGGAATATAAAACTCAGTCTGTGACCAAATTGAAGAGCTTGCTTTGTTATTGGCCAATTTTTACTGTGATATTTTTATAAGTTTAAATATCACAGCTTCAATATGGTCCATCTCAATTAAACTTTTCATTTCATATGTAATATCGAATAACTGCTTTACTTATAGTTTAAAAAAAATGTTTTTTCAATTTCTCTCAGTTTCTTAGAAAGAAACTGAGAAAATCCATAGAAAATTTAAAAAGAAATTGTATTTTTCCATTTATCTGCAGAAAGAAGCTGAGAAAATCACGAAAAAACTGAAAAATCCAGTTTTTTAACTTGTAAAATATATAACTATACCTTTGCTTCTTCTGCGGTGATACGATGGATGGTGAAGCGACCTTTTACATCGTAGATCAACCGAAAGAATTCACCAGTCTTCTCAATTGTAATAACATCTGAAACAATTCAATTATAATTAATGTTTTTATTTGTATCATGTTTTTGTTTATAAGCATAATAATCTTGTGCACTCCTTGGGTAATACAGAAGGAATATAAAACTCAATCTGTGACCAAAATTGAAGAGCTTACTTTATTATTGGCCAATTTTGACTGTGATATTTTTACAAGTTTAAATATTACAGCTTCGATATGGCCCACCTCAACTAAACTTTTCAGAGCATAAAAACACAAGATATATATTATGTGTATATATATATACATTTATTTACCACAAAAATATATAAAATAGCAAGAACTCACCCATGAAACCAGCAGGATAATTGGGGTCGGTACGGATTTTTCCGTCGACCTTAATCAAGCGCTGCATCAAGATCTTGGTAACCTCACAATTGGTCAAGGCATACTTCAACCTATTACGAAGGAAAATGACCAACGGAAGCGACTCCCTCAGTTTATGAGGACCAGTGGATGGCCTGGGGGCGTAAACACCACCCAATTTATCCAGCATCCATGCTTTTGGCGCGTTAAGACGCTTGAGATGTTTCTTCGGACCACGAGCCTACAAAAAAACTCGCTATAAGATACAGTACTTGAACATGCTCGCATTCGATACATTAAATTTAACGCCAAATATTACTTAGAAAATTCATTTCTTTCTAGAAAACATGCGATACATGGCGGTACATAAATTTCACTTGATTCAAAGTTCCTTTTTTCTCACAAGCCGTATGAAATCTTACCATCTTGGATTCCTAAGCGGAAAAAGGCACGGTCAGACTTGCTAGGTATTGAAAACATAAGTAAGCCAAGTGGAAGACCTAATGCGCCACATAGCGCCAAATTTTAGAACCTTCATGCATCCAACGATATAAAATAGAATCCCTAGGTTGCGTTCCAAAACCCTACTCGACGGATAGAGTAGCCTTTAATTGACTAATCAGGACAAAAAAATAAAGTTTTTGTATCATGATTGGTTAATTATTGCTGATCTACCTGTCGAGATTTTGGAACTTAGTTTTAAATTAAAATTTGTGGCACACGGTGCTTACTTTGTGTTGGATCTAATAAAATCTAGCAACATACTAGAAATGCACCAATCAGAACGCACATTTTACATTAGTTATGTTACTAAATCTCAATAGATCTAGGTCGTTTGATTTTTAACCCTATATTTGAATTTCTACATCCAAAAATTTTCTTGAAAAAATATGAAAAATTTATATCGTAATTTATATGGTATTTACTATCGTAGGAAATAAATAAACCTTTATATTCAGAAATATATCTGAAAATTAAGGATTTCAAACTGTAAAATATTTCTACGATTGCTTCAGTATCATAATTTTTTATAGAAGTTATGGTCTATTAAACTTGGTATATTTCTTGTAATCGAGAAATTTATCCAAAGTATATATTATGACAGGTTAAGTATTCTAACCTCTTAGGCGCAAGCGAAGCTGCAATGTATGCGCAGAAGTCTGTACCAATTGAAAAGAATTAGTAAAAACTATTAAATATTGAATACAAAGTACTTAATATTGCTTAATATTATAATATCGTAATATTGTAATATCGTATTATGTTGTGATCGTCCTGAGTCACATTTTATGGTGAAGAAATGGGAAGCATAGTAGGAGTACGTTTTTGTGCTAATACTGTATTAAAAAGTCACACAGTGATGTTCTCATTAAGAGTGATGAGGAATTATTATCGTCACTTTTCATTAAACAAAGAAATGTGTTACTCTATGAGCCAGCAAAGATGCCTGCAGGATCTTTACTATCACAATATCTCAAATCGTTCACCATATAGTTGTACGAAGATGGACAATAGGAGACACTTTTCCGTGACTCGTATATTAGAAAAGGGCAAGGATCGTGGGAAGGATAAAAAGAAACAGAAGACGCAGCATATTGATTTTAATGAGATGGAAGAAGTCATTGATGTTAGTAAACTAACATCTCAATTAGACAAGGCTATTGAAAATTTAAAGGATAATTTTGTTAAATATGTGTCAGTAAGATCAAGTATGGGCGCCCTGGAGGAGTTAGCTGTGAAGTTTGAAGGGAAAAATTACACATTGCAAGAACTTGCTCAGATTAGTCGCAAGCCCAAACTCGTAGTGTTGAATATATCTACTTTTCCACAAGCTATCCCAGATATTCTCAAGAGTCTGTCAAAAAATCAGATGAACTTGAATCCACAACAGGATGGAACTACAGTTTATATCCCAATTCCTAAGTAAGATTTAGATTATTGCATGAACAAAATTTTTAGTACTATTAGAAGTTAATTGTGTTGATTTCTGAATTGACAGAGTAACAAAGGAGCATCGAGAAACGTTGTCCAAAAATGCCAAGAGCTTTTACGTGAAATGTTGTGATAATGTTAGAGATGTACGCAGTCAATACATCAAAAAGCTCAAGCAGAAGGAAGGATTAGCCAAAGACTTGGTGTTCAGGGTGGAAGGCTATATAGATATTCTCAGTCACCAATACAAGAGTAAAGCTGAACAAATGTTGGAAACCAAACAGAAAGAACTATTGGGAGAATCCGAATAAATCCCTGAAGTCGTAATAATTTGTAATATTCTGGTGAATTATCATGTATTTTATTGCTACATTTGTAAATGTCTGTACATAATAATAATGTACAGAGTAATCTAAAATTACATATAATAAAAAAGGAAAATACTAAGTTTGTCCTCTTAATGTATCTTAGTCTTACAATATATGTAATAATTGGTATATTTTTTCCTGACATTTATCATTTATATAACTTGTATTTATACTTGTAATTTTCCTCTCCATTTTTGAACCGATTAAAAGACGATATGTTAATCTTCTCGAATCACTTATTTAGCATTGTTGTCATAACCAACTTGATGCCTGATATATGTTAAAAGCGCCTTGCACAAAGTTTGCGAAGCAGTCTCTAAAACTTCTTTCGTGTGAAAGCCTATGCTTATACGTAAATAATTCTTCGCTTCACTCGTATGTGAGAACCGACTACCGGGTATCGCTGATACTTTGTACTCCTTTTGACACCATTCGACGAACTTTTTGCTGTCTATACCTTTAGGGATGAAAAATAGAAGTGGAATAAATGTTAATATTGCATAAAGGTATAAATGACAAATGATTTTGAAATGTTGCACGTGTGTTTAAGTTATGGTTGTATTTTCTAATGAGATATTTTCTTTACCTTCAGACGACTAGTCGCACAAATATATATAAATGATTCATCATCACTACTAAATGGAATGGAATTTCTTCATACCTGATGGAAGATGAATCCAAACGAAGTAACCACCTCCTGGACGTCGATATGAACAACAACTTGGCAGAAATCGGTCTAAAGTTGCGCAAAGTGCGTTTAATCGTTCCTACAATTAAATAATTATGAAAGTAAATGGTATTATTTTTCTTATATAAACATTATTGTAATGTCAAGTATATATATATGAATGATTTCGTGTTAAAATAAATGAATTGTTGAATTTGACGAAAGACTTCCATCTTCCCCAACTTCCTTCTTTACATAATCACGTTAAAGATTTTTAAGATATAATTAAGATATTATTATGCGATATACTTTTCCAGTTAGGAAAGTTCTCATCTGGAAAAATAACGTAACGTACCCTATAGATCTCTATGATCTTATCCAAGTATTCATCCTCGATATTTTCGTGAAGCATGCTCGTAATTATCCCGGAAACATAATGATTTACTCCGCCACCGCTGCGCAGTATACCGCTGTAAAAAAGTAATAATCGTCAAATAGCGAGTAATTAAACATACGTGGCGATCGAACGTAAAGAAATACCGTTCGATCAATATATAAGTTTTATCGGTGCACAACTTCGACGATGCGTAATATTGGCGAAAGCTTGAGACAATAAGTTTGTCATTCAATTCTGATTAAAAAATTCTATGCAAAATCATAGAATATATCTACAAAGGTTTTGTGTGTAAACGAAAGGAAAATCCTGTTCGACTCACCATGTTTTTATAATATTAACAACACGCGGACTGCATTCCAACCATCCAAACCGAATCGCCGGCGATAGGATTTTGGAGAACGAGCAGTTCGACACGACGTTCCCGCCTCTGTAACTTGGATCTTGCGATTCGTCGTAAAAAATTAAGCGTCGTGGCGGAAGTCCTTGTCCGTAATAAAGCAAATTGTACACGTCGTCGCAAGTTACCAAGATAGAATTGTTTCGTGCTATCTCCACTAAACGTTTGCACTGATCTGTGATCGAGAAACGAAAGCGAAGTTCTTAATATACTAAAAGAGATGAAATCTTTTATATTATTTTAGCTTTACTAAATTTCAGATTTCGATTCTCGAAGTGCGTATAACTCGATCTTATCTATTAATTTTTCAAAAGAACGTAGTCATAGCATCTGTGTCAATAGCAGAGAGTGACTGTAACTTTATTCGCCTTACCGGCTGATAACGTCATTCCAGTTGGATTGTGAAAAATCGGTATCGTATAAAACATCGCCCAAAATATTTTTTGATCGCTCAAGAAAAAATTGCCCTTCGTCCTTTCTTCGGCTACAATTTTTTCGAACGCGTCCAGGTTTACTACGTCATCCTTCATGGGCACTAAAAGAAACAATAACAATGCAGCGATAGAGTACTTCGTTTACACATCTTTAGATAAACACTATTTACTATGGGTGATTTTTTTTAATTTCTCAATGAGATAATTTGATTGGATATGATGATTCTGTATGATTAAGTTTTTCCTTTCCCCGTATCGCAATCTATAACGGTTCTATTAACAGTACGCTCATTTCTGAGGTTGAGCAATAAGATTTCAATTTTATGGTTCGTGTTTCACGATTAAACAATAAATTCTTCGTAGGATGTCTGATACCTGTGATTATTCTCATTAATGGAAATTGCTTGAAGACATCGAGGGCGATCATGTACGTAACTTCCTCCACGAAGATAATACCGTTCGGCGAGAGTACAGTATTCAGCAACAGTTGAAGACCGTGTGACGCCCCGCACGTCAATATCAGGTGTTCTCTTGCTACCGAGTTACCGTATCGTCTGCTTAAAAACTTGGCTAACTCGTCGCGGCATTCCCAGAGACCTGCTGTGATGCCGTATTGAAAGAGATAATATTTCCCTTCCTTCTTTTCTTCCTCCTAAATCGATTTAATTTAACTAATATAATTAATATTGCAAATTGCCGACAAATATTTTTCGGAAATTTTATAACATTTCGTGAGATGTTCCGTGAGTGCGAGCAATGAAATCTCGATTATTTAATCGTTAGAGCTGCGTGAATTTTCCTAAACGAATTTTTCTACCCTTGGGAAATAAAGCAAAAATATCCATGGAAAAATGGAAAAAACCGGTTTTTTAACTGGTAGTGTCAGATAACACGCGAATCGGAAAACAATCGATCTTACCAATCTATGCTGCGTAGATTTATTCAAAACTTCCACGCAATGTTGCAATAAATCCGGGCCAGGTGCACCGACTGACAAATTCGCGACTTCCTGATTATAAACGTTGAACACCGGATCTCCGTCGAACAGGTGTCTCAGGCACGGATCTTCAATGGTGTCCATGTTGGCTGATCGAGCTGCGCGATTTTTCGTATGATTTATATCAAAATATAAAATTACACAATTCGAGCGGAATTAATATTTAATTTTTAGATCACTTTTAATCTACTTTTAATTTACTTTTTAAAATATTGAAAGATTTTTAACGCGTTATCACACAGCGCATTTGACACGATGAAGAATATTTAATGAAAGACAACGCAACACAATAACGATTTAATGAAAGATAACGAAACACGTATCTAATTCGTTTGATCTTCACATCAATGAAGCAAAAAGTTCTTCTCTTTCTTCTCTTTCATCTGTGCTCTTGACTCGCGTTTTTCTTCAACTTGTGTTTAGTATTTACCGCGACTAGACATAGCTTCACGAATGATGTGTTATCATCATCTGATGATAACGTCATATGTCACAGTTTATTTATAGGTATTTAGGCTGACAATCCCAGATAGCATTAAGACATCTGTTACGTCTTTGGTAAATTTTTTGGACATACGTGTTGTTTGGAGCAATTCGACGCTGATGTAAACATGTACTTTATTTGCACGTATATGCGCGATGTTTATGACACAATTATAATTATCAAATGTAGGAGAGAAGCAATAATATACCTGAAAATTACCGAACGTTCACTTTTGCGTACGACTTTCCTCCGTGTCATCGAACTCGATCTGACTCGGCTCTCGCGGCTGTCTTCCGTTGAATCAAATCATGTTCGTAGCTCGTTTTATCAGCCACCACGACCAAACGCCGGGGAACTGTGAGGATGCGGAAAAATCGTCACTAATCGCGCTAAAAATACGTCACTCACGCGGATCCACGTGGTGCGATTAGTCGCGAGTGACTGGCTGAAGGCGCGACATGAATTGCGTATTTAGATATGCCGCATCATAGCGACGGTAAGTGCCCTCGTTCCGTGCGGCTCCGTACAGCTTTGTACGCTGCACTTATACGTTGTACTTCGTACCTACGTCGTCTGCGTAGTCGTCGGACGTTCTCGGTCTGCGAGAATTCGCTACTGTTTTACGCGTCAACGCGGGGTGTGAAACGTACTAATGACTGCCGGCAGCGTAAACATCGTCCTCGTCGGGCCGAAAAGTTATGTGACACGTGTCTCTCTCGTATCTCGTGGGAATGACGTGTACGAGCAATTCTCGGAATCAATTGAGGAAAGTTCAGCAAACCGTGACCTTCCTTCTTCAGGCGCGGATCCTCCTCGTGCATGTGCGCGACGATGCAAATCCGAAAAGACGTCGCCGAGATCACTTTCGCGCTCTAATTCTGTAACTTTTAACGTTTATATACGTTACAGGCATAACGCATGCGTTGTAAATCTTCGCGCGGGTAAAATGTATCACAAAATAGCTGCGCAACGATACGTCGACGATCACGAAATTTTATATTTATTTGTTCAAATTTCCGTTAGAAGAGAGGGAGAGTTGCAGAAGGTTGGGCGCGAGTGAGCGACACACACGGCCAGTGGGAATGATTGTACTTTATTACAGTTTTTACGAAGTATATATATATATATATATATATATATATATATATATATTTATATATTTATATATATATAAATAATGTATTTATATATGTAACGTATATTTATATATATAATGAAATATATGTTAAATATCTCTCGAATATATTCACCGCCGGTGTCGCTGTCAATTACGATAAAGTAAATCGATATTGTCGCGAGAACTCACCGGAAGGATATTCCTTTAAATNGATACAATAAAGATCTATAAGTTCTATGTCCACAACCGAATGGCAAATGCAATTTCCCGCGATTTCATAATATTTTTCTTCTTCCGAGTCGGCTCGTTCGCTTACAATGTACAATTCCTAATCGATACACGCTTAGTTACAGTCGAATTTACACGCGTGAGGCCGAATGTGCGAGAATGAGGAGAATGGAGAGACAGAGAGAGAAAAGAGCTTTTTCTTCGATCGTTTTAGAAGAAATGCCCGCGTCCGTCCTCGCACGACGCGGCCCAGTGAGACGATATATTACAAAACCGATCTGTTACAATGACAATAATAATAATAATAATAATTAGTAACACTTAACGCGCGCAATGTACACGATACCGTATCGGTTTACATCGTACAACGGATAAGATAGTGCGCGGCGCACAGCGAGACTGGACGCGATCTACGCGCGGAACGACCGTCGGGAACAATCATCTCCGCAATTGCTGTCGATTTCGTGCTTCATTATTATTATCACAGAACGCGATCGCGACCATTTCAGGCTGAGACGCGAGAGATCGCGGACCGTCGGTACAAGCAACGTCATTCTCCTATTCTCGCGGGAAACCATGAAATGACGTCACTTGCTACTTCGGTCGTGAAATGTCGATTGTCCCGCCGGAGATGAGATCGTCAGTCTCGCGAGCACATCCGCGCTCATCTACAGCAAATGCAAGGCCGGTCGCAACGGAGCTCCCGTGTGAAAAAGTTCGCGAAGGACGCAGATCCGTCCCGTCGAAAAGGTGTCGCTCTCTTCGCGCGTCCCGTTTCAATTCCTCGGTCGTCGTTTCGTTTCTTCTTTCTTTCCTTCTTCATTTCTCCTGTACAACATGGCACGTCCTATCGTACTATTACTTGATACACGCGGTTACACGACGACGTACATGATCACCGATTTCGTCCAAGTATACTCTCCGTCTTTCTACTCGCACGAGTGTGTGTGTGTGCGCGTTTTTGTGAATTCTTTTTCTCTCCGTCTATATTATATTACTCGATCGACTATGTACAAAAAATCGCGTTTCGTATATAAAAATCGAAATCTCTCTCGTGATTCCCGGCCCGAGGCCCAATTTCGTTGGCGCCTCGCGCCGCGAGATGGCGTAAAAGGAGGGGGGGGGGGAAGCGCNTTTGTTCTCCTCTGTACTTTAAGTAGAATCGCGTTCGCCCGCGTTCAACTTCCGACGCGCGGCGAATTTATCCTCGGCAGTAAAATAGGACAATGCACTCTCCGCTCTAGTAGCTTACCACGAGAAGCAAGAAAGGGGAGGAAGGGAAGAGATGCTGTCACTGCGATACCTGAGTGCGTGGGACCTCGGGAGAAGTTAAGGTAATTTGTATCACAGTCTCAGCGGTGTGCCGCACTAACGTTTCAGCCCGGTTGGACTAACGATCGATTAGTCTTGATTGCAGTCTAAAATAGTCCGGCAGAATGAAACAGAGTGAGGTCGTTCCTTGAATTTGATCAATCAACGACGCCGTCGCAAATCGGCCAAATTTGTGACGCAATCGGTTAACACTCGTCGTTTTGTAAGCAAAACATTTCATAATCGCTACGGTAAAAAAAAAAAACGCCTTTACGAAACATTGCTCAACTCTTTCGATGAAAATTCCATCAGACATTGATAAAATATTCTAATTACATAACATTTCTCCTAACAGGTAATGTATAATTCTAAAAAATGACTATTATATAACATAATCATCGTATTATTATATTATATCGCGCGTATTATAATTATATTATAACATAATTACAATTATGATTATAATATAATTACATTATTCACCCAAAATGCAAGTTCTTCTCAGTATCATACGAATACTTGAAGTCGGCAATAGGTTGAATTTCGCACTCGCCACGAAAGAGTTCAACTATGTAAAGCGTTATCGGCGAACTCGTAAAATGTGCGTTCACGAGGAATAAAAAAATAACAAAAATATAACAATTAAAAGACCATTAAAAGACTAAACAAACATTTTGAGCGAAACATCTTCCATGCGATGTTCAAAAAATGTCGCTCGATGTAAAAAAAAATCTGCCTAAAAAAAAAAGAGGGTGCGGGTCACGTATAATCGAAGTTTCAACAGCGACCACGCGGATTCGTCAGGGGGGGGGGGTTGAAGNGTTGCGAATTAAGTCCTAGGATGTTCCTCACGCCCCTCGAGAAAGTTAATACGAAAAGAGTGATTTATATTTACAAGCCACGGCGAATGGCACATTAAGAATATCTTTGCACTACTTTTGCTCACGGGGCGTCGCTTGTCGCGCGATCCCCGCGAATTCCTGTCGCGCGTCCACGTAGTCTCTTGTCTCGTCTTATTTATATATTACGTAATACGCACGAGTCCCTCTAACTTACATAATCTAATCACAATTAAGCGCGGCACTTGAGCGAAGCGTCTTTTCTAAGTACAATGGGTTCTCCTCCTTTCCCCTCTTCGGAGACCGAGCAACTCAATCCGCGAGTTCTCCAACGCTCGCCTCCGCTCTGCCACTCCTTCCCAGGACGCGTTCGATCGCGCCGTCCTCGGCGAAGCGGGCCCACAGCGGAATCCCCATGGAAGAATCGTCAGTTCGTTTCGCGTACCGCGAAAACGTAATCCCCAACCTCCGGAATCACACCGTCGTCTCGTTCTTCCTGAGAGGTTTCAACGGCTGCAGTTCCCGTTCCAGCCGATCGAAGTCGTTGTAATACTCGTGGTCCGACTCCTCCTCGGAGCTTCGCTGCCTAACTTGAGATCCGAACGCGCCGTTCGTCAGCACCTTCTCCAAGTCTGGCGTAGGGATGCCCAGGGTCTGCGGCGTGAGCGGGCCCTCGTCCTGAGACATTATGTACTCCGGATTGTCCAGCGACGTCTTACCCTGGATCGTGAGGAAATCCGGGTATTTCCTGAAGCCGTTGTTCAGCCGTTTCGGTTCGGGTTCTGCGGCAAGAAAGATACAAATCGTTACGTCCACTAGACGCAAACTAGACGACAAATGCACGGTAAAAAAACTTTGTGTCACAAACGGTCTACCTAAATCTTCTTTATTTAACATTTCTTATTTTTTTTTCTTCATTTTATTTCTTATTTCTTATTTTAACACGGAAAATACGTTAAAATAACATAAAAAGTAACGTCAAAATTTGAGAGGATCGTTTGTAATACAAATTTTTTTACTCGAGAAGAAATAAATGAACGATATATTGATTGCGGAATTGAGAAAGACATGAATAGCTAAGTAAGGAATTCCTCCGCTCGCTCACCCGTTGGTTTAGATTCCCCGATGAGATCCATGTATTGTGTCGTGTTGGCTGGCAGTTGCGGCGACGGCATGAGGTAATCGTCCTCATCCAGCGGCAAGTCCAGTTTCAGGTTCCCCACCTGAGCCTGCTGATGCACGGAGTTCACTTCGGTATCGAAACAATCGTCCGTCACATCGCAGTCTGAAATCAAACCGATCGCCGATTTAATTCAACATCTATGTTGACGTGCGATTTATAGTGAGACTTTCGCGCGCGAAGAGACCCAAAAAACGACCTCTCCTGCTTCCTGAGCTATCGACCCACCTCGAACGCCGACCATCTTCAACGGGTCCGAGCAGTACCTCGAACTCGAGCTGTCGGACCCTCCGACATGGGTGCAATGGGCCTTGGGATGCGCGTAATGCGCGTGTTGGCCTGAATTCCCTGCCTCGTGCGACGCGTTGCCGTTCCCGTGAGTCCCGCCGTATCTCAGCAGCTCCCGGTCCCAGTTCTGCTGATTCTGCGGCGTCGGCGAATCAGCTGCGAGCGGCTTACCGTTCGGCCAACACGACTTCACCGGCGTGTTCGGTGGCGAGCCGGAAGTGCTCGACGCGGAGATCGTAGGCGGAATCGGAGCTCGCGATTTAGGCTGCAGATACTCGTCGGCGTCCACCAGAGCTTCCGGACCGTCCATCGCTGATGCGAGATTTCGTATCATCTCTTTCTCGTCCTGAACATTTCGATATCGGTATGTAATAATCATCGAACAATCGATTACATTCAATTATCTTAAAATTATAATTTGTGTTCAACAAAATAAAAAGGAAATACTGAGAGCCAAAACTGCAGTTGCACGTTTAAAGGTTGCATTTGCACGGAATACAATAAAATTCGGAACGTTTTAATCAGTGTTTGTGGTCATCTTCAATCGATTAAAATACTAATTTATATAAATATTATAAGTACGTAAATTCGATGTCAAAAGAACAGCCAAAATATGTTTATTTATTTTGACCAATCAAAAAATTGTGTATACTACATAATTTATATTTTTGTAATCAAATTTTATATCAAGTCCGTTCAACTTATCTCTTTGTCCCCTTGCATTTCATATATACAAAGGGTTTGTTTACGTATATAATTAGATACATAAATAAACAAATAAATAAATAAACTAAATCAGGGTCTTCAACAACACAAGGATCTTATTTTTTAAGTGTTATTATTATAAATAAACTCCTTAAAGTTAAATTAACTCGAATTACCTGCGGTGTATACGAAGGCAGTCTCATGTACTTATCCCCTATAATGGCGAGATATCGTCCGGGGTCCCTGGACATCTTCGCAAAGTCTTCCGCGAGCTCCTTGAAGCTTGGTCTGGACTCAGCGTCGAGCATCCAGCACTTAATCATGATCATGTACACATCGATCGTGCAGATCTTAGGTTGCGGCAGCCTCTCGCCCTTCTCCAGCAGTTCCGGCACGTTCCTGGCCGGCACGTTCTCGTAGGGTCTACCGCCGTAGGTGAGGACTTCCCAGATGGTCACGCCAAAGGCCCACACGTCCGACTTGTGAGTGAAGACCCGGTGCTGAATGCACTCCAACGCCAACCACTTGATCGGCATTTTGCCGCCGGCGGCCTTGTATTGCTCCTCGTTGATGTCCAGCAGCTTAGCCAAACCGAAGTCAGTGATCTTCACGCAATTCGGCGTCTGTACGAGGACATTCCGCGCCGCCAAGTCACGGTGAACCAATCTCCTCTCCTCCAGATATGCCATACCCTTCGCGATCTGCGTGCACCAGTTCAGCAGCGCTTTCGAGCCGATTTTGTCCTTGAACCTGCGCACGAAGTCCAGCAGGCAGCCCAGAGGCATCAGCTGAGTCACCAGCATCATCTGCGACGTCATGCACACCGCAAGCAGCTGTAGCAGATTCGGATGTTCCACGCTGGCCATGATGTAAGCCTCGTCGAGGAACTCCTTGGACGTATTCGCACCTGTGCCATCGTGCAGGACCTTTATGGCCACCGGGATCTTCACGTTCTCCCCCTCTGGCACCCACACGCCTTTGTACACGTTGCCGAAAGCACCGAAGCCCAGTATGCCGCCCTTCCTCATCTCTTCCTCCTTGATGATACGCAGCTTCGCCAAATTCGGCTTCACGCCCGTCGGCCGGAGCGGCTCGTTGTCGTCCAGACCAGTCAATGCCATCGTCATCTTCACTGTATTCTCCTTGGCCTTCGTTCTCATCCGCCAGAAGTATATTGTCACAATGGCGATGACGATGAATATCAACATGAAGAGCACCGCTCCGGCTAAGATGGCGGGTTGAAGCTCGTTATCCATTTGGAAGCCGAGACCTATCATCTCTACCGAACAGTACGGCTCGTTGTCCGGCGGGAAGATCTTGTGAGGAAACTCAGGCGGGCAGATGTCCGTGCAGTTGAAGGACGTCGAATTGTCGCCAGGATCGCCATCCTACGACGCACAGATTAGTGTGAATTTCTCAATGCTGTGATTTCCTCCGACTCACTTGTGACTTGATTAAAAAATGTGCAAAATCATAAATATAATCATTTATTTTGTTGTGCAATAATTAGCGTGATACCAGTTTAAGTAGCATGATATAAGTGCAGTAGTGTTTTTTATATTTACGCAATAAGATATATATATATGTATGTATGTATGTATGTATGTATGTATGTATGTATGTATGTATGTATGTATGTATTAAAAGAAATGAATTCTCGTGTTGTTTTACGTACGATGTAAATTCTGTAGTTCCGGCACTTGTGGCACTGTAGCGGGCCCGGCCCGAAGCACCCTCGGCACTCTTTGAAGCACGGTATGCATAACTGCGTGTGAGCATCCGCGAAATGATCGGCGGGACACTCGTCTTCGCATTGCTCTCCCCTCTTGTATTTGGTACACGTCTGACACACCTGCTCGTGGAAGCCGTATCCTGTGCACTTCTTGCATCGTGGGTGGCACTTGCGACAGACCGCCTTCCCGGCGAGAGGTTTTAAAGCACCTTGCTCCAGCGGACTCACCCACTCGTAATAATGTCCTGTGAATTTTAACGGCGTGACGTCACACAAGGTCTTTCGGGAACTCCGCTTCACGATCGAACGCGACAACTTTCTCGCCGGTGTGTTGTCGCACGGATAATCTTATCTTCTATTATTATACAGGTGATGTTGTATTTTCTGTTACGAAATGTCGTCGACAAGATGAATGTCCCAATTAGTGACAGTGTCTCGATTTGTGATAATCTCATCTTCTTAATAAATCAAATAATATAACTTCGTATTTATCTTAAAAATGTGTTTTCACTCTAAATTTTATATATTATCTATTACAACAAGTGTCGAATCAAATGAAAAGCAATGCCGGAATATCATAATTACGAGCGTGCTTATATTTAATACAATTAGAATCCGAAATCTTTAAACTTTCGAACGAAATAAATGTTATATAGTTAACAGTGTATTATTGTAATAATTTATTAATTATTTTTATGACGAGATTACTTTGTTGGACATTCTAATTTGGACTACTAATTTGGATTACTAATTTGGACATTCACTTTATCAAGACGTATCGGCGGAAGGATCATCATGAAGCCCAACATTGTGTGATCACCGTATAATCATCGCACGAGCTTTCCGCGAGTTTCGCATGATCTAACGCGACGTCTCTTTCTCGTCGATACCGTACAAATGATCTTTGATCGGCCCTTAATTGCCGTACAAGTATTTCTACACTCTCCGTTACGAAATCGTAAGTATCGAGACGTATCAGCGGAAGAATCGTCGCAAAGTAAAGACCGTCGTATGACTTACCATCGGGACACGGTTCTTTCTTCTGCAAACATCCCTCCGGTACGTGTCCGTTCATAATTGCCTTTTCGCAACTATGACATCCGTTGGCGCCTATGTTGTTCTCCGGTCCCTCGCAGCCGCCCACGCAATTCTCGTGACAGTGTTTGCATTCGCCGTTGTCGTTGTACTTGGAGGACGGGCACTCAGGCACGCAGAACGGTCCGTCGCGCACGTGTTTGCACTTGGTGCACTGCTCAGACTTAGGACCCGTGCAGGAACCGTCGCACTCCACGTGACACGTCTTACAGGTTTTCTCGTCCGCTTGATAAATACTGACGGCACAATCGCGATCGGTCATTAATCGCAATCGTCATCGTAAAAATGGAGTAAGATCGAGCGCGTACGTAAGAGAGAAGTAAGCGACGCGAAAGAAAAGGAAAATAGGGCGCTGAAAATCAACAGAGGCTGGGTGACGGCAAAAATGGCGCAGGTGAACAATAATTCGGGTATAATGAACGTTCACGTCTCGTTCGCCACTCGCGTTAGCGATGGTGGACTGATAAAAGTGGGATTCGAAGCGATCAAGCGATGGGATTGTAAGCGTATCGCGTGAACAACACACAGATGTATGCTTGCTTACGAGATGGATGAAGATGATAAATAGAACGATGAAGATTGGCGTTTAAGTTCTCGCGGGAGATTTTCGATTTACCTTCGATCCACGATCTAGGAGAGCGATTTTGATTGGACAGAAGTCGTATGCATTATTGGAAAAAGTTCAACTCTTGTTTCTTTGTGTAATTTCAAGCTCGTCAACTTACCCCGGCGCGGTGCAATCTTGAAGACAATCGTTCCCCAGCTTGACATTCTTGCAGGACAAACATTGCGCCGGCCCTGGCCCCCAGCATCCTTCGTCCGAGCATTGCTCGTCGCACGCGAAACCGTCCTCGACTGCAATTCAAACGATGCACCGTATGAGTTTCGAAATATAAACTTAATGACAGCTTTGGTTATTCGTTTAACACAATGAATGCTATATTTTCCCTACAGAGTATATAACTTAATAAGACAAGGAGTATCAAAATACCGGTGACTGGTGCTTTGTACGATCAATAAAAGTCAGTCCGGCAGTCAATATGTTAAATAACATTGTATGAAAATCCCCGTTTCGTACTTACTGCATTCGCTCTCGTTTCGATTGTTCTGCAAAAGACACTCATGCTCGGTCGATTTCTTGATCCTGGTCCAGTTGATACTCTGCGCGTAACACAGATTCTTATTCTCGAGAATGGCGATCGAACCAGAGAGGATCTTCTTCAAGGAATTCAGTCCGAAGGACACCAGGGAAGTCTTGACAATGTACAATGACGCAAAGTATTCCGTGAGCGCCCTGCCACCGATCACCTCGAGATTCCGAAAGTACGAGAGATTCTTGAAGTCCACGTGATCGCCTTGGATGTTCAAGTAACCCGTGATCTCCCGGAGAGTCTTGAAGACTTCGAGCTTATCCGGGTGCATCTTCTCGTATCGCTTGCCGAATGTGTAATTCGAAAAAACGTGCTGGAAACCTTGGAAGCTCTGGTCCAGGATTGTGATGGACCCTTCGATGATGGTGCAGTCCTTGAAGGAGTCGATGTTACCGGAATGCACTTTCTCGACGCCCTTGCAGGTTTTCGGGCAAGGGCCGTTGCAGGGAACGCACTCGCCGTTCACCGCCTTCTTCTTCGGCGGGCAGGACCTCACGCATGCCCCGTTGTCCTTCAGAAGATGTTCCGGACATCGTCTCACGCAAGTCGCCCCGTAGGCGTATTTGCCCTCGGGATTTGCTTCCCAGGAATACGTGGTTGGATTGTACCTGAAAGATACGCCAATGTTCAGACTGCGATACGCGTTTCTGTCGATCTCACCGAATAGTCACAAGTGTGAGTAAACTTTCCCGCTTTTCGCGCGTCGATATTCATCATTTTAGGTATCTCCAGTCGTTTAGACATTTATTAGCGATATTCCATAAAATAATCCACGTGGGGGGATCTGGAGACTTAAAATTGAGAAGGCAAATCATTTTGCTACTGGAACGAGGAAGGTGATTCGTAGAGAAGGAACTTCGTTGAAGGATGACGTCGCACGTCAAGAAATCTTGCGCGTCAAGATTCTGTGGCGAAGATGCGCGGCGGTAAGTGCACGTGATGCTACTTACTTTTGCATAGGTGGACATTCCTGCGTACAGACGCCGTCGTCGAAGAAGTTCTTGCAGGCGAGGCAGTCGCTCTGCTTGGGACCGGTACACCCACCGGCGCAAAAAAGATGGCAACACTCGCGCGGATTAGGACCGAAGCACCTGCCTTGCCAGCACTGGGGTGAGCAATTCGTCTTGGAATATCTCTGACAGTTGTCCGGACCTTCGCCCCAGCACCCCTGCTCGCAGCTTGAGTCGCACTCCGGACAGGCGCGCTCCGGCGACGTGAAATTGTACACGTAGAAGTACTTGCCGCCTTGGCCGGTAATTATTTCCTCCCAATTAATAGTCTTGATGTGGCAGAGGTTGTAGTTGTTGTACATGCCCACGCTCCCGTTGAGTATGTCTGCGGCGTGATCAATCAAGGTGAGTTAGCGAACGGGTCTTGCTGAATTTCTCTTTCAAGCATCGAAACAAGAATCGAGCGTAACATAGCGATCGTTAATTACATTTGCGTATTTATCCAGCCGGGTATTAAGTATTCACGTAACGATATTAATTACCCAATCAAATATTAAATACTTATATAACAATATTAATCACCTAAATAAATATAAAATATTCATGTAATGATATGAATTATTTAATATGGAATATTGAGTATTCACGTAACTTTATTAATTATGTGTTGATTTAATTGTAATTATTACTGCACATAGAGAAAAAGGTTTTTTTTTAGATATGTGTTTGTTTGACTTGGGCTTGTTTAATATAAGCAATATAATTTAATATCAAATATTATTTTGTTTGATAAGAAAATATTGTTATTCGTTGGAGTAAACCATATGATAGAAAAAATAGTATCATTTTGAGGAGGTAATATTTGGATCTCGATCAAAAGAAATTTATTTCATTGTATATTAAATAACATTCCACTGAAATAAAGAGGTTTGTTCAGCATTTTTCTAACACAATGTTGTTTTTTTCAAATAATTCATTGTTTGTGACAACCATTGTAATATTTGGATGAATATACAAATGATGTATGTTACTTGACGTAAAGATATTTATTGTCTGATAAACCAAACGACGAGTCCTGTTTATTGAGTCAAACATTCGTTTGTTTGTTCCATGCCAAAAGACAAATTTGTTTCCATTAAAGAAATTTGATTAAACCCAAAGAAATCCTTTTCTCTCTGTACAATGAAACATCCGTGGCCCGCGTGTCAGTTCGAGCAAGAAGAATAAGTGAGGACAACGTACCTCTGAGGGCCGGCATCTCCAGGTTGTGCATCTGACACATTGTAACGAAGAGGGCGAATTCGTGGTCGTGAATATTGAGCTTGAAGAGGGTCCTGCCACGGATGATCTGTAGCCTCGGCAGGACGATCCTGTGCACGTCCACGTGACTGATGAGGACGTAACCGGTGACCTCCCGTATGTACTGAAGGAAACTGAGGTCGAAGGTTTTGTTCTGGAGCCATGTGATCTCCAGGTTACCATCGACGTAAGTACAGTTGGTGTACCGGTCTCGAAGATTCCGGTAGTGATGCTGCTTGTTGGAGGGCACGGAGAGGCGGCCATTGGTACCGATGCAGACTGCAAGCACAAACGAGACCAACATTCGTGAATTCATCCCCGCGAAAATGAGCATTAAGTACCTATAAATTATCTTATCTAGATAGAGCTATCAATCGAACTGAAATGTATCATCGCTACCGGACTCGTTCGCAGCCACTTATGCAATCTGACGTTCTACGTTGCGAAGGACGATAGAGTGTGATATTTTTTTTATCAATGTATACAAATATCACCTTCGCAGAAAAAACGATACGTTGCAATTGTCGAGCAATTCGAGCGACGGTTCGAGCTAAGGCAAGATACACCGAGATCAGGACTGCCGTGTGTGGACGAAAGCACAGTCTCACTCATTTCCGATTACGATAGTTCGTATCGTACCACCTACACCGTCAAGCAACGGTGTACACACACCCGCGACACAGAAGTAGCGTTCTACGCGCGCCGGTGGGCGAACCACCTCCGTAAAGCGGCTCCGTGCACGCGCCGGCCGGCGTGATTCTGTTGTGCAATTACCGTTTGGAGCCGACGATAGTGCTCGAATGGATCGGCGCGGCCCGTACTTTGCGCCTAAGTTATGACAAACATTTGCGGCCTCGCGGAACGAACGGGGCATTGCGTTCCCGTACACGCGCGAGATGGCAATGCTCCGATGCGACGTCGCTCGTCGGCAAAAGCGGCCGTTTAAGCGCAACGTATCCGCAAAGATTAATATCAGCGGGCATAGTTTTTCCGCGTCCGAGGCCGGCGCGCGAGCCGCTTTCACACACACACACACACACGAGCGAAATAAAATTAATTTACGATTCTTCTCATGGTTTCCGAGCGTTGGGTTTCCTCCTGGCAACACGGCTGAGAAAGGAAAGCCCCTGCCTTTCGTTTCGTCGATACGGAATATTACTTTTGTGCGGTTCCCGATTCGGAATTCTCGCTCTATGTTAAACCTTAATTTTACGACACAGTAGGAACGGAAGAAACATTTCCGTTGTGCTTCGAGCAAATATGTTGAGTTAAAACAAAAATTAGATTTATTTAAGTTAATTGAATCTAACCTTTCTTCGGTAAAGTTTTATGATATTCTTGAAAGGAGAACAAATTCTTCTTCGTAACAATGAGCTTTCCTAAAATTCTTGATAAGCATATTTTAAAACTTATTAAGAAAGATTCTTTGTTGAAGATAATCATTACTTAAAAGAAGGAAAATACACTGAGCAATCGTTTTTCTTAGTAGTGGCATGATATCTTTCATTGTGTGTAATAAATTTTCTACATCGAGCCGATCCTTTTTAATATTCGTCTTAATTATTCCCATTTCCCATTGCTCTTTTAACAAACAAAATTCCAATTCAGATTTTCCCACGAGCACACAATAATAGGAAGCGCGAGCCAAACAAGTGTGTAAATTCGTTGAAAAAATTGCGGCGAGGAACGCGCGCCGTGAGGAAGAAATTGATCGGGCGCACGAACTCCGCCGTACAGGACGCAGAAACGTATGTAAAAAAGGACTCAAGGCCTTTATTAAATAACCCCGTGCGGGCCGCCAAGCAAAGAAACGACCGCATGCCCGCGGGAGGGAGCATAGTCGCACGTCCGCTCCTCCGGAATTCGGTTTTGCTTGCGGCTCGAGTCGCGCTCGCATCCTGATCCTTCGTCCTGACCCTTCGGAAACGAGCTGCGGCCTCGAGAGGATCCGCGATCGGCATGCGCCGCCGAAAGGGCAATCTTAATCTGACCGGCGATCGGAATCATGCGAAAATAATTGCGCGGTAAGGAGCGCGGATCTTCTTGCACATACGAGAAGCGTACCGCGCAGAAGAAGGCTCGTCGTCGACGACGCCGGAGATCGCTGGAGATCGGAGGATCGAGAAAGGGTAGAAGAACCGCCGGCACGGACGCGAACTCGAGCACTGGGTATTTGTACCGGCCAGATGCTGCCGGCGAGAGTCGCGGGATACCAAATGCGCGCACCGTGGCATGGCGCCAGGAGCCTCGAGAATGCGGACCGTGCGTGGATCTGCATCGGCGATGGGGCACCATCGCGAGGTTTTCTGCCACCCTGTCTCGTGTCCGACGGCCGCAACTCGAGCCGCCGCATCGAAGATGAACGACTTGATCGTCATAATGAAGAGGTATGGCGAATATTCGTCGGAATATCGGCCCGGTGATTTTTCGTGCGTACGCAGGAATACCGCTGTGAAATCGCAGGATTTATGGCTCGGCTGAGCCGAGGGGCCTTTTTTGTCGTCAAACGAGACTTTCCTTCTTTCTTCGATGTCCACCTCGGGAGAGAAAGAAAAGGGGAGAGAGCGACGATGGCTGTTTAATTAATCAACGCATCGGAGAGTTCGAGTGTGCTGAGATTATATTCGTTTTAATATTCAATCGATCCGGCATGGACAATTTCTTGGCACCTAATTGGGATCTCAGTCTGATTTCCCCAAATAATTATGGTTTCTAGTTGGGAAGTGTACGCAGGTTCCAGTGTACTATTTCGAACGTATTATTCTAAGTGGGAAACATAAACAGATCCTATTTAGTCAGCTCCTACATTTCCCTAAAGATATTTTCTACTTTCTATTTTATACTACGAATCTAATTGGGATCCCAGTCTGATTTCCTAAAATAATTATGAATTCTAGTTGGGAAATCTACGTAGGTTCCAGTTAGAAGTGTAATGTTTCAAACATACGATTCTAAGGGGGAAGTATATAAAGGGGGTCCTATTTGTTCAACCAATATTACGGAAAGTAGGCTTAGTCCCATGTTTGAGATAAAAATGGAATTACCAATTGATATATCGTAGCGAGACAATTTATTTGGAATTTTCTTCGAATCGGAATCTATGCTGTATATGGGAAGATCTGGGAAAATTTTCTATGCGAGATGTTCTTTCATAGACGGAGGAACGTAAAATCGCGACGAAACAACAATATTCGCGAGTCCAAGATTGACAAAGGAATCTTCCTTTCATCGATGGATTCTTCTTAAAGAAGGTAACAGAGTTTCCGAGAAATTTGGAATAAATTTGCGCCTCACCTGAGCGCTCGTGCGCGCGATCATAGATGTTGAAAAATGGCCGATCGTACACGAGGGGACTTGACATTTTTACAGCCGGCGCAGTCGACAGACGCCGTCCGGCATAAACGAATTACGAGCTAGGCCGAAACAAATGGTGATTCGAACCGACACGTCGAGAGGGACTTATGGGCCGGCGTGCTGGCGTGCTGGGAAGGTGGCCCGATAAAAAGGAACACCACGAACGTGATGGCCGTACGGACGTTTAGACAGCAGGAAAGTGGAGGTTCGCCGAGAAGTGTCGGTTAAGGTCGGCGGGCCGACACGTTCCACGTTCTCGTTTTCCAACCTCCGAGGCTCGCTCTCTCTCGCGCGAGGCACGAAATTCATCATTAGATCCTCGGGACCGGGGATACGCCGCGCGGCAGATACGTAGTGATTATCCCCGACGGCGGGGCTGTGAAAATTGCCCGGCGAGAGAGAGAGGGGGAGCCGGCCGGCCGGAATTAACATTCTGCCAAATTTACGACCCCCGCACCGCAACCGAAGACAATACCGCGGCGATATTGATTACGGGCGTGGCGGGAACAACACTTTCCTCGCCATCGCGTCCGCAGGCTTCTTAGGAGACCCGTCGTCCTCGCTTCATCCTGAACTCGGCTGTCGCTGCTCGACATGCTGTTGGCAGATGGAGAACGCGACCGAGTCGTAATCGAGTTCGTTCGGTTCGTTAATCGGATGTTTATGCATCAGGATTACTCTGGAGATGAGTTCGGCAGGAACTGTCGGTTCTAAGTGGTGACTCGTGATTTGTCGTGATTCGCCGTTCTCAAAGAAAATCTGGCTGCCCGATGAAGAGCGAACGGCGAACGGAGGAGCACGGAGATTCGAAGTCTCGTGTGTGAGTTTAAAATGTGCGAACGATAAATCTGAGAAAAAACCGCCAAGTATAAGGGGCGAGGAAGACGTAGGACGTGGAGAGAAACAAGCGGTCGGTAGGCCGCGCGAGACGAGGCCGAAATCCCGCGGTGAGGTTTCTTTTGTGGGCGCGCGAGCAGCACGTCGCAGCCGAGCCGTGCGTGGTCCCTCGACCACCTTCTAGGAGAGCATCGATTTTTATGCGGCATTTTAAGATGCCACCCCTTTCCCATTAAAGGCCCAAAGTAATACGGAATAACCGCACGTTGATGACAGCAGCGGCGACGACGAGGATGACGGCGGCGGCGGCGATGGCGGCGCCGTTTATTTGAGCTCGTAAACATCGATACCGTCCGACCGCTCACAGTCTCTACCGTAGAGATCGTTCTTGGGTGCTAAGGTTCCACAAACCCTCTCTCTTTCTCTCGCCCTCCTCGCCCCGTAAAGCGGAGCCCTGCGGCTAAGTGCCCGACGAAATAAAACCCGGGTATCGTAAACGCGCGAAATAACTATCGGCTGGAACTCGCTGGAGGGAAAGAGTCGAAAAAGAAGAGAACTCGAGGCAGGGAAACGGATCTTGGAGGGGGGATAAAAAGGCAAAGCGATCGATATTGCCTAGCAATAGCTAGAAATTTTACCAGATTTACCTGTATACAGTATGTGGATATCTATTAGAATACCCAAAGTTGTCCCAAAATAAATTATCTTACTACGATGCTAAATAGGAATATCATTCTTGTTTCGAACATTGATCTGTTCTTTATAGCTGAACTGGCTGCACTAGTTCAGCTATAAAGAACAGACTACATAGGATGAGGAACTCCCTCATTCCTGCGACCTCTTTTTTGCGATGCTGATTGGCTATGCGCTGCGGCTTATTCTGTGCGGCGTGCGACCACGTGCAAGTGTCATCACCCGAGTCGAATGACAGCTTGACCGAATGACAGATTAGGAGATCAAAAAATGAAGATACATTTTTTAATGTTACTATGCTTAATAGTGTGCGCGTATGTGTAGCTTGTGTGTATTTATAAAATGTGAACACTTAAAGTGTTTCGTATATTTTATTCAAATAGCGTAAAATGGAA